CACGTGTGGGGCTTGAACCCTACCCTATTTGCGGTAAAACTATGGATTTGCTAGAAAAGTAAACAGCGAAGTCTATAGAAGATTCAAACGAGAATAGAGCCGTTCTTTTACTATGTACGCCTCAGAACCAAAGGGCCTATTATACACAGCTATGGTCTTTTCAATACCTAAAAATAGTTAGTTTATACTCTTTATAATGCCTGGTTGAACTGATAAATGCGCTGGAGTTGAAAGTCAGGATATATGTTAAGAATGCATTGGGAGACGGATCTGAAGCAAAACCCAAAGAGACCAGCGAAGAGCTATCTAGAAGCCCCTGTCACCGAGGGAGAGAAGCGGTATAATAAGTTCTAAGACCGAAAACATAGTCATGATCAACGGAGATGCGCCCAGCCACAATACCATCCCTGTAGCTTTTAGCAGTCTCTACAACGATATCAATCCATTGTTGACAACAGGGGCTGGAATTCACAACTGGAAACGACATTTTCCAATGGCTTCTTCACCTGGTTGGTATATTCCGAGCTGACCATGACCTCTTCATCCTGGAGGCATTCAATTACCATACGCATCAAATCTGCACCGCAGAGGTGGCGGTCCCCATCGGAAAGCTTGACCGTGATCCACCGCAGCCCTGGGCCTGATTCATAAGGTTCGAGAATGGGTCGACCGTTTTCCCTGAATACAGTCGGTGCATAAGGCATGGTATGGGCTGGGTATATGACGGCTACGGTGAAGTGAATGTCTCGACTAGACGGATTTGCTGGTTTATATTCGTGCGACAAGTGCGTTGCTGTACAAACAACGGAGATGAGGACTTTGAGTGTTTATATACCCCGATGAAAATTATTATTCCTAGGTCCTTCTTTAACTTGATTGTTTCATTGTGGTTTCTTTCTTCTAGTTTCTTATAACAAAAGTATCGAATCAACAATGATAACAGTATGTCCTTATTTAAGTACCAGGTAGTAAACCAAACCCCATTACTCTCGATGTAAACAGTAAAGATATTGCCCTTGCGTCTTTTCGTAATCAATGCATATTCCCGAGGTCCCTTTCAGTACCTGTGCGTCTAGATCCGGTAGCCTTATTCATTCCCATATGCGTGGATTCGAGACCAATGCAAGGCTGAATCTGGAATCTGAGTGTAAAATTGAAAATATAGGAAATGATATGTTGCATATCCCGGGAAAGGGGCATACCTCGGCAGATCTCATTTTCGCCTCATCCCACAATATGCCTAAATGATCAGGTGAGACAACAATTCCTATGCAACCATATGCATTTAACCGATACCGTGGCGTCCACGTTAGTCTATTAGTAGAATTTATATTTGCTATGTAGCATCCGTATTTCACCCAATCAGTTCAATTTATTTTTTTGGATTTCTTCCCTCTCATCCGGGGCCCCGCTAAATTCCTAACCAATTCTCCCATATGGCCAGTTGCCCAGACTTGCAATTTAAATACCCCGGCCTCCCTCCCACAAGCGGATTACCCGCAAACGCCACAATCCTTTCAGTCAGCCGATTCCCCAACCACAACGTCGATAGCTAACCTTTTATGGATTTAACTAAGCTTCCAACGCATTAGGCTCGGCCCCTGGCCAAGTTCGGATAAATTGCTGTAACCGTAGGAAAAAGGAAAAACCCCGGCGGGACAGGGTTGCACCCCTGCTTGCCCATCCGATCGCTTACTGTTATTTTGGACAGCTCTCGGATGGCAGAATTAATCCACGTATCACGCGTATATAGTTTTAAAAAAAAGACGCGTAGGGATATAAGACCCCCAGCCTGTCCCTTATTCCCCCCCCCCCTCGGGGCTTTGACTTTCACTCCATTTTGACATAATTTTCGAAAATGTCGGTCGATACCAAACATGACCATGTTGAGAAGGCCGGCGTTGAGCAATCCGAGGTCTTGGTCAATACGGATCTCATGAAAGATGCCTTCGATGGAGAGAACCGTGAACATGAGATGAGTACATGGTTGGCTATTAAAACTCACCCTTGGGCTTGTTTATGGGCATTTACTATGTGTTTCACTATTGTAAGATGTTTTTTTCCTCCCCGCATTTCGGGTCCCCAGAATTTCTAAGGTTGAGAAGATCATTAGCTGACTAAAAAAAAAACAAAAAGGTCATGGAATCTTTCGATATGTTCCTGAATGGTAACTTTGTCGCACTTCCCGCTTTTCAAAAGCAATATGGTATCCAAATCGAGGGACATGAAGGTCATGTTATTCCAACCAAATGGCAGAGTTCCCTCTTCCAGGCTGGTCAATGTGGTGCTTTCGTTGGTGTATTCTTGGCTGGTCCTGTCACCAATAGATATGGTTACCGTTTAGTAAGTCTTCTGAATATCTCTCATTTCTATATCCTTGAAACTAACTTGCTTAGACTACTATCTTCGCCTTGATCCTTATGAACGCCACAATTTTTGTTTCTTTCTTTGTAAGTGTATCCCTATTTGTTGAGCTTATTCTCTAACTCCACTTAGGCCAACTCACTTGCCCTCCTTGTGGTCGGCCAAGCCTTGGAAGGTGTCCCTTGGGGATTCTTCATTGCAAACTCCCCCGCCTATGCTAGTGAGATTGTTCCTCTCTCCCTGAGAGGTGCCTGTACGGCTACTCTGCAAATGAGTTGGTCTATCGGTTCAATCATTGTCGCTGGCGCAACCTACGGCTTCAATAAGCGTCCTGATGAGTGGTCTTGGCGTATCCCTCTTGCTTTGCAGTGGATCTTCCCTGTGAGTCCTCCTCCCATTTGACATCTTTTATTTACAGGCACTGACTCCTTTTAGACTCCCCTCTTGATTCTTCTCTTCTTCGCCCCCGAATCTCCATGGTGGCTGATTCGCCGCGGACGCAAAGATGAGGCCCTTCGTTCCATCAAACGTCTTGGTAGTGAATCCGACGAACAAGCTCAACAATCACTTGCCATGATTGAGCGAACCGTTGAGATCGAAGCTCAGATGGGCGGTTCTCCTACTCTCCTCGACCTTCTTAAGGGAACCGACCTACGACGAACAATCATCACCTGCTTGATCTACGCGTCTCAGAACTTCGCTGGTAACTTGATTGCCAACCAGGCAACTTACTTCTTCGAGCGTGAGTAGCTTCTTCTCTTTCTCTCTGACTAAATTTCATACCGTAATGGATAACTGACACCCCACAAAGAGGCCGGCATGGGATCCGACCGTTCATTCCAGCTCAATCTGATCAACTCGTGTCTTCAGTTGGTTGCCAACATCATCTCTCTACCTCTGGCCTCCTCCTTCGGTCGCCGAACCATCTATCTCTGGGGCACAGTCACCAACGTAATTTTGCTCATGCTTCTTGGTGTCTGCGCTTCTATCACCCAGAACCATGCGACCAACTACGCCCAGGCCTGTCTGGGAATCGTCATTTCATTCGTCTTTGCCGGTTCTCTCGGACCCATCTCATACACCATCATTGCCGAGACCTCCTCTGTCCGTCTTCGCGCTTTGAGTACCGGTGTCGGTCGTGCCGCTTACTATGTTGCCGAGATCCCCATGATCTACCTTGCCTCGCAGATGCTCAACCCTACTGGATGGAACCTTGCTGGAAAGTGTGGTTACGTTTGGGGAGGTACCGCTTGTGTCTGCTTCGTATCCGCTTACTTTTTCCTTCCTGAGCTCAAGGGCCGCTCTTACCGTGAAAGTGATATCTTGTTTAACCGCAAGATTCCTGCTCGGAAGTTCAAGACAACGGTTATTGATGTTAGGGATAACGAGTAAGGCATGGCGATATGAAGGAATGAGATATGCTTTGTGGGCTTCTGTGACATGATAACCCAGAAATGATTCTTTGGGACTATTCCAGTCAAATACATGTTGCAAGCATTTTTTTTACAGAGTTCAGGTACTTTCGCTGGTATACATAATCCGTTATTACGGAAGATACTAGCAAGTTTACCCTACCAGGAAGACTTCATCTAAAATATATACGCACTTAATGTTGAACAAAGGAAATAGTTTTGATAGTAAATTTAGCTTTACTGCATTGTATTCCCTCCACATCTAACGTTAAAACTGAGCTGCTTAGTGCAATGAGCCCTTAGTATGCTTAGTGACGCCTTCTAGTTGCATATATTGAGCACTTCGTCCACGTCTATACCTAAAGACGCTCTTTGCTACTTTTTATTTGTCATTTGTCACCGTACAACTCCTTTTTTGAGGTGTATCCTCTCTTAGTAGACTAATTTAATAATAATATCCCTTCGGTAGTTACCTTAGGAAATGATACCGGGAAGAGAGTATTGGAGCATCATATAATGGTAATGGTTAACAGGTGTCTAAATAGCTCCATTACAATTAATTCCAGTCATTGACTAGGAAGACTATGAGACGTCAGTCTTTTGAGATGGACGTTACTCCGCCCTCTTAGCTCAGATCGGCAGATCAGATCGCTTGACGATCAGAGCCAGCAGGTCTAAGCACTAAGACGGAAAGGGAAAGCCACTGGAAGAGACAAAATCAAGTATTAGGGCCTATACCTATAGGAACATTAAATTGGTTATAGTAGGTTCCATTGCTCTTTTCCTTCTGTGTAAACAAGTTATTATATACGGTCACATTGACTAGTTTACCCCGTACTCCGTACAGACAATCTAGAGGGGTACAGCGCAGGGTTACACGTAGATGGGGCTAGCGTGCTGCTCTTTAATTGAGGTAGCTGATGCTAAACTTGAAATCCGAGGAATACGAGGTTTGAGGTCTGAGCACTAAAAGGAAAATAAATGACAATGAGTTGGTAGAATAGCAGAAGCAAAAATGAGCCACTCCCCGGTAGTTCAAACACCAACGCTATAAAATCACATAAAAAAAACATAAAGCATAGATCATGGATCCATAACATAATTGCGCGAAACAACCACCCACGAGCAGGAAATATCAAGTTTTTTGATCTTCCACCATTCCACAGATTGCATTACTATGCAGGTAAGTAGAAGATCTGGTCATATTAAGGTAACACAGTCTGATCAGGCTGAACTTTTCGTCTCGGAGTTGGTGACACTGTTTAGAGTCTTCTCAGATTGAGCGGTGGAAGTGGAGGTTGAGCTCTCCTTCGAGGGCTCGCCTGACAGCTTCGCCTCGGCGGCGGCCAACTTGGCAGTTGTTTCGTCCAAGGTCATCTTAAGGGCCTTGATGTAGTCAATGGCCATCTCCACAGCGGTTGCCTTGCTGATGGTTTGGTTAGCCTTTTCTTTCTCTTTTTCCTTCTCGTTGACCTTGCCACCGGATTCCTTCGCCTCCTTGGCGTTTCGCATTTCGATGAACTCTTGCGGAATGAGAAGCTCAATCTCCTTGAGCGCATTGTTGATTCGATTCCGGCGTCCCTGCTCTGCAAGTTTGTGATTCGTCCGCTTGGAGCTCAGATTCTCTGCCAGGGTCTCTGGATAGCTCACACCTGATGGCAGAGTGCCATCGAGAATGTGTTGGTAGTTGGACTTTGATGCAAGGTAAAGTGCATCTTGTGACATGCCTAGAATATAGTAAGTATAATATCCATGGGGTTCAATTTGGGTTAACACTCACTCTCGCTGCCTTTCATGAGTGGCTGGATGCTGGGACTAATCTTGGGCCGCAACTGTGGACTGGCTTGAGTGGAACTCATACTAGGTCGTTTCCGATTAGACGCAGTTCTAGAATCCGATTTCCGAGGCACCGGCCCACTGGGTGATGGCATTGCAGCTGTGCGTGGACTAGGGGCAATAGAGGCACTGCGGGGCTTATCGTACGAGGCAGACGAAGGATCTAAGAAAGGTGTCCCATTCGTGGAGATCGACGGAGTCCGTATAGCGGTATCGATACGGTTGGGTTTCGGACGCAGCTGCGAAGGAGCAGCCGCCTCTGGAAGAGAGATATCCTCCATTATGTCATCTGGGAATTCAGGCTCTGCGAGCTGCGCTTGACCGCGGAACTGGCCGGAGGGATCTTGCATATGCTGATTCCGCTGGATGCGCATCAAAAGCGCAGGGGTTGCAGCAGTTCCGGGAGAAGAAGCTTGACCATGGGGAGTAATTGCAGGAGACATCCGAGGAGGAGGGAGAGCGGGAGGGGGCATCAACGGTTCTGACAACGGCTCGGGGGATACCGAGTCCTGGCCAGATCCCTCATTGCTGCTGAGCCGAAGTGAGTGGATGTCCTGGTTTTGCGGCTTTGTAGTGTTCAACTCCTGGCTAAGGCTACTATAGAACTCCTCGGAATTGGTGGCCAACGTGCTGCGTTTGCGCTGCGCCCGAATGATGGGTGATTGTTTGACCTTCCGTGTGTTATTGAGTCGCGCAGTGGTCGTTGATTGTCGGTGACGAGTGTTGGGCTTGCGAATGATGCTAGGAGAAGGTGGAGCCGAGGTTCCTGGAAGAGGGTTCACCTCCGCAGTAGTGGGAACGAATCCCATATCCGATACCTGTCTTGCATGGTACTGGTAACTGCTAGATTCGGCATTTTGGGCCTCCAGGGCGGGAGAAGTAAGAGGTGTAAAGTATTCGCCAGGGATTGTGTATTCAGGGAGTCGGAATTGGTTCTCCAGGGGCGTCATAGCCGGTGAGATAAGAGGAGTGTAGAGGGCCTTATTCCGTTAGCCAAGGATTCATGTAGGGTTTGTGTCTGTACTAACCTGTTCCTCGTTAATTCGTGAATATCCGTCATACATATCCGGTGTTTCGTCCGCGCGCTGCGGGTATCGGGCGCTATTGCCATGCATCTCGATACTGTTAGGGGTGGGAGGTATCATGTTGTGGTTCTGCATGTAATGTTGGTGCGTAGGCGGTTGCGACATGGGCGATGGCTGGGCGCAAAAGCCTGGAGTCATACTGGGAGTCGAATAAGGCATTGGGTTGGTATTATGTTGTGACTGCGTGTTATCACTGAAATCCATGAGGCCCTCCATCTGGCCCGAATACTGCACGGGATGTCGTAGGTGAGCCATATCCGAGTCCGGGCCGGTGGTGGTTGGTAAAGAATGGGAATGCTGCATATTCCCTGGTCCGTGCTCGATTTCTGGAAAAGGCATGTTAAACTCGAACAAGTTAGAGAACTCTTCTTCAGGCGCATTGAGAGAATTCTCATTGAGCTGTTCTTGCCACATGGCTGGTTCCATTTTGTTAAAGAGAAAGCAGTGAGAACTTCACATTAGAGAAGGTCGGAGAAAAGGAGAATCCGGGAAAATGAAGTGGAGTTTCAAGGCAAAGGCGGTACTCCGTGGTCGGCATAGACTTTTTTTTTTTTGGTCTTATATAACCTTTGGAAGTCTTATTTCTGCGCTAGATGCGCGTGTGCTTTTGACTTATAGCGAAGGTGGGAAAAAAAAAAGTACGAATTTACGGACTTAGTACTATGGTGTACTACGGCGTACTCCGTCCTCTCTGAATTCATCTCTATAAACCCACAGTGGAGAATCCGGAGAAACTTGAAAACTTCCGGTTTATATATATATATATATATGTATATATTATATATTAGTGATATTATATTTATAAAGAATACTCCATAAACTCGATATTATAATTATCAATAAGTTGAGATATTTTGAGACTATGAATGCAGGGATACCTCAGGCAGAAATCAAGAGGGGTAAGGTTATCACCTCGTGATGCTTACTTGAGCAATGACATGATCTCCAGGGCTCGTAGAACCCGTGGACTTTTTGTTGTCTTAACTTTGTTAACTGCTATATCTCCTATAAGATATGTCTTCATAATGAGACCTATTCCGGACCTCCCATTCTCTCGCAAATTCTCCGATACTCCATCTCCATCCCCCGATCCCCGCATTGATGCTCCGGCGACCTTCTTCTTATCGCGAAGTCCATATGTTACGGATCAAGATTCCAGTTTATCGTTAGATAGCTCTGAGGATGTCAAAGAGAATATGTATGGAGTACAGAGTCTAGCTTCTCTGTCCCAATCAGTCACATCCTTGCCCCGCGATCATTCAGATGGCCTGAAGCAGGCAACCGATTTAGAATCGCACCTCGCACAGCGGTCAACATCGAAGCCGCTAAACTCAGGCACCGGGGAACCCCCTCAACATACATCTCCCATCCATGCAGTGTCTCGGCCTTTAACTCCGCTTACATTGGGCATCTCCGATGACCCATCCTCGCTGCCCAGCAGCCCTAAATCTATATCCAACCAGTCCATGCGACCACTCGATGATATCTCTATCACGGATGAAATTAATAGTCAGGCTGTCGGATCTGGAGATGAGGATGAACTCCACGAGTCTCCATTTTGGCCCCCCGGTGGGGCCTCCCAGCTTATCATGCCAAGTATCAAAATGCCCAGTCGGCGCCCGTTTACCGAACGAGGAAAAGCCATGGGTCGATTCAAAGTTCTTCTAGCTGGTTCACCGGGTAGGTTTCAATCATTTCAGAATTTTTTTTTATTTTTTTTTCTGGACTCAAGCTGATTATCTCAAATTAGGTTCTGGCAAGACCTCGTTGATCAAGTCTATTGTTCAGACATGCGATGATATCGTACATGTGGACACCATCCCACAAACCACATTGGGACGCCGCAGACCTTCCGGGTCCCGATCTCGGGAGACATTGACTGCCACTACGGAAATTTATGCTAGTACCAAACCTTATCCTTCATGGTGGTCTGATCTGGAAGATTCCCGCGTGCTCCAGCGTAGGAGAAGTATCGGGGAAATTGTGTTAGAGCGAAATATCTGTTTTGTGGACACACCCGCAACAAATTTAAGCCGAACAGGTCAAAGCGACGCTATCGCGCAGTATATGAGACAACAATTTTTCCGTGCTACCAATGCGCTTAATGGGTCCAGTGTTGATTTCCAAAACCTCCTAGCGGGGAATGGTGGATCCCAAGTGGATGCCATCTTATATTTGATTTCTAATGGTGGGCTTCCTCTATTCTGTCTCCCAAGGCAATCCTCCAAAATTTTAACGGATCGCTAACTTTCTACGTATAGACACCCTCTCAACAGATGTGGAATCCATCAGCAAGCTCTGCGAGTTAAGCAATGTAATCCCAATAATATCCAAAGCAGACACCCTCACCCCAACTCAAATCACCCACTTGAAACTCCATTTCCACGAACAAGCTCGCGAGGCCGGAATCAAACCATTCCTATTTGGCGACCCGCCGAACGGTCCAGATGGACTCGAATCTCAGGCCCCATATGCCGTCTCCTCCGAGAAAACAGTCGACACTGAAACAATGGATGCAAGCACTCTGATGAGTCCAGACTATGTGCAGCCACTTGTGCCCTCAGAACTAGACGCTTTAGTCAACAAAATGTTCGATCGCGACAACCTAGCTTGGATGCGCCACTCTGCTGCAAAGAAACTTCTCCAGCAACGCACGGGCTCATATTCGCTCCCGCCCTCAATGCCGCTACCCAGTACGCAGTCGGGTGCTACCGCAAGTGGGTCCGCAAATACATCCAGCAGCTGGCGTTCCGTCTCGGGAACCTCCATTTCGGCCGGTTCCCCGCCTGGCTATGCCATGGCCCGCATTGCGGACTACACCCGACATGAGGAGCGCATGGCGCAGGTCCGCCTTGCGCAGTGGGCGACAGACCTGCAGCGCAGCCTACAGAACGAACGCGATCGATATACCTCACTGGCTCGCGGCGAGCGCGCTGTATGGCTCACCGAACGACTAGGTGAGTGTGTCGTTGACGGCTCGTTAGTACCTCTTTCGCAGGCGCCTGGATTTTGTGGTTTGCATGGCCGCGAGAAGAGCTCTGGTGGGTTTCAGGTCATGCACTCGCGTGCCGGCTCCGGGACGTATCGCTTTGCAACTTTCAGTCCAAATGACCCGCTCGGTGTGGTTGGCTGGATTGATGACCTTGGGCACCGGAGCTGGGTGATTGTTCAGATTGTTGGGAGTGTGGGTATTGTTGGTGGGCTAGCGCTCTGGCTTGCGCGTACTTGGGGTTTGCCAACACGCAGCCTTGCAGATTTGCGTGTTGATTACTGGTGTGGTACTATGGAACGGTAGGACGATGGATTGATTCTGGTATGATAATGAGGGTATGAATATGTGTGGGCTTTCTGGAGTCATGGGCTTTAGTTTGTTGTCCGCAGGAGTCATACGGATTTGTCCGCTTTTTCTTTTTTTTGATTCTTCGATCGTTTCTCTCATCTTCCATCGGCGTCTTATGGTGTTTTCGGCTCTGGAACTATTTCTTTTTGCTGTTCTAAACCACATAGCATAGTCGGATAGCGATAACTTTATATGAAAATGATAAACTTGATTTTTACTACAAGCGATTTATCTTGCTTTTATCCTCTTAACTCCAACAGCTAAGCATTGAAAATAGATAGATTCTATTGTCAATTAGTATATCTACCTTTTTCCAAAAAAAAAAAAAAAAAACTTGAAACCCTACACTAGATGAGTCTTACCTTCCACAAACTCACAAATTCGTGTATGGCATCAACTAAGGGTTTCCTTCATAAGTTCATATTTCCATCGATATTCCATTCAATTGGTAAGATGGCCGAGTTGGTCTAAGGCGCACGGTTCAGGTTAACCTGATCCCGATGGTATACAACTGTCTCCGTGTCTCGAAAGGGGCGTGGGTTCAAATCCCACTCTTATCATATCTTTTTGTTTCTTTATTGTTCGGACCTATTCTTTTTATTATCTTGTTAGTTGAAGTTGAGGGACTATGGTTGTCTTTTTGTTGGTTTACCTTGATATAGATGTCGCCAAAATAGGATATAGCCCTAATAAACCTCTTATATCAACCAAATCAACAATTGACCTGCCGAATTCCAGGACTTAGGCTGGCAGCTTTATGCAGGCATAGTCATGGATGGTTCATATATATAGAACAATGTAGCTTTCCTGCAATTGGATAGGATGAATTCTCTGTGCGTGGGCAAGAAAACAATATTTAATATCAGCCTTGGTGAACCGGCGAGTAACATTATTCGTATATAAGGGTGCAAAAATGTTGTGCAGATACTGGGACAAAGAATATAATTAACCCAAGGTCAAAATTCAGGTATCTTTGCTATGAAAGGTGGGAGCGAAGGGAAACCAATGAAAGGGTATGGATACATGAAGCATGCAAGTGATGATCTTGCCATCATACCTCGCCCTAAGATAATGACCACGAGCCATGGAAACCCATAGGCCTACCGAAGAGAATGAAAATAAAGGATAAGGTACAATTGTATTACAGTCAACTACACCCTTAAAAGAACAAAGGAGATATCGGCAATGAATCTAGGCACAAGTGGTCACATCAAATCCAAAATGAGGGGAACAGACTCTTCCCTCTCTACGGTGTAATGTATACAGGGATTTTAAACGGTCAGACCGAGGTCCTCGGCGAAGGGGAGCTGGTGGATATCACCAACGCTGACGAGAGTGGCCTTGCCAGTCAGGAAGGTGTTGGCGACCTAGGGGTAACTGTTAGCATCACGACATCAACCATGGAGGAAGAGAAATAATAAAACATACCTGCTTAACCTGCTGCTCGGTGACCTGCTCGAGAGCCTGAGCAATCTCGTTGATCTGGTAGGGCTTGTTGCCGTGGATGAGGCCGGAGCCGGTAGCCTCAAGACCGGTCTCGAGGGTCTGAACGGACTCCAGAGCGCGGAACTTGGCGAGGGCAATAGCCTTCTTGATGTCCTCGGAGGCGACCTCACCGGCAGCAGCCTTCTTGAGGGCGTCGACGACGTTCTTGCTGGCGGCACCGACCTGGTCGGCCTGGCCGGACAGGGTGACGGTGAAAAGACCAGCATCGGAGTAGGCGTTGTTCTGGGTGGAAACGCGGAGCTGGTTGAAGCCCTTGGTGGCCTGCGAGAGAAGGGAGAAGCCGGGGGTCCACTTGATAGTGGACTCGCCGCCGAGAAGAGCAGCGAGAACGGAAGCCTCGGCCTTGTAGCCGGCGGTGCCGAAAGCGCTGGATCCGGGGAAGGCGATCACAACGGCGTTGCCGATCTTAGAGGCAATGCGCTGCTCACCGCCGTAGTACTTGGAGGCGACGGAGGGCAGAACGTTGTATTTGCTGGAGGCATTGCCGGTGGGGGTGTCCTTGAAGAACTGGCCAACCCACTTGGAGAGCTCAGCAGAGTTGGGACCGCTGGCGACAAGAGCAATGTTGGACTTGGAGTAGGCGTTCTGGGCGAACTCGGCCAGGGCATCGCCGGAGACGTACTTCTCGTAAGGAGAAGACTGGGAGGGGGTGATGGAGGCGCCCAGACCGCGGTGGAAAGCCACGCCGTGGGCGGCATCGACAGCAACGGTCTCCGGGTTAGAGTGGACGGCCTGCTGCTTGTACTTGAGGAGCTTGCTGACAACCTCGTTCAATTCGTGGTCTGATATCATTGAGGGGCTCGAGTCAGCAAAGTATGCTCATATGATTGCGCTCCACCAATCACCATTCATCGAAAGGGGCCGACTCACCTGCGAACTTGGTCTGGCTAGCAACCTCAGCCAGCAACTCTGTGAAGTAGGGGAGGTCCTTGGAGAGGAACTTGGTCCGGAGGACAACGTTTTCGCGCGAGTGTGTCGACGAGATTTCACCGCCGAGCAGCTCAGTCTCCCGGGTGATCCGCAGTGCAGACCGCTTGAGGGTAGTCTGTTTAGGAATTAAATGATTAGTACCCGCAAATATAGCTGAGATGAATCAATTGATGTCATGAAACCAACCTTGAAAGCGAATTGTTCGAGAGCATCGGAGAAACCAGGGAAGGGCTGGTAACGGGAACCAGCCTTCGCAACCAGGGCCAGAGTGCCAGTAGGGCCCTCAACTTGACGGTTGGCAACCTTCACGCCGGAGGCTTCGGAGACATCGTACTGGAAGGCAGGGTTGGCAGCCGAGGCCATGGACCGACGGCCGGCGGCGGCGAACGCACGCGGCGCATTTCGGCTGAGGGAAGACCGCGACAGCATTGTCGCCTGTGCCGAGAAAATATGAGAAAAGAAGAAGAGATAAAAACCCGAATTGGGTTTGTAAAGAGGCGCAAATGAGGCGGGGAAGGAGGTGGGATGCGGAGAGAGCAAGAGGGAAGAGGCAGTTTGGGAGGTCACGAAAAGCTTCAAGATCCCGACTCGTCACTCCAGCCAATCAGCGGTCAAGTAATCAAAAGCGCGGACGGAACCGGAGTTACTTTTGTTCGAGTATATAGAAGTAGTTTCCTATTGTCTTTGTATATAATTGCTATAGTCTTATTCTGTATTTCTTGAACAATTAATATAATTTATGTGAATTGTTGAATATCTCGATTGTTCCTCCCATTGTCTCTACCTGACCACGTTTCATCCGAATGAGCCATTTGAATCACCTGATTGGTCATGTCACGTGAATATACCGATAAGCAAAAAAAGAACAAAAGAACATTGAAGACCTGCATCTCATCGCGCAGTGGACTTTTGGACTTGCAGATCTCTGCTGTCTTGGAAATCTTCATGAACATTCGGTGACCCTAAAGTGCCCCTCTCGAGGTTTGGTGGCTGGTGAATCTTTTCTATCGCTTTAGCCCACCATGATGTCCCAGGTATGCGACTATCCCGCTAACCTCGAGAGAGCTTGACTGACATGAGTTTAGTGCTCTGCTGAGCTCTGTATGCTCTTAATTGAAGACAACTTTGGAGAGCTCTTTGCTGTAAGTCATCTTGTGCAGATTATCGGGCTATCCTCATTCCGTGCGACAGCGGGGAAGGAACCAGACTAACTAGTCAACTTCTTCGCAGCGCATCTTTACCGTCCTTCAACGTTACGAAAGACTGACTCTCCCTCGGTTAAAATTCTATGCTCGTCTATCAGATCGCCAGCTGCGCCATGGCCTCTCCGCCATGATCCAGCACCACTTGATCTATCACTTCACTTCGCTCGACGACGGCAACACCTACTACGAAGCTAACCCGCAAGCCGCATACTCCCTAGTACGATCTGGAAAGATCCTGCAGCTCGTTGAAAGCCGACTGGGAGAATATGCGGCCCAGGTGTTAGAAACGATCATGAGCCTCGGTCACTCCTCGATCGCCCACCTTGAGACGCTTCCGGAGCTTCAATCCAAGAAGCAGCGCATTCCGAATGGGGTCAACCACGAGGAAACTAAGGCCGAGCAAGACGAGGAAATAGAAGATGGTTCCGTTGCTCTCAACGGCGATCATGCCGAGAGCGAGAAACCCGCGCGTCTTCACCCCACCTTGAAGAGTCTTGCTTCGCACGGATACATCCATCGCCTTCGAGAAGCACACTTCCAGAGTCCGAATGACAATTGGCTAGATGCTTCCCGGATCATCTCATCAAGGCCAGATGTCAAACTAATGAAGGGTAAACAGCAAGCGATGGAAATTGAGGAGAAGGCGAAGGAAATGGTCAAGGAAAGAACCGAAGGGGATCTGACCCGAGGCCTAATATACAATGGCCTCCCTCAAGGCGCTAAAAGAAAACGTGATCATGACCACGGCAACAAGGGGTCCAGCGAGCGGGCGCCGAATGGCACCAACGGTGTCAACGGGGACCATGTAGAGAACGAGGGAGAAGAAGAGAATGATTGGTCCGAAGATGAAGATGGAATTGATTCAATCCCAATGGATGTAAGCTCGTTTCGTCTTTCCCGACCGCGGCTTCGAATGAAATGCTGACACCTACCACAGTCTAACCTCATCATTCGAGTGAACTACGAGAAACTTGACGTGGCCCTTCGAAACGCGCGGTTCCTTGAGCTTGCTGAGCAAGACGCACCTCCTGCCTCGATTGAGATTTACGACTGTCTGCTTCGGCGAATTGAATACCAAACAGCCCGGTGCCGAGACTCTTATGAGATCCCTCGCGAAGGAGAAGAAGGCGAGCAATACTCTGCTCCGATCCAACTGAGCTCAATTGTCGAAGACGTTGATCCAAATCTGGATCTTGCGGGATGTATTGGCCCGATGGAGCCCTCGACGGTGTTAAACCGACGCGGGAAGCGCCCATTGGATGATGATACAAACGGTGTGAATGGTGACGATCATGAAGACGAATCGAGGGGGCAGAACCGCGCCTACGAAATCGACCAGCACCTTAGTATTCTATCACAGCCTCCCTTGAATCTTACCACAAAACACGTCATCTCTGGCCTTCCTACATGGCGAGTCGCATTCCGAGGCCTGGCCCGCAAGCTACGCCATTTAGAACTGGAGCGCATGATTGAATCGCGGTACGGAGATGTGGCACTACGGGTGGTCCGTGTCCTACATGCCAAGGGCAAGCTTGACGAGAAACGACTCCAGGAAATCAGTCTCCTGCCCTTTAAAGACCTGCGCCAGACGCTTGCCAGCATGCAAACGGGAGGATTTGTTGACTTGCAGGAAGTGCCACGTGACGCGCAGCGCCAGCCTTCCAAGACTATCTACCTGTGGTACTACGATCCGGATCGTGTGTGCAGTAGCATCCTTGAGGATACATACAAAGCCATGTCACGGTGCCTACAGCGCATCAAGTTTGAACGTGGCCGCGAAAGAGATTTCCTTGACAAGACAGAACGAACTGACGTGAAGGGCCACGAGGAAGAATTCCTCTCAGAGGCCGAACTAGAACATCTTCGCAATTGGAAGGCTAAGGAAGCCTTGCTACTGGCAGAGGTATCTCGATTAGATGATATGGTTGCTGTTTTCCGTGATTATTGATTTGTTACGTTTCATATCATGAAGACTGGGAAGTAATTGGGAGGTTGCATAAATATGTATAGGCGCATGAGCGACGAATTGATACAAATGACATCTATATGCTCGTTCTGCGAGTCTACTCTTTTAGACATATGTTGGACATAGCAATGTTTGCTGTAGATTCCTTTGCTTTGGTCTCTCGGGCTATAGATACACAGCCGGCTTCCAAGCCCATGGAGTTTGGAACCTCGGGAGGACGAACCAGCAGACGCTCAGCCTTAGCGTTCCACACAGACACAACAGGAATACTAATGAGTACATACAACATACCTCATGTGTGAAAAACAGTGTGCCTTTGTCTACCTGTCACACTGGTTAAGCACACTACGTACAGGAACATACACAAAACGACAAATTGCTTCTCACTAATATGATATACTATGTAGACAGGGATCAAGTATTATACTTACAAAAGTCAAAGCCTTTTTCCACCTTTTGTTAAAATGTGTGTGCTACATACAATCAAGTTTCACAATGATCGGCAGCCTGGCGTCATATGGCTTGCACGTGCATTTATAGCCAATATAGACTAGCGCTGAATACTTTGTAGGCAGCAAGAAGAAAGAGTGTATAAATAGTTGTTTAGGCAGTAATTTAAGGAGTGTTTAATGGTATATTCAAATTAATAACCAATCAAAGGTAGGCAAATTGAGAAGTTGTTCAAGATAGAAACCTACGTCAGCCCTATTGATGTCCAACCCGCCAAGTCTGCAACTATTAATGACGCTGGCGCGACGCCGGTGGCTGTCCCCTGCGCCCTTGGCCCTTTTTATACTTCGCCATACCTGGGGTTTCTATAAAATGTCTTTTCTAACGCAAACCCCGCAAATAATTTTACATCCTTGCCCTTAATATTCACATCCACATACATTACATATCAACATCAAACATCGATATCGATATCGACATCCATATCAAAGATGACCCTCCCATGGATATACCCTGTCCGAATCGGGCAAGCACTCTTCGGCGTGATTGTAATCGGCTTAACAGGATATGGTCCGTCATTCCACAAATTCTCTAAATTCTATGCTTGAAAACTGACCAGTCTCTAGTGGTTTCAACATACTACGGCGGATGGTCATACTCGGATACCGTCAACTTCCTCGTCTTCCTCGGTTGCTGGACTGCTTTTGTAGCAGTGCCCTACCTCACGATTTCACCAATATGGTTCCCTCGTCTTGCGCACCGCTATGTGATTCCTGCTATTGAAGTAATTACCATGATCTTCTGGTTTGCCGGATTTATCGCTCTGGGAGCGATGTTACCTCCGCCGAGAGGGTGTCATGGAAGTGTATGCAGCTCACTCCAGGCAGCAACGGTATTTGGAGCTCTTGAATGGTGAGATTCCACACCTTTGGTTTTCTGGCAGTATACATCGACCGAAAAGCTAACTGTGATATAGGTTACTTTTTGCGGTCACCAGCTATTTTGGTGTTGTCGATCTTATGAATCATCGCCGTGGTGGAGAAGCAAAACCACATTCGAATGTGCACATGGGAGTCTAATGTGTTTTTCCGTAAATACCCGACGATGAATCTTTCATGTTATGATTTGAATGTTGGCGATACCCTGTTTTTTTTAAGATCTCTTTAATCGTAATGTCATTCTTATTATTAGCTCCAAGGTTATCTCCGCAAACGGCAAGCCGACTCCGCCAAGGCCGCTCGCCAAGTATGTGGCTACACTAATTTTTTTTTTTAGTTTTCAGTAATGTATAAATCATTGGAAAAAGGCATCTACAACATTATCTAGTAAAGGGAATTAGACAGTTTATGGGGGAAAATGTAGTGTATAACATACAATGTGGAAATATGGTCCTTATCTATACCCATGCAATAACATCGTTCAAACTGTGAGACATACGGGTGTACTTACCTTAACAATAAAAGCATAATTGAAAACAGAGATAAGAAATAACAAAATATACAAAATATACAAAATATACAAAGATAATACTGCAAATATACTGCAAATACACTGCAAATATATATGTACACTTTTTTTTTTATAAGGGGCAAATAGACTCGCCACCAAAGAAAAACTCTTCCCGGCAAACCCACTCCGGATGGTATTGGGGAAAAGATTTTTGAATCTTAGAAAATAAAGATAGAATAAATAGAAATAGAATATATTCTCCGTATTTCCCCTCAAATTCCCCCTTCTTTTTACATAACATCTTCTTAGGTGTTTAGACGTGGTGTGTCCCCACATTCGGAAAAAAGTCCTGTCTTCGGACTCCAGTGGGCTTTAAGGTGGATACTCGTTGCACTCAGAACCTTTTCCTTCTCCTCTTCCCTTCTTGAAGCCTCTGCCTTGTTATTCCCAGCAGACATGGCATCGGACAAGTCAACCAGTCCGTCCAAGGGAAAGACGAGCGTTGAAATGCCTGTGCAAGTACAAGCACAGAGCCCGGCCTATGATATCGACTATGAGAAACATGGCGCCCAGCGCGAGGCAAACCCGCTGCCGGATCTCAAGCGGAAGCTGAAGAGCAGACATCTACAGATGATTGCAATTGGTTAGTCGGATATATCAAATCTAAAGGATCTTCAGACTAACCCTCTTCGAAAAGGCGGCACGATAGGAACCGGATTGTTCATTGGTAGCGGCACCGCCATTGCTCATGGAGGCCCCGTGGGTGCTCTCATCGCTTATGTCTTCGTCGGAACGATCGTTTACTCGGTCATGACCGCTCTCGGAGAGATTGCAACATATATTCCGATTCCCGGCGCCTTCACCTCATACGCTGCTCGCCTGATTGACCCTAGTCTGGGCTTTGCTATGGGTTGGATCTATTGGTTCTCATGGGCATCGACATTCGCACTGGAGTTGACTGCAACTGGTTTGATCATCCAGTTCTGGGACAGCAGTATTCCGATCTCTATCTTCATCGCCGTCTTCTGGGTCGTCATTATCGTTTTCAATATGATGCCCGTGGCCTTTTATGGTGAAATCGAGTTTTGGTTTGCAAGTATCAAGGTCATTACCGTGATTGGCTTCATGATCTTCTCAGTTTGCATGAATGCTGGTGTTGGTAAGGAAGGGTATATCGGTTTCCGGTACTGGGTGGACCCCGGTCCGTTCGTCCCCTATTTGATCGAAGGAAACGATTCGTTGGCCAAGTTTGTTGGATTCTGGTCGACTCTTATTCAAGCCGGATTTTCCTACCAGGGAACTGAACTGGTTGGTATTGCCGCCGGTGAGACGGAGAACCCTCGCAAGACTGTCCCATCTGCAATCCGCAAGACCTTTTTCCGTATCGTCTTCTTCTTCATCCTGACGATCTTTTTCCTCGGAATTGTCGTACCTTCTAGCGACCCTGGTCTACTGGCTAGCCAGGGAGATGGTGCTTCTGCTCAGAACGCTAATGCTTCGCCGTTCGTCATTGCCGCCAACCGTGCCGGTGTCATGGCCCTCCCGGGTATCATCAACGCCGTTCTTCTGACCGTGGTACTTTCGGCAGCCAATTCCAATGTCTACAGCGGGAGCCGTATCCTGGTCGGTCTGGCCCAGGAAGGTTTTGCCCCTCATTGGTTCAAGATTACCAGCAAGCGTGGTGTGCCTTACTACAGTGTGCTCTTCACGGCGGCCTTTGGTCTGCTCGGTTTCTTGAACGTCTCTGATGCAGGCAGCACTGTGTTCACTTGGTTGCTCCAGATCTCCGGTGTGGCTGGTTTCATCACCTGGAGTTCGCTGAATGCCTGCCACCTCGCCTTCCAGCGGGCGCTCCGGGCTCGCAACATCTCTCGGGATATCTTGCCCTACAAGGCCCTCTGGCAACCCTGGTTTTCGTGGTATGGCCTTTTTTTCAATATTCTGATTATCCTCACCCAGGGATTCACTGCCTTCATCCCACACTTCCAAGTCAAGGAGTTCTTTATCAATTACCTGAGTTTAATTTTGTTTGTGGTGTTGTATGCGGGACACAAAATCATCTACCGCCCCGCCTTTGTCAAGCCTATTGAGGCCGACCTGGATACTGGCCGTACCACTGCCGACAACGAGACATGGGAAACTATTGAACCAACTACATGGTATGGCAAGACATGGAAGTGGATTTGCGGGTAATTAGAGATTGCCGATCTCACTGTATATATTTTATTTTCTTGCATATTTTATAGGCGTAATTATTGTTTTTTACAACGCATATATATTCTAACAATATAAACAAATCTCAATACATATCAATATTCTATATCAATATTTCAAATTGTTAACTCGGTTTCCATGTGAAAACTAGTGCATGTGAGTTGTCCACGGGTGCAAATGACGTGTAAGCAGACACCGGTAGTGCAGGTACCTAAGATAATATGGGAGGTCCCACTTTATGACAAGTACCCCAAAAAGAGCCGAGGTTCCCTGTCGGCTCATGTCTTTTGTGTCCGAAAAGCGTCGGTCGCTCCGGGTTTCATGCACCTCCAGTTTTCTCCCCCACACTTTTTTTTTTACCCCCTTTTTAATACGGATTACTCGGGTCTTTCTTACTTTCGCTCTTTTCTTTAAATTCTGGTTCGTCCGCCGATTGTTTGTTCCGATTCCTTTGCTGACCGTACCACAGACATGTTCTTCTCACAACCTCCCCATTTGGCTAAGGCCGAGGAGCTTAAGAAAGCACCTCCAAAGGGAGTAGCTTACTCTGTGGCCATTCCTGGCACTGAACAACCCGGCCGCAGTCGGGTATACAGAGCATGGAATGCGCAGAAGGAACTTTTGACGACACTGGATCCCAAGGTACCGAAGCCCATGCGCGTATGCCATATAATACATAATACTGACCGATTTTAGGTCACCACGGCCCATGATATGTTTGAATCGACCGCCAATCGCCAGCCCAAGAACCACTGCCTTGGTTGGCGCCCGTATAACTCCACGACCAAGTCCTTCGATCCATACCAGTGGCTTAGTTATGAGACTGTGCAGAAGAGACGCGCCGCACTCGGTGCTGGTCTGGTAGAGCTGCACCACAAGCACGACTGCCATCGCCCCGGCCAGTATGGTATTGGTCTCTGGGCTCAGAACCGACCGGAGTGGCAGATCACTGGTAAGTTGGGTAGAAGTGAATAATTCAACAGATGAGAGGCTAATATCGAAAATCTGTACAGATCTGGCTTGCATTTCCCAATCTCTTTACTCCGTCTCGATCTACGACGTCCTTGCCCCGGACGCTACCGAATATATTATCAACCACGCTGAGCTGCACTGTGTTGTCACCTCTCTACCCCATATCCCGACTCTGATCAAGCTCAAGGCTTCTCTTCCGAACTTGAAGATCATTGTCAGTTTGGATCCATTGGATGCAGGTGAGCAGGACAGTCTCACCAAGCGTGCCCTTCTTGAGTCCATGGCCGCCGATCAGGGCTTGGCGATCTACACTATAGATCAGGTTGAGGAGCTGGGTTTGGCCTCGAAGCGCGGATACAATGCTCCTTCTGCCTCGGACATTGTCACTATCAACTACACCTCCGGCACGACCGGTCCCCCCAAGGGTGTTGTTCTGACGCACGGCAACGCCGTGGCTGCCACGTCCTGCGGTCTGATCACTATTGCCCAAGCCCGAGGTGATACGATAGCTTCTTATCTGCCGCTGGCCCATATCTATGCTCGTCTGGCAGAGCACACTGCTTTCTGGGGTGGTGCAAAGATTGGTTATTTCCACGGAAACATCGTGGAGTTGGTCGACGATTTGAAATTGCTGAAGCCCACTGGGTTCATGTCCGTTCCTCGTCTTTACAGTCGATTTGGTAGCGCAATCCGTTCCGCGACAGTTGAGCAGCCTGGCTTCAAGGGCACTCTTTCGCGACATATCATTGCGACCAAAACTGCGAACATGAAGAATCCTGATCCCTCCAAGGCGACGGTCAGACACGCTTTGTACGATCGTATCTGGGCTAAGAAGGTATCTGCCGCTCTTGGTCTGGAGCGAGCCCGGTACATGGTGTCTGGCTCCGCGCCCTTGGATCCGACCCTACACAACTTCCTACGTGTCGCCACCGGCACCGATATCCTTCAGGGTTACGGTCTGACCGAGTCGTACGCCTCGGCCACTGCCCAGTCGATTCACGATCTGTCTGCCGGCAATTGTGGTAGTCTCGCGCCCTGCGTCGAAGCATGCCTGGCCTCCCTGCCAGACATGGAATACTCCGTGGACGACAAGCCGTTCCCTCGCGGTGAGCTCCTGCTGCGCGGCAACAACATGTTCCGCGAGTACTACAAGAACGAGGAAGAGACCCGCAATGCTGTCACTGAGGATGGCTGGTTCCGCACTGGCGATGTCTGCACAATCGACGAAAAGGGCCGCTTTATCATCATTGACCGCCGCAAGAACGTGCTCAAGCTCGCCCAGGGCGAGTACATCTCCCCCGAGCGTCTGGAGGGTGTCGTCCTTGCCGAGCTCGGCTACATCGCCCAGGCTTATATCCACGGTGATAGCATGCAGACCTTCCTGGTTGGCATCTTCGGTGTCGCGCCTGACCTCTTCGCTCCGTATGCCAGCAAGGTTCTGGGCAAGACCATTGAGCCGACTGCGGCAGCGGTCAAGGAATATCTGGGCGATGACAAACTCCGCCGTGCTGTGCTCGCTGACCTTGAGCGCGTCGCCAAGAAGCACAAGTTCGCTGGCTATGAAAGAGTCCGCAACGTCTCTCTCAAGGTGGAACCATTCACCGTTGAGAACAACCTGCTGACCCCGACGTAAGTTCTTATTTCCACGTCCGTAGTCCAGGCATTGCTAACATTATTTTCTCCCTTTCACAGTCTCAAGCTCAAGCGTCCTCCTGTTGTCAAGGTGTACCGTTCCCTTTTGGATCAGCTCTATGAGCAGGCTACTGAGGAGATGTCTGCTCCCAGGGCTAAGCTGTAGTGGCTGCAACACATATTCTTATTCATCCTTGTTTCTCATCCCATTATTACCCTAGCCTTTGGCAATTTCTCGGGCTTGGTTCAGAAACTGTACATAGAACCAGTCCGTACACTGTAGTATATTAAACATTCTGATTGATTTATAGTGCCCTTACTGCCTTGGATCGTTTGTGGCTTAGGGGAGATGTGCTCTCTGGTGTAGGTCCATTCAGTTGTCTTGGTCGCTTGTTCTATTTTACTTCACGTATTTCTCGCAGGACTAGATTATGAATATGTACATACTGACCTACTATTTATCTATTTCCTTTCCCCATACACTGCTTTGTTCACTTTCTTCTTCTGCCTTCTAGGATATGGTTTTATACATGGTTTTCTTGGATTCTCCGTCCAATTTCCACCTACAGTGCGTGCTTACTCTACAATACACTACTAGGTATCGTCTCCAATAAAAAAAAATTGCCACAAAGCAGCCACAGTCTCCATCCAGTCCCATTATTATCAAGGAAGAGCAATAAAAAAGCAAAAATATATGATAAGAGTGGGATTTGAACCCACGCCCCTTTCGAGACACGGAGACAGTTGTATACCATCGGGATCAGGTTAACCTGAACCGTGCGCCTTAGACCAACTCGGCCATCTTACCAATTGAATGAAAGATTGATGGGAATTTGCATTTATAAAGGGAAGTTCCCGATTAGGGCTTTCAGCGCACTAGATACTACCATACATTCTACTACTTCACTTGTCAATTCTGAATTTCTTGGGTAATATAAGTCACAGTAATTGAATACTATTTTATTATTAAGTGTTACATATATTGTTCGTGTGCAGTTAATAGTCCGTGGGTTCTATTCAATATATATTTGCTGTAGGATTGACTGACCAACATATATAATCGAACAAAGGCCCGGAGCATTATTTGATCAACACTGCATAACTATCTTAGTAAATGACAATTGACTCAACTAAAAGCATAATCAGTGACCCATACCACGGTTTACCCAATCAAGACCCTATAAATCTCCTTATAGCCAGCCTCACGACACCGTATCGGCATCTACAATACTACACTAGTGGAATGAAGAGACCTAGAAATAAAGATATCATTTTAACTTGGCTGGGCATTAAGCTCAAACGGTCCATGTGCGTCCGCGCTAGTTCCCAAATAGCGCCCATAGCGTAGCTAACCCCGCCCTAGACCTACCCCCCTGTGGGCCCTGTCTGTCCCTACCAAGTACATATACAAGACAGTGGTCAATAGATCCATTACGTGTGCGCTAGAAATACCCCAACGAGTGCCGCGATAAGATGTAGATTCCACACACCGTCCCTAGCGAGTAGATGGTTTTGCCGAACAAACCGCGTGCCTTGGTCTCGCACCTAGGTTCTCATGTCAGTGTCCTAGGCGGGTATAGATAGGCCGATTCCAGAAATTAAACGTTCGAGAATGAGTCTATAAATATGTTGGCAGGCACATGTTGAGTTGCGGGAATAGTGTATTTGGATTCCGATCCGGATTCACCCGGAACTAGACGAGCTGGAGAGCTTTCTCATGTGTGATATAAGAAGCCTCGGCTGTGAGCCAAGACATGGGATCGATGAAAGGCAACCAAGGCAAATGTGACATAGTTTGTATAGTGCAGGCGTAATGCCCAGGAACCCGAGGAAATGATATTGCAAGAATATCCCCACAATTTGGCACGAGGAAAATGTACTAGGCGATAAGAAGAAAACCGACATTCTTTATACAGGCCAAGTCGTATATAGTTAGGTTCGAGTTGGGTTATCTCTATGTTGTACTATGCCACAAGAACAAAAAGGTATGTAGTATAAACCAAACGCACAATGAACATAGATGAACACAAAGGGACACAGGTCTATACAAAGTACCCACTAGACCTTGGCCTATAGGCTTTGAATATTCTACTTGGTTCAAATACACTTGCTATATCTAAAAAGCACAAAATATACTATACCGTGAGTTGCATATCTTACAAACTACAGACATGTATCCAACGCTCCTAAAGTATTTGGCAAGTGGGGATAGTGTGAATTATAAGAAGAATACTTCCAAGGTATTAACTGTAAACTAACTACATGATATTTTTTGTTCATCTATATATTGTTTTCTTGATTTCAACTAAAAAATATTTCCTTTTTTCTTTATAAGTTCACATTCCCATCGGTCCTTCATCCAACTGGTAAGATGGCCGAGTTGGTCTAAGGCGCACGGTTCAGGTTAACCTGATCCCGATGGTATACAACTGTCTCCGTGTCTCGAAAGGGGCGTGGGTTCAAATCCCACTCTTATCATGTCTTTTTGCTTTTTGTATAAGCAAATTACAGCCAGGAATTATCTTTATGCTTGTTGTTGTACAAGGCATATTTTTCTTTTTCTTTTTCTTTTTGTTCTTTGCTCAGCTGTAACCACGAACCAGCTAAGTACAGATAGATGTATCTTATTCGGTAGAGTTTTCTAATCAAACAGCGTATGATACCGTAACGGAGAGATTAAGCTAGAAGGAGAATAAATGTGAACGTGTTAATGACTAGTAAGAGTGTAATAGACGTTGAAAACATAGTAAGTTTTTATAGCAACACTAGATGGAAAAGAGGTTTGATAGATGCAGGATCTGCAAAACGCACAACCTAAATTTCAACTACTTCCCCCCAACCCCACAAAAAGAGCCAAAGCTAATAAAAGCCTTATACATATCGGAGTGGAACGTGCAAAAACAAAAAGTTATGATAAGAGTGGGATTCGAACCCACGCCTCTTGCGAGACCAGGAAACTATTGCTAGTTGTGGAGTTAAGGTATACCTTAACCTGGCGCCTTAGACCAACTCGGCCATCTTACCAATACGATGAAAGATTAATGGGAATATGGCTACATGAAAGGAAACTAACGATAACAATAATGGACCTCAAGTAACAGTGTATAAATGGACACACAAGTTGCAGACCGAAGGATATTCCTTGGAGACAAGCGAAAAAATTGATTGTAGAGAAAGGGAAAATCTCAGAAACTGATGACACTGGGGATTGACATGATATCGGACAGCTTATCCAAGCTTTGGAAAGGAACTATGCCGGTGTTGAAAAGCTCATGGTCTTAGTCCCTGAATTTGCTTATGATCTATAGCAAGCGAAAACTATGCTGCTGCCCCTGTTACGCCCAGTTCTGTCGCGTGAGCGCAAGATGATGTCTTATAATTCGCCCAGAGAAAACCACCATGTCTCTATATTAGTACTGGTTTTGTTGTAATGAAATAGGTTCACCCTTTAATGGAGTCGAAATCGGGGTGATCTTCAGATTGCCTAGGTTTAAACGTCCATGAGATTTATAGTATACATAATTTTGAACTAAATTTAGTTAATTTGACAGCTTACAATTTTCATGGCCATACCTATCTTCAATCTACTCTTTACATAACCGTTTCAATGTTGTGCTAAATTAGGGCTTATCGAAGGTAGGTCATATCCACCGCTAACACGCTGTTAGTCCATTCGGAGTTCCAGCTGGAATTTCCAAAATAGGAAATTCAAGGATTAGTGCCGAGGTCCGATAGCCAGGCCCTATTGGTATTTTTCCTCTTCCAAGCTTGACTCAAAGCCTTTGATTGTTTCCTATCAATATTATTCGCATAAAAGTAGGTCTCCTATTCCTCACGAATTTGATAAAAATGGCAACACCTCGTCGCAATGGACAGCTGTCATCGTGCGAACCTTGCCGGAAGGCTAAACTACGATGCGACCACCAAACTCCCATCTGTGGTCGATGTCTCCGTCACAGCCAGGCTGAACGCTGCTTCTACCATCCTGCTCCACTAACTCAACCCCGTGCACGCGCCTCCAGGATGATATCGCGGAGACCCAAGAGGCAACAACGCCCGGACAATCAGTTAGTCTTTCGTTTGGATCAGAGAATCTCCAGCGCAGCCAAGCTAGGTCCACTGCCAGGGTTACCACTGGCTACAGAAGAGGGAAATACTTTATTCGACCAACATATCGCGCGATGGACTGCGAAGGAGAAGCGGACTCTGGCACCGGGACTTCTGGGACTGGTCTCCCCCAAAGATATTTTCAGTCAGTATGAAGATACTTTGTGTTTTGAAGAGTCAGGAAGCCTATCGGCAGATGCAGTACCGACCACTGCCTATTCACCGAGCGACTCCAATCAGGTGTTGCTAGGGGCTCAGATTCTGTCACATCTTCAGAAGATCCGCTGGTTTCACGAGATCATTGAATTGAAGAACAAGACATCCCCAGGATGGTTCCTAGGTCCCCCCCTGACTCGTGCTCTGTGTGATTCTATTGAGCAAATGTATGACTGTGCGGTCCGAAATTCCCAGGATACCCATGCATCGCTAGCCAGCTTGTCCCGTCAAATATTTGTCAACACATCCAAAGATATCCAGGCACATTCAACAATGAATTTGTCAGAATATTTTGATTTAATAACGCCAAGGTGGGAGACAATTGGACTTGTCTTCGCCCTGCTGGGGACATCATTATTCCATACACCCGATGATGATCCGATCTTCACACATCGCAACCCGTGGAAGCTTGAAAAGAGCCATCTCGGAAATATAGCAGTCGCCATTGGCGATATCTGCTACCAATTCTGCAATAGCGCTGGAACGACTAGTGATCCATTCTGCTGGCTCATGACGCAGCAAATAGTTCTCTTGACTTCGATGTTTGGAGACAACGGTAATCAACTTTCTTATATTTCCTACCAAAAAAGAAAAGAAAAAGAAAATGGCTGATATTCAGAAAAGATTACATGGTATGGCAAAAGCTTGGAGACTTATCTACCATAGTTTACGCATTTGACTTGCATCAGTCCGGCGAAGAGACCGATGAAAACCTTCCATTCTTCTTGGTGGAGGTACGAAAGCGAGTTATGGTGTGCGCATACGCAATTGATAAGGCGCTGGCGACCTCTTTGGGGCGTCCCCCACGGATCTGCTCTCGATACTGTAGTATCTCGCTTCCTTTGGATATAAGTTATGAGAAGATGGTCCTCTCACGAAGCGAACGTGAGAAGTCACTGCAGAATCTCGATGATAATGGTTGGAACACCGAAGGGAATCTGACCGTTGGCGTTATACTTCGCGTGGTTCTACTGACGAGCTTGTTGCGAGAAAGTATCTTGGAATTGTCTTTAAGTCCTAGCACTAAGCATATTCCAGCCAAAGTTGAGTTCGTATCCCATTATAGATCATATTACATTGATATAAAAGACTGACTGGATGAAAACTCACAGAAAGTTAATTCAGGAATCCCGTCAGACGCAACAAGGCCTCCCGTCGTTTATGCACTGGTCCTCTGAGAAAGCTGCAGCGGGTGCTTATAGCTTTCCAAAAGATGAAGGTCGCGCCTTTGCTCACACAGAATTTACGTACCAAGAGTTTCTGCTACATAGAATCTTGCTAAAGCGCCTTGGGATAAGCTCGCAAGGTCTCATACAAAGCTCCTTGGAAATAGTCACCACCCTACTAGACATTATTGCTATGCAGACCCGGTCTACTCACTCAGTGGCAAATCTCTTATGGGATGTAAGATTTCCCTGGTCCTAATTGCTGACATGGCGCCTTTCTCATAAACTCATCTTATTCTAGTTATGCTACATTGGGCTTCCTGCTGCTGGCATCCTGACTTCGAAACTGCTCTCGGATCATAGCACTCAGATATCGAACCCATCGTCAACACCCTTACCTGCCAACCTTCGATCACTTGCCATCGAAAAGCTCAATCTTTTTTTTTCTCATCTGACCTTCCTCGTGCGGCCAAACGAAGAGAATCATGAGATTGCCCAACAAGGGGCGAGAATCATTCGTCGGGTGCTCGATCGAGTTCTTTCCCCTAAATTTCCCCAGCCGGCTATATTAAATCCAGATATTGATCTGTCTGAAAGTTGGCTTGAAGGTTGTGATTTCGATGGTAATTTTGATTTCATGGCGTGGTTTGAGAATATCCACTGGAAGCAGGATCCTTTGTTAAACTTCACCTGACTCAAATACAACAACCATATTTAGTCCAATATATACATTTAAGAGTCCATATAACAGCTCTCTCTTGTTCGAATAGACATTGAAATGCGCAATGCACATTAGAATTATGCTTTTACTTATATGGATTGCTACGGGTGTGATCTCGTGTGGAATAAACCCTGTATATAATGCGTGCCCTCTTCGAACAGCTTGGGCATTATGTACGTAGATATATACATAGAATGACCGGTGGATTCCAACATGTTCTTTAAAACAAATTCAAGCTTCGAACTCCACGTACGTACGTGATAGCTCAAGGAAAATATAGTGACTCACTGCCACCAACCTGCGACTCATTGGTGAGGTCCAGACCTAGAAGACTCGAGATAAAATAGACTGGTCGATGGAATATTTAATCGGAGTGAATAGACCATGCATTTTCGGAATTCAACAATTGTTATTTCCTAAATAGGTAATGGTTGTGGTTGCTCCGAGTCAAGCACTAGAGGTAGCTACATATCTTGCTATAAATAATCTGGCACTGTACCCTATAGAAATAATTCCTTGAGCACTCAGCATACCTCGTGCAGTATCAATGGTGACCGACTTGTGCTGGGCATTACAAGCCGACAATCACTTTGGTCCTCGTGTCAGCATCGATTGTCGTGCCTTTGACTTTACGCTCTTATTCGAGGACATATTTTTCACATCTCTGCCAGCTGCAACTTTCTTATTAATTTTACCTATAAGGCTTTATTTTCTCCGGCGTGAGCCAGTCAAAATCAATTCATACACATTGGCAGTCTGCAAGCTAGTAAATGTCCCGCCTTATAGCTTTCTCGATCGTGGCTAATCTCAAGTAGTGTTCTCTCTTTGTGTTATTTGTTTTCCAAGTTCTGCTTGTGGCATTTCAAGTCCGAGAATCGACCCTTCATACGCGGGCTTCATTGCCTGCACTCATACTCAACATCATAGCAACCTCTGCGGCATCATACGCCTCCTTCGTAGAGGATCAGCGATCCGTCAAGCCCTCTGATATTCTAGTCCTTTATTTCTCGGCATCTAGTATTTGTGGGCTGCCTAAGCTGCGCTCACTCTGGTTAATCCAATCCGTCGAAGTCTGTCGATATCTCTCGTTAGCCAGCTTGCTTTTGATGGTGGCAATTACAGCTCTTGAGTCAGTTCCGAAAACCAAGATGCTGAGCTCACACTATTGTAATGGTACCGAAGAAGGGAGGATCGGGTTTTGGAGCCGAAGCTTCTTTGTTTGGATATTGCCATTCCTTCAGACAGGGTATCGAGAAGCCCTAGAGGTTGAGGATGTTCCGGAAGTCGACACAAAACTTCAAGGACAATGTTCGGGTAGTAGGCTTCGAAAGTCCTGGGATTCCATGACTACCAAATGTCGATATCGCTTGGCCAGAGCTGTGTTTCATGCATACGGATGGGCTTTCGTTTCCGCGATCCCTGCACGTCTGGCCTATAGTTGCTTTACGTTTGCGTAGCCTTTTCTGATTTTAGCAACTGTGAACTATATCGGGGGAACTTCAGCGTCCGAGCCTAAGATTTACGGAAATGCACTCACCGGCGCGTATGTTCTGGTGTACATGGGGTTAGCGGTACGTATTCGTCCAGTATTCTCAATGCAGGATGTCTCTTTAACGGTCATAAAAAGGTTTCCAAAGCTGTATACTGGCGTCAGACATACCGTCTTCTCACTATGATGAGATCTGGTCTTATATCTATGATCTATGACCAGACTATCGACCTGAGTGCGGCTGATTTGACTGATTCCGCAGCTATCACATTAATGGGCACTGATGTCGAACGAATAATGGCGAATTTGAAAAACATCCATGAGGCATGGGCATCTGTCGTAGAACTGGGGATAGCGATTTGGTTATTGGAGCGCGAGATTGGTGTCGCCTGCTTTATACCCCTCCTCATCTCACTGGGTGAGAGGTTCCTCTGATTTTAACATATTCGAAGAGCAACTGCTAAAAAGATTTACCTCTAGGTTCCGTGTTAGCAATGGTCCCAGTGTCAAGTCGGTCTGGGAAGGCGCAGAAACAATGGATCGAGCGAGTACAAACGCGACTTGCAGTGACAGCAAACACATTAGCTAACATGAAGGCTGTACAAATGCTTGGGTTGAGGGATGTTATCTTACCACTGGTGTCACATCTGCGTGAAATGGAAGTGAAAACTTCAGTTACTTTCCGAAAGTTGTTGATATGGCAGGTTGCGCTCTGTGAGTACCTGACACAGGTGATATGGCCATGAAAGGAACTGACGTTGAATCCAGCCAACTTGCCAGTTGTCCTCGCTCCCTTCGCTACGTTTCCCATTTACGCGGTAATATCTGTCGTGCGACACGATGGATCAATCCTCTCTGCTCAGGCATTCACATCCCTCGCTTTGAGTTCTCTTCTCACAAATCCCCTGCTCATATTTTGTCAAGCGATGCCTGCACTCTGGCAGGCCGTCGCTTGCTTTGACCGAATTGAAGCATATTGTGCAGAGAACACCCCTTCAGCCGCAACACACGAAGAGCAGGCTCAGCCGTTCTCGACATCTGAAAAATTCTTGATCTCATTCCAGAATGCAAACATAGCATGGTCCCCGGAAAAAGAGCCCGTGCTACGCAGTCTGAATGTTGATATTTACCAAGGTATTACGATGATTGTCGGTCCTGTTGGATGTGGGAAGTCAACTCTGATCGAGAGCATCCTCCATCAACACATGGTTAAAAATGGTACCAGGACAGCGTCATTCTCAAAAGCGGCCTACTGTCCACAGACCCCGTGGATTTGGAATGACACCATCCGGAACAATATCATGGGATTCCTGACATTTGATCAAGTATGGTATAATTTCACATGCGAGGCATGTGGCCTGCAGGAGGGCCTCGACGCTCTTGCAGAAGGCGACATGCATCTAGCTGGAAGTGATGGCATCTCACTTAGTGGAGGCCTAAAGCAGCGAATTGTGAGTTATTACGCATAAAAGGCAACTGATATTTTCACGTACTAATGATTCGTATCTCCAGGCGCTCGCCCGAGCGGTTTACTCCAGGCTTGATGTTGTCATTCTGGATAATGTGTTCAGCGGACTCGACTCGACGAATGTTGCTCTTATCTCGAACCGGCCTTTTGGCAAAGATGGATACTTCAAGAAACCGGGAATATCCGTTATTCTCGCAATGAGTACCTGTATGTCTTGAGGCGCCTTGACGGCGGATAATGTCCATTAAGACATGATTAAGGACTAGCGCTAAGAGAACCTATAGATCAGTTGCTTCCCCATGCAGACAAAATAGTGATGATGGATGAGGGAAAGATTACAGCATCGGGGTCATACAGTGAAGTACTATCTAAGGAACCGAAGATTTCTTCAGGAGTTGAACACCCAACTGCGGAACCTCCTCTTGCAATGGTGGGGAAGTCAAACTCTCATCTCACGGTTGTCGAAAACAAAGATTCTCTCAACGCTTTTGTGGAGATAGCCAATGACGAAAAGACCACCCTCGCTGGACATCAACAAAATTGGTCCGTGTATACATACTACTTTCGAAGTGCAGGATATGGCCTTTTGGTCTCGTTTTTAGCCTTCATTATTATTGAGGCTTTCTGCACCAGCTTCCAAAGTCAGTTTTGTTTGATTCCTATTAATTAGAAGGAAAGCTAACAGCTTTTAGCACTTTGGATTCAATGGTGGGTTGAGGCAAATGAAGAGCAACCTAACAAGCAGCTGGGGATGTATCTCGGTATTTACGGTTTGATATTTGGATTTACATTACTGAGTCTCATAGCTAGCTGCTGGTATGTGTGTTTGACGCGATTTATTTTTAGAGCTGACTTAAGATCCTAGGTTGCTCTTCATTCGAGCGCTTAACAACACTTCGCTGAATTTGCATTCCGATCTTCTCAAAGCAGCGCTTAGGTGGGCGGTCATAGTCTACCACCTATATTTTGTCATACTAATATCTTTCAATGCAGGGCAACGATTACCTTCTATCAAAGTGTAGACACCGGATCAACAACGAATAGGTATGGTTACTTTCAAAATTTCCTACCTACAAAGTTTCCTGTTTCTAAAATATCTGAAATAGATTTAGCCAAGATTTGGAACTTATTGATATGATGCTACCAATATATGCTGTCAACTGCGTGACTAGTATGAACCCTCCTCCGATACACAGATGCTAGGGCTAACTCACTCGGCAGGTTTCATTGAGGTTTTCATCAGCGTCATTATTATCTGTGCCATGGGTAGATACCTGGCAGTCTCAATCCCATTCCTAGGGGTGGTTCTATTCTTCATTCAGTCATATTACCTACGCACATCCCGACAGGTCCGATTGTTAGATATCGAGGCCAAGGCGCCCCTTTACACACACTTTCTCGAGACGATCCAGGGTATATCAAGCATCAAAGCCTTTGACTGGGGGCTCCAGCTACGAGAAAAAAGCGACATTCTACTAAACCGATCCCAGAGACCGGTCTACATGCTTTACAGTATTCAGCAATGGCTAATTCTGGTTTTGGATTTGGTTGTTGGGGCTATCGCAGTCGTTTTGATTGCAGTCATCACATCCCTACGAGATCAATTCAGTGCAGCATCCATTGGAGTTGCACTGAACATTATACTGACACTAAATCAGACCTTGGCAAATGCTCTCAAGATGTGGACCATGACTGAAACTTCTATCGGGGCTGTCTCGCGTGTAAAACGCTTTATAGAAGATACTCCCTCGGAAGAACGCTGCGTGAGATCTCCAGATGTTCCTCAATTACCGCACCCCTGGCCTTGTGAAGGTGCTGTGGAGTTTACGGACATGACTGCTGGGTATGGGTACGTATTATATCGCTATAGAGTGATTTATTCGGCTATAGATATTCAATGCTAAATCAGACGCAGCCACTCAACCACTCCAATCCTCAAAAGTATTACCATGACTATCAAGCCAGGGGAAAAGATTGCCATCTGTGGACCATCCGGGAGTGGAAAGACATCACTTATCATGGCGATTCTCCAGATGCTTGACGTTCAATCTGGATGCATCAACATAGACGGCGTGAACCTTGCCGAGATTTCGAGAAGCACAATCCGCTCGCGCATCAACGTTGTCCCTCAAGAACCCTTCTTCATGCCAGGCACCCTCCGCTTCAATCTTGATCCTCGCCAGTGTGCGATCGATGCAGAACTGATCTGTGCTGTCGAGAAGGTGGGCCTCTGGGATCGGGTCCGTGCTAAAGGGGGCTTGGATATGGAGTTCTCTGCTGGGGACTGGTCGGTTGGGCAGAGGCAATTGCTTGCCTTGACTCGGGCCCTCGTGAAGAAGAGTGCTTTGTTAATCTTGGATGAGGCAACAAGCAGGTAATAACTTGTCTGAACATTGTCCCATATTGTTTTCTAGATTTTCTAGAATTTCATTGAGGCAGAAGCTAACGATATCCTTGTGCTAGTGTCGATTGGGAAACGGAAGCGATCATGCAGGAGATTATCGAAAAGGAATTTTCACAGCAAACTATCATTGCGGTGGTCCATCGGCTTCGTTATGTTCATTGGTTCGACCGGGTGATGTTGCTCAAGCATGGCGAACTTGTGGAGTGCGATCGAGCTGAAGAGTTGCTGCAAAGGGATTCTGACTTACGGAAGCTCTATTTGGCTTTCCAGGAGCCATCTACTAGTGGATAATCTTTTGCTTTAGACATCGAAATGAGATAAAAGTGGTTATTGAAGAGCCCACATGAAATAAAAGACTTCTTCGAAGCAAGCCTACTAGTCTACCTGAAAAATATCTGTACAGAGCGTGCAAAACTCAAGACAACGCACAATTCTTCTGGGATTGCTGCTTCTCCCAAAACTGAAGGATGTCTCCCAGCATTTTCCGGTGACTGGTGTTGGTTTTCAAGCCTCACGTATCAAAGCCATACATAGAGTACTTTAACCTACCGCTGTGCCCTTAAAGGATTCCTTACGCGGGTACATTACCTATAAGGGTGCAATTCTCTCTGTAACCTCCGAATCAAAATTTCTCTATTGCTCCTTTCAAAACACCGGCCCGTGGTGGACCTAACTCAGGCTTCCCAATTCTTCGATGGTCTCCGCCCACAGTTTCCTCTGTACGGCCTTGCCTGCCGGGGACAGAAGATATGGAGATGGCCTGCTCGGTAAAAGATAGTCAGTTGCTAAGATCCCTTTTTCTCATATATTTGTAGGTACTGGGAAAGATAACGTACTCGATGATTTCCATGTCCCCAAGGAATCCTCCATGTGATTCTGGCCCTGCAGCCACACTGGCGTTGACAAAGAGCCTCCCGCCAATCTCAACAGGCCGTGCTAGAAGGGCCTTCACGACGCCCATGACCATCCGCATATGAAACGGTAGGACATCTGTCATATTCGTATTGATCAAACCTGGACAGACCATGTTCAAAATAACTTTGGATTTGTCGAGTCGTGCAGCAAGGCTGTACATGAACATGGCACACAGGAGCTTGCTGTCGTTGTATCTCTCATTTGGAAAGAAGAATTGTTTAGAGTCCATATGCTCACCTATTTTCATAGGCGCTTTTTTCTCAAAAGACGTGGTGAAGTACATCCGACTACCCACCCACGTAATACGAGTAGATTGACCGATTTGCTCCGCACTCGCCTTGAGGTAGGGCAGCAGCTCGGCGATCAAGAGAGCATTCGAGACGTAATTCACTTGAGTGACTCGGTCGTGCCCGCTTGGGCTGCGTTCGAGCTTTAGAAGCCCAATACCCGCGTTGAGGAGGAGGATATTAACCGAAGGAACTTTGAGTTTCAAGGCTTTAGCGAAACGTTGCACACTCTGATAGTTGTCCATATCAAGTTCCAGAACGGTAATCTTTGCGTGAGGGTTGAGTCGCTGAAGCTCACGTTTGCAAGCTTCACCTTTCGATACACTCCTCACAGCAATAATGAGGTGGGAGACATGGAGCTTGAGCAGTTGTCGTGCTGTCTCTAATCCAATACCAGCAGTAGCCCCAGTGATCACAGCTGTCTTTCCATGGAGGTCGAGATTCGGGGGCAATGAAGCAACCTTGGGTTGTGGAAAATTCATCTTGGTCAAAATGGTCCGGAGAGTATATATATCAGAGGAGTAAATGCGGAAGCTGGCTTGGATGATTTTTGTTAAAATGGAAGGCGCCATTTCCCTTATATAGTCCTTGAGACTCACCTAGGGGTAAGTCTGGGCGCATAGTACTGCCCAATTTGGTACCTACTCGATTGCATTATCTGACACGGAATTACTGCTGCCTGATTTGTTTCGACTCATATGTTGCAAGTTGCCACTGAGAGTTTAATAGTTGTGGTTTACATTCTCTAACACGGTAGGGCGGCGACGTGACGGCTATCGGGCTGACCTTTAGCGCAACCATCTGGCCGCAGACTGGATTAGGCAAGTCATCTCGCATTGGCTATTGATTATGAATTTGGTTTTTATGTGCTGAGTTAACTCGGATTAGGGAAGTCTCCGTCCTATTCGAAGATTGCTTATATGCTCCACATTGATAGGATCTGTGAGGCTAATTCCAGGAAGTGCATTCTTATTGGTGAACTTAGCGCTGCCCCGCAAAAGCATTTAATCCTAATTAAGAAAACCCTCTCCCATTGGATCCTGTGAATAGACCCACTCTGGATCCCCAACCTAATTGGGAAAACCCTCATTGGTTGTCCGGCTACGGTCATTGCTTTGAACCGTGTATCTATTTACTCACCGGCATCATGAATCTCCGACTGATACCAAGCGGCACAAGAAGCTTCCGAACCGATTGGTACTACGGGTACCAGCAGTTTGGTAGAACACCAGTACGCAGCTATATAGGGCCCATCCAACAAAACCCCCTTTTCAGGCCAAATTGATGCCTAGGTGTCTGATTAACTAAATAATCTTGACCGCCTTTTGTACTGCGCTGTACAATCAAAAGTTATACATAGAAAAGTCCTTTCCGCCATCGACCTATCTAAACAGGATATTATCTGAGAAGACCGGTAAAGTTACCACTGAAAAGTCTACACAAGGCCGTTTATGCGGCCGATTATTCTTGTGTATTGTAAACTGACAAGTATGAAAATGAAGCTATTGGCACCATACAAATCCATGCATCTCCGCTTTTTAAGGTGGTTAAATGTAAGTACGAACAGCCTCATTTTCTTACTTATAGGGTTAACTGGCAGAACTTGGGTACCTTGATGATGAAGGCCTATGTAATAGTAACTCAAGTATCTTTATTTATCTGCCAGTCTTAATTCAGGAATCCAGGAAATAATCAGGCATCTAGGAATCACACTGCCTGAAAGGGGGTTTTACCGCATGGCCACTATACCGCTGCGTAATGGTCAAGATTTTGCTTCAACCGAGCTGATTTTAATCAAATTCATTTCCATAGGGGAACTGATTCAGGTCGAGATAGGGTTTGCCTCTTTTCTTGGTGTTCTTCGAAATGTCCGTCTTGGCTCGGGAGAATATTGACCGCAAAGAAAAATTCAGTTGTTAATAGTTCTAGGGAAATATAAAAAGAAGTGACTTTCCTCATAGTGTATGATTGTTAAGATCTCTATTTAAGGCCATATCTTGGAATTCTACTCAACATGCCATCTATTCAAGCTATACGCCAAGTAAATACCGAGATAAAGGAACTTGGCCCTGGGCTAGTGGGCATCTTCGGTAGGTCTTGTCTCGGGTACTTTGGCTTTCTCACTGATGAATACTAGCCGGCGGAACGAGCGGTATTGGAGAGACTACCTGTAGGGAATTTGTACGGAATACACGGCTACCTATCGTGTATATCATCGGTCAAAACCAGACAAAGGCATCTCGTGTAACGGCCGAGCTAAGAACTATCAACCCTGAGGCCAAAGTCATCTTTTTGCAAAGTAACCTCACCGCAACCCTGCCCCGCCATCAACGAGGACAATGAGTGTAAATAGCCAGGAGTACCCAATTGCCTTCAACAACGGCTGCAGAGCGGCAATAGCTGCTGCAGAGAGAGCACATCGAGTGATATTATTCGCCGCGGCGGCTGCACTAGGACGTTTTGGGAAAATATCAACTAGCAAAGCACTGAAATTCTGTAAGACCACCGTACATTTTGCGCCAATCAAAGCCTGCAAGATCAATGGAATACTGGGATGAACATGGAACTGAATGGCCCACCCATAACCCACCAAGAGAGGAATGGAAATGGACAGGATGGTGAAGGAGCCACGAGATCGAGCACTTTCAAACGTAAATTGATTTCCACCCACGACGCGGTTATCTCCGTCCAGGCCTATCGCTTGTGCGGTGTGTTTGTAATTCCAATCCATAAGACGTCCGGCAATGAGTTCCCCGAGGATGACTCCTAGTCCCCCGGGAAGAAAACAGAGACCAACAAACAGGTCATTGTATCCGTAGGTATTTCCGAAGATGAGAGGGAGGGAAGTTTGAATACAATACCATACGGTGTAGGGCGATGCGGACATCCACAATGTCAAGATGGTGTCCCAGTAGAATATAATATGGAGCGATATAAATGGGCTCGGTATGATCCATTTGCCTTTTCCAGTTTTACCGGCGTTGATATCTGCTACTTCTTCTTATTGGGCCACGAAGGCGTTATTCGTTGTGTTGTTGTTATCCGACTTGGCAACCTTTCCCCTCAGCATAGTCCACCATGTTCTCCATATACCCTGTGGATCGACGGCCCCATTGCCGACGACTGTCCTTGCTGTTTCTGGTAATATCATTCCAAATATAACCAATGCCCAAAAACACCACATGGCATCGCCCGAGGCTAGGATAGAGCCACCGCCAATGACAGGCCCGATGCAGGGGCCGAGATTTGTCGATGTAAGCATGGGACCTAGAATCTTGCCACGTTCGGAGTGAGGCGATATGTCCGCAACAACAGCGTAGGCAAGCGACATGACGGCTGATCCTCCAATACTCTGGAGGCCGCGCAACAAGATCAGGGCGGTATAGTTGGATTTATTAAGGGCGAGTCCAAGGCTAGCACAGACATAGATCGAGAAGGTCATTATGAAGACTGGACGGGGGCCCAGGGTGTCGGAGAGTGGAGACCAGAAGGCGGGGGAGATGGCCTGGAATATCACATAGAATGTGATAGTGAGGTTGACGAGTTGGGTAGATACATTGTACTGGTTGCTCAAGAGATCAATGAGTGGGAAGTAGATTGTGGCTGTTAGAGAGGAAGCTAGAGTCAGGTATCCGAGTAGATATGTGAAGAAGCGTATCTGGTTGCGGGTGAATATGGTATATGGCTGAGAGATGGGTAGTGAAGATCTATCTTTAGTAGACATTCTAGAGGAGATTGCTTGATAATTTCACAGTATTCCAAAAAAAGATTCATTACTTAATCTATGCCAGGCAAGGTCTGATTGAGTTTGAAAGGAGATGAAGGCGGGGAAGCTGGTTGGGGGGAACTTCTGACCTTGGAAGCTTTGGAGACCGTAACCAATACAATACCATATGGGGAACATGGGTACCTGGATATTTTACGTGTAGTACATATGTAGGTACAAAAGTACTGTGTTATTCCGAGGTTCCCCTGGAACACCTGTGAATGAAACCTGATTATCTCAGCATAACCCCTCTTTCAGCCTTCCAAGGTTACCTAGGTAGGTATATAAAGAAGTTTGAACCTGGGAGAAATGATTAGTTTAACAATCTACCGAGTCAAACCTCTCTATCGGCTATCTCTTTTATATTCACTTTTCCATTTTCTACCGTATGAAAATACGATTTGAAATAAACATTAGTCAACTAAAATATGACAGTGGACATGAAACGCCAACTCCCCCCGAGCATTCTAGAGCGTACGTCGTGTGTTGTTAATTCTACCAGAAGATCTCTACAATGTGGCTCGTTAGTAATAAATTTCTTTAGATCTCCCAATTGCTGGTAGCAAAGTAGTCGATACCACTCAATATGGTAAATCGCATTACGGACGTACTACACAGTTGACAGTTCAACTTCCGTCGGGGTTGTACAAAAGTTATTTTTTGAAGGTAGAAAGGAGAATCTAGTGATCCCAGCAATAAACCCACCCTCTAAGAGTAGAATACTAACTGATTTAGTAGATCTTAGAAGGAGAACTCGGAATGATCACCTGCCGAGGCGAGTATGAGTCTCTTAAGTCAATCTATTCGGTATGCGCACATACCCCAGAACCACTTGGATGGGGCAGATACAAGGAAGACGATCTCGACTATTCCTTTCTCCTCGTTGAGTTCTTAACCATTCAGAAGCAGGTATGCAGCTAATATCCCCTTAATATTATCTTGCCACACTATTTATTCAAAATTGGATAATAATTCTCATTTCTAGCCTGCGGATATCGAAACTCTCCCCGCTGCCCTAGCAGAGCTACATTTGAAATCTCGATCTCCAACTGGCAAATTTGGGTTCCATGTGCCCACCTGTCATACACGTAATGTCCAGGCTGTCGACCTTTGGACAGATTCATGGTGTGAACTCTTCTCTAGCCATCTTTCACGCATTATCTCCCATGCCAAGGCCGGGTTTATGTGGCCTGAATTTGATCAGCTCGGACAACTAGTTCTTTCCAAGGTCGTCCCTGCTCTCCTTTTACCGTTGCAGACACATGGGCACTCCATTAAACCATGCCTTGTCCATGGGGACTGCTGGGATGGGAACACCGCCACTGGGGAAGACGGTCGTGCTTTCTTTTTTGATGTTGCTTCCTTCTATGCACACAATGAATATGATCTGGGCAACTGGAGGGCTTCTAGACATGCCCTTAGTGATCCAGCCTATACGAATGCATACAAAGAAGTGGTTCCTATATCAGAACCAGGTGAGTTCTCATAATAAGTATTCCCTATAGAGAAAAGAAGAAAAGTATAATTGACACGTTGCTTTAATCTCTCAAGTCCAGGATTGGAATGATAGAAACCTGCTTTACTCGTTGACATGGAACATATGCAATGCATTATTCGTGCCTCATTCCACGCAAAGACCGCAGTAAGTCGATCTTAGGGGTAGTGCTTTTGTTCTAGTTTGGCTGATTTTTATTTTCCTTTAACAGAGTCTTTAAAGACATGATAACTCTCTGCGAGGGGGTTTGTCCAGATGATCTTCATGAGCTACTGTCCGGCTTTGACAGGGCAAATGGAATCACTGATCCGTCAATAGTGGATCGCGAGGGCTGAATCATCCTATACTGAACCCGAGGATGAGGGCCTGATTAGCTCAACATGCTTGACAGTCAAGCTATCTTTCTTGGACTCCCTGAAACTCCCTTGGTGTCGGATATCAAGGCCGCGCTTGATGATGACAAGCTCATTGCGTTTGACAAAGATAATTTCTCCTGCACGCCCAAGATCCAGTAGCAACTGGTCGATAGAAGGTAACCAATTATTAGGAATAAAGAAGTGTCGGGCCGCAGGCTCATCACTCTCTTTCAGATTGGTGGAGCAAACCCAGTACTCAGAGTCGATATAGACTAGTCGTTCATCAAGTGTTCCAATAACCGCCTCGAATTTTGATGATACGGCATCAAAGCTGTGCACAGGGGATTGAATTATTTTATTCGAGCTGAAGTCACCAAAGTCCCACACATGTATCCGTGGCACAGAAGCCTGGGTGGATGAGGCGTCTTTTGTTAGTGTCACAAAGAAACGAGAGTGGCGGAGAGGAGTTACATGATCGATGATTGTGAAGGGTTGGAGTAGATGGTCCAAAGAAATAGCGTTGACACATTCCAGAGAGGTCCAGTTGTACGACATTATCCCCGTGGGCGTCACAAGGAGTAGATTATTGGCGTGCGTGGAACTCTGAATCCAATGTCCTTTGGCCTTGACCTCATTGCGAATAAGAGGAGCCTTATCCCCAGAGACAGCCAGATCCCAAAGAGTATCCTCGGAATCGGTACTTACAAGAAGCCTTGAATGTTTGCTGCATCCAAGAATTTGCCGTATACTTGTCCCGATGTAGAAATCCAGGAAAGGTTCCTGGACATCCCATCTTGATCGTGGCCGTCGCATAAGTCTTCTACTTACTACGTGGCTGGCGGAGTCTGCACAGGTGAGAATGCCTTCATCGAAGTGTAGGAAAGTGACTGAAATCCCACGAGTTTGTACAAACAGCTGCTGGCTCTGGAGCTCAGAGGCGAAGTCGTAGACATGCACGGATTCATCCTCCTTTCCACAGAACACAAGCGAGGCAGACTGGACGCAGAGAATAGATGCGATGCTCACTGTTTCTGAAACCTGATAGTCTATCTCTTGATAGCTTGTTGGGACAGATACCGTGTCACTGTTGATGTTGTCGATATCCTGTCTCTGCAACACCGCAGGGCCCCAAATCCGGCACTCGTATAACCGAACGTCGAGGAGTAGGGTATTGTCCAAAGTGAAGACGAGCGATTTGGACACAGACTGGTCCCCATTGAAGTTTAGCAGATATATCACTTTGAGTGTTTCAAATATCAAATAACTGAATTGTGCCTTGAGAGTTGGCAGTTGCCAATGTGCGGCCGTCTGGCGAGCACGCCAGCGCGTGAGCAATCACCCCCTCTAGAGTTCCTCGAACGCCACCGGACGATGTATCGTACACCACAATATCTCCATCTGAGTAGGCTGCAACAAGAATGTTCGCGTCGACGGCAGGGCTGAAGGCTAGGTGCCAAACTGTTGTGCTTCCGTTGCTCTTTTTCAGCGATTCATGAAGAGACCCGGAGTTCTTTTCATATATATCGTGGATTCGTTTTAACTCAAAGTTCCACAAGATGAGGTACTCCCCGCGATAGATTATCGCCAGGAGGTTTTGGAGAGGAGAGAAAGCCGCGCCCCAAGGTTGCCTGAACTGGAGACCACTATTTTCAAAATCTTGCGTCCAGTTGGTTGGCTCGTCCTCAATGACACCGCCGTTTTGGATATCCCAGCAAACAAGCTGATTGTTTATCAGTGCACCAAGCAGAAAACAGTCATTGTCTATGAATGTCAGGGCCATGCACCTCCCTGGGATTGGAAGAGTGCAAATCTTGGACCAGGAATCCAAGCTCCATACAGACACAGATTTTAGACTGGCTGACGCAAGATAGTTCCCGCTTTCGCCAAATGTCAAGTTCAATACCCCTTCTTGTTGACGGATAACATTGCATTCCTGGCATGTCTTACTATCGTAGAAGAAGATATGCCCGTTTTCCATGCTCATGGCGATGTACTTGTTTGATGTTGCCACGCACGTACCCCAAATCCGCTTCTCCGATTTGGGATACGTGACAGTGGACAAGCAGTCATCCCAAGTATGCAAAGATAAACCATGTACAGATACTCCTCTAGTAGATGAGCCAAACAGTTGCCGGATAGTGGAATTGCGAGGACAAAATGGAGGGATGAGATGTTGAATTGACAACGGGTAGAGGGAAAGTTGGTGACCGAATCTAGTTACAAGATAAACCATATCATTCCCCCACCCCTGGATGAGTTGTGCATCTTTCTTCAGACTCAATGGGGATGCATGCTGGGAGCGCCGAGCCATCAAATTCTCGATGGCCTTCCCAGCATGAAACACCAATTGCAGATCTCCATGCCTCGCGAGATATCCAATCCAGCTCAGGATATTGGGTGACATGAGAAATTTCGAGAGGGCGACGTATATATCCTCGTCCATCGACCTAACGAGAGGCAAATGCTTGAAGATAAATTTACATGCATAATCTCCAAACGGGGACTTCTTGGATTCTGTAAAGAGGCCTAGATTTTTTGAACGAGGGGGTTTCATCTCGCTGCTAGAGAGGTACTGAAGACACGCCAGAGTAATTTGCCTATGTGCATTCGATTTTTCAATTGCAAACTCCGAAACAGTATTCTGACGTAGAAGAAAATCACGCGCCGTCGAGTGGATTAACTGGACCATTTTTTGGCTGTCAACATAGGCGATGTTGCGACAACATGTGTTAATGGAACGTTCAATATCGCTGATGTTGTCATTGATACCAAGCTCAATAACTGGATGTATTTCAGCTATCGACAGAGGTCGAAATGAGCATGTTGTCCAGGTAAGAATGGCTTTCGCCAATTCCTTGCCGAACCGAGCGTTGGCCATATCGGCGAGAATCTTGCTATAAAGATTATCCATGCTGTCAGAACTGCTCGCCAGTACTCTCCGGATGTCTGAAGATGTATTGGCTTGCTGGAGCTCCTTTAGTACTAGGTCGACCCAGAGAAAGCACCCATTAGACGTATCGGAAATGTCATCCACCATAGCTTTTCTTTCATCATCGTTCCTTGTGGGCAGTGAATCAATCTGGGCTTGCAGAAGAAGTAATATATCCTTCTTTGTATCGTGCTCTTCGATCGCCTCTGACACGACTTGAGTTGTCTGATTCATAAAACCCGTGGTTGTCATTGGATATCGAGAAGTCACCAAGATGGACAATGGCCAGACCTCCTGCATCTTTGCCAGAAAAGACATCAGTTCGGAGCCTCCCTTGGACTCATCTAGGGCATCAATCACCCAGTATTGCTGTTTGATTAGATGAATTTTGAGCAGAGATCGTAGATAAAGCCTCTGCCAAACAGAATTATGATCTGCCTTGCTGATCGTGGCATCCTGCCATGTCCCCGCGGCGTCTAGTACAGCTGACAGAATTTCTCCGTGTAACCGGGCCATCTGCCAAGCCAATGACCTTAAGAAAGAATTTATTGTGACTTTTGATTTGTCCTCCTCCTTGAAGAAAAAGAAACAGCAATCTTGCCCCAGGTTCCGTAGGTGGTTAATGACGTGGCCGGTTAAAATGGTCTTTCCTGCACCCGGTCGGCCTCGCAGCCAAAGCAGTTGGGAACAGGAACAATCCAGCCATCGCTCAAAAAAGGGCTTTTCTAAGAGCCAATCACACGAGCCTGGAACCCTACTGTCATCTTGGTTCATCAAGTCTCCTTCTGGGGCTTCAGAAAACCCAAGAAATGTATTCAAGACCTCTAACTGATCTTCTTTTATCTGCCCAGTCTCAGAAATTTGGAGATATCGTTTGCTGTCGATGTATGCTGCAAGCGAGTTCCGAACTGCGAGGTAGGAAGGGTCGTTCGTAGAAGTAAAGCGTGCGACATTCCGGTGATTCGCGTTGAGATACATCTTTCTTTCGTTGACATAGTTCATCACTGCAGACGTTTTGTCCACGATCAGCCCTCGACCAAAGACATAGTTCATCGGTTTGGTTTCGTAGAAGGAGAACAGTTTCAGGTCATCACAAAGACGCGGAAATTCTTCATTGATCAATTGTAGTGCTTGCGATCCTGGAAAAAGGTCCTGAACAAACGGCCGGCTCCCTGGCACTACCTGTAGAAGTCGGCTCAGGGTCTGTGCAAGATTGGCTCCTTGGTGTGGTGTTGCAAGGAAGAAGATGGCACAGATTTTGTGAACAAGCGGCCTCATTTCCTCATTATCATGGGCGAAAATAAATGCCTTCTTGATAACCAGTCCACCCATGCTGTGGCCGACCAAGATTAATGGTACCTGAATAGTACCGAGCTGTTAGAAAATATGGATTCCTGACTCCAGGAAGGGTCTAATTTATATATACCTTGCTCTCTCTCAGAATTACAGGCGAATCATGTATAGAGTATAGCAGTGATAGTGCAAAGTCCGGGATATTGAGCACTGATCCTTGGGCAATATCAGATGCATAGCCAAAGGTGTGAATTCGCACATCCTGAAAAGCATGATCCTTGGAGAGCCATTCTCGAGGCCAGAACATTGATGGATCCCCATCTTTGGTCCATGTGCTTTGAGAGCCTCCATTGACTCCATGGACAAATATCAAGTCCACCACTATGTCACCAGGAGGGTTATGTAGAGTGGTTAGCCCTATTGGACCCTTACCGGCCTCTTGACCACGCCAGTCCGTGGTGGTATCTCTGCGGGTGAGGGTCCGAGTAATAAGAGACTTCGTGGTGGCAATGGACACGAGAGATTTGTGCCTGTCTCCATATCCTGATCCCATTTTATTCAATTTATCTGGTGTTATATGTGGGTGATATAGGCTGAATGTTTTGTTTTTGTGGGCATAATTGAAAAAGAGGGGTTCTTCTAAGGCCAGTATTTCGAATATTGGATGATCTGCAAAAAGCCCATTCAAGACAAACTTGGAATCCTACTGCTCATCTTGCTCGTATATTATTTGACGCCACTAATCTGCCACGTCACTGTGACCTGCAAGGCTGTACCTAGCATGACTCTTTATGCAAACAATTTTGAGCTTACAAGGGTGCAGCTGCCCCACATCTAACATAATGATCAATGCCATCACATCTGTTAGCGCCGGTGAATTGGAAACTAGGATTGAGCAACTAATGCACAATTATCGGACCAGTGTGACGGACGTGCATATGGGAGGCTGTAAGCGACAATAAATGCAGAACACTTTCCAACTATAATTTTTTGGCTTGATTTACAAAAAATAGTCCTAACTTTTAAATTAGTCTTTACTAGTAAAAGAAACAAAGGAAACGAAGTTGAGCACACCAGCAGAATGGTTGATTCTTCCGTCTGGGACCAGGAAATTGCTGTACCCGAAAGTGTGATAACCTTTGTGGATGATAGTGTTTCGAAACGTAAGAAAAGATTTGTCTATCCATCATTTATTCTATTCTTCTAAACAAATTTCGTGTCCGTTATAGAGCTCCCTGAGGGTTCAACCGTGGTCAGCATCTTTTCACATGGTGCCTCGTACTGGACCAGAACTGCCGAAATTAAGACTACTAGTTCCACCGGAGATGAGATCTCATTCTTTTTGAAAGTGAGTAGTATCGGGAATTTTGATAGAATCCAGTCTTACTTATTTTGCAAATAGGTTGCGCAAGGAGACATCGGCAAAGGGATGCTCTATGGAGAGTTCCATTCCATGACAGCCATCCATAACGCCATGCCTAATATTGCCCCACAGCCAATAGGGAATGGAACCTACAAGAAGGATTCTGAAACTCACTTTTTCCTCTGTCGCTTTCACGCCATGAAGGGTCTTCCCAACGTTACAGATTTCCCTGCTGCTGTGGCTCAACTACATAAGAACGGGATCTCTCCGAACGGGAAATTCGGTTTCCCTGTAACAACATACCAAGGAAGACTTCCACAAAATACCACCGAGTGCGACAGATGGGAAGAATCTTTCTCGAACGGCATTGAGCAGTTCTTTAAAGCCGAGGAAGAGGCTCAAGGTTTTGATGAGGAGATGGTTGCTCTTAGGAGAGCGATCATGGGAAAAGTAATTCCACAACTGCTACGACCATTAGAGGCGGATGGAAACAAAATCCAGACATGTTTGGTTCATGGAGACTTATGGGATGGGAATACATCGGTTGATTCTAAGTCTAACAAGCCCCTGATTTTCGATGCGTGTTCATCATACGCGCATCATGAATGTGAGACCCATGGTAGAATATTATCTGGTACTAATTCTATGCTAACAATATTTTCGTGTTTACAGATGAATAAGCTCCATGGAGGTTAGTGACACACGAAATTGGAAAGTTGTATGTGGCGGAGTATCTTCAACATTTTCCCCGGTCTGAGCCAGTAGCAGATTTCGATGATCGGAATGCATTATATTGCGTGTAAGTCACCGAAAGCTTGAATTTCCAAAGTAAGTTGCAAAAATATTGATTAAATGGCAATCATAGGAGATTCAATCTATGCTCATCAGCTCTATACCCGGGAAACCTTCGCTTTCGAAGGATGTAAGTGTCCCTGGAACCCCTTACCATGAGCCTATATAACTAACTAGACTGATTATAAAGTGTGAAGCAGGAAATGCGTGATCTTGTAGAGAAGTTTCCACTGCGATATGAAGGCGATAGCAAGACGTGATTGGAGATCAATTTGTATGAGATAAACAGAGAAAAATGAGAATATGTCTAGCATTGTGAGTGACGTGATAGTTGTAGATTATAGGATGTCGATATATACTTTCTACTAGTAAATATATAATACAACTACGAGACCGATTGTATTATATGACTAGCCTTTCAATTGGAAGTGTTCGTGACCTCGGGAGCTAGGTTATAGTAATATCATCCTTTTATACAGCCTAGTCTAAATACACATTTCCTTCCTCAACATCAATATTTAAATTGTTGTGAATATTATTGAAGTTCTAAAATGTCATTATTATAAACATATTGATCAATCCCAAGGCCACTACGTTAAGTATATGTAGAGGATGAGGCAGCATTTATACGCCAGTTGACTGACAGGACTGGTCAGGACAACCTGAATGCTAACATTGAAGCAAATGCAATGAATGTTATCCAAATTAATTCAAGCATCGAAACCAAGCTACTGGATTGATGGGATGTTCTATTAATACTTGCATGAATGAGTTGATCCCACTAATGAATGATCTCCGTATTGTCTTCCATATCGAGGGCTCGACATATTATACAGCATATTGGAAGATAAGCCCCACAAATAGCATGTGGTATTTGTAACGTTAATTCAATGGTTTCTCTTAAGAGGGCATCTACAGTATAGCATAGATAAATAAATTAGATTTTATATTGTAGAGGGTGCATCTCATACTCCTCCACCCTCCATTCCCGCGTTTCGTGAATAATCAGACGTTGGCTATCCTGCGACCGCCGGGAAGTATTCGAAGTCAGATTAACCTGGTCCTCTTCTCGATTTGTTGAGTAGACGTAGGATTGATTGACCGATGTGTCCTTTCCAGTGGGTGTGAAATACGAATTTTTGCCGTTGCCATTTCTGATGCCCAGTCCCCATCCTGTGTTGAATACAATAACAAAGGGCTTTAGACATGGTACGGTAGATACCATTATGCTGCAGTGAAGGAGAATGGCTGTTACTATCATGGCATCCGATAAACGTAGAGGCGCGTCGGGCTGGAACAGCGAATGGTCAAGGTATGTTTGTCGGAGTATAATTAAGACAATAGCCCTAAACATTACAGATAAATGATTAGCCATTTCCTTATTGTTTGCGACTTCAGACACTCACGGGGCCCTCGTCCCAAACGCAAAAACCACCGCCCACTTTTGCTTCCACCGCATCTGAATGCCCCATACTAGTAAGATACAGAGTCCAAAGGTAAGGATTTCTGTAATCACATCAAATGCAGTGATAATCTTCCAGGCCATACCCTGCTCTTGCTTGTCAGTTGAATCGCTTCATGTGAGTGAGTGTAACGCACAATATTGCTACAATGTTGGGGCATGGTAAGTTGGTATTGTGGGAAGCAACTGAGGGCAACCGCAAGAATCGAAGCAGGTGTCCACAACGGCACCATACCCAGCAGTATTCTAGAACAGAAGATATAAAGTTTTTCTCTGCCTAGCTGTTTGAGAAGCAAACATACGGAAATCTTGGCCGCACCGTGGCCAGCAAGGAATAAAAGGTTCGCTGCATAAATGCCCTGAAGTGACATCTGTCAGTTTTTTCCTTTTTTTCCCCTTTTCGAATGCCGAGTTTGTGATTTGGAAAGGAGGTGAAGTTAACCTTTCCAGCGCGTATCAAGTTCGACAGCGAGCTTTCATCCTCTGATCGACCCAGACCATGGGTAATCGCATCCATAATCGCTCCTACATGAGCGATAGCTATTACCTAAAAAATACAACCTAGTTAATGTTGAGAATTCAGTGAATTAGGGAAGAAATGAAACATTGGGGAAAGAAAATTATAACAGATAGAGACATACACTCCCAGTAAGTACTACCACATCATCAATCTTGACCGGTCCATTGATCGCGAGACGCATGTACAGTCGAATTAGACCCACTATGATCATCCAGGTCATGAACAGTGTTTCAACGATGATAACCAAGCCACTTCGATTCGTTGCGGAGACTGCATAAGGGGAGACGGACTCCATAAGGGTAGTCGACACAGGTTTGCTGCCACGGGGACAGAAAAGCAGAGATTTTGGGATGGATCATGGTTATACCTTTTCAGGAGTACTGGGATCATATTTGCGGTTGAATGAATCGAAGGATTAAATGAACGACAGGGGCCCTGGTAGACCTTTTGTATATTGTGTTTGTATTGTTCGGACTCCGCCAAATTCCGAGATTTATTTACGATTATAACCTATGTGGACCACAGAAAGTACCTACAACATAGGTATAACTTATAGTATATACTATTTTTAGTTATAACAGATTAATTGTTTCCGTGTTAGTCAATCAATTACTTGAACCTCAACCGCTCTCTACAACTCTCAAATCAATCTCAACTCATATTTAAAGACCTGATAATAACTTGTTAGATAAAAAAAATCCATAGTGTAATCCCTAGGTGGACAGTGTGGAATCTCCCGAATGGTTGTCTGAGGCCATTTAATATCGCTCGCATATATATGTGGGTCGTAGCGACCCGAGCTAATCTCGAAGGAATTGCGGATCAATAGATCAATATAACGATATAATAATTCACCCAATCAGATGATTTCAATCAAGGGTGTACGTTGACCCTGGAATGGGCCCAGACTGCGGTGGAACAGCTAAACTCGGAGTTCGCCCGCACTTAAAAAAAATCACGCAAGTCCGAAGGGGATCTTCCTAGACAATAAATAATGCAAAAGGGGGTTAGTGTACTCTATAATGGGAAAAAAAGTGGCCAGTGGGGTCGGGACGGGATATCCAGTTTCTACTTCAAACCACCGGCGCGTTCTTAGTAGTGCCCTAATGCATCGTACTTTAGCCGCTGCCAACCATAACTTCTTCTTCTAACTAGGGTTCGCGAGGAATATGAAATGTTATTACTACCATAATTTCTCAAAGTCAAGATAGTATTTGCCCCTTTGGCTACATATAATTTTCTTCCCGAAAAGCTCGGCTACAATCTCGCCCTAGTGCCTGACCTGCTTCGAGGTCGCTCTTTTTTCCCTTCCTTTTAATGGTGTTTTCTTCTTCAACATTGTTGACTTACCCCCCAGCCCTGGAATTGAAGTGATAACTATTCACTATGGGGCACGAGCATGGACTCATGTCCAACGTACAACACTCCACGCTAGAGAAGACGCCCTCCATGGAGGACGGTCTCTCCCCAAAGACAGGTACGGCGCAGGACAAGCAAGACATGTGGCGTGCTGGACGAGACCAGGAATTAAACGTATGAAACTCTACACTTTCCAAACCAAGAAAGCCAGAACCCCAAAAAAGAAAGCAAGAATAACACACGTTGCAGAGAAACTTCCGCTTTCTTTCTGTTCTTGGATTTACAGCAGTGCTGATGTGCACATGGGAAGCAGTGCTCTTGTAAGTCCCTCTAGGAATACTGATATCATTATTAGGATAATAGTATATTGGATCGTGTGTTAATATATTGCGTTAGTGGTTCATCTTATGGATTGACTAATGGCGGGAAAGGAGGAATGATCTATACTTATCTAGGAGGCCTGGTAGGATTCAGCTTTGTGATCCTCTCGATGGCTGAGATGGCATCCATGTATGTATAGTTCGGATGTCTCGATTATTCCTGGAAATCTAAGACCGCTAACCCTTCTTTCCAATATCTTCAGGGCCCCATTGTCGGGCGGTCAGTATCACTGGGTGTCAGAGTTCGCACCCCCCAGCTCTCAGGCCCTGTTAAGTTACATCACTGGCTGGATTTGCGTATTGGGTTGGCACACCGGTATCGCAGGATGCTGCTATACAGTGGCTAATATGATGGTTGGCGTGATTTCCATTAACTATCCCGACACCTATACCTATGAGCCATGGCATGTTACACTGCTCGTTATTGCGGTGGCCCTGGTAGCCTTGATATTTAACACATTCCTGGCTCAGAAGCTCCCCTTGATCGAGGGTATCATCTTGATTGTACACTGCTTCGGTTTCTTTGGAATTTTGATCCCACTTTGGGTGTTATCTCCTAAGGTTCCTGCTTCCGAAGTGTTTGGTTCGATCGAGGATCGGGGTGGATGGGGTAACAATGGACTCGCGTGTATGGCTGGGCTTGTCGGACCCATATATGCATTGATTGGTATGTCACTCATAGGGTTGATAAATCATACCTTGGCGGTTGCTAACAATATATCTTGAAAAGGCCCTGACTCGGCGGTTCATATGGGTATGTATCCTGACTAGGTGTTACCTAGGTAGTACCCGATATACCGGAAATAACTAATGCTGTAATATAGCGGAGGAAATTCGAGATGCGTCCCGGGTGCTCCCCATGAGCATGGTCTGGACGCTGATCCTCAATGGGTCCACTGGCTTTGTCATGATAATCACATTTGCGTTCTGCGTGGGCGATATTGATGCGGTGCTCAAGTCTGAAACAGGCTTCGCCTTCATTCAGGTCTTCCTTAATGCTACGGGATCAGTCAGCGCTACGACAGGCATGACAGTGGTGATTATGATCATGCAATTTTGCGCGGCAATCAGTAACGTCGCCACAACCTCCCGTCAGGTCTACTCTTTTGCTCGAGACAAGGGTCTTCCTTTTTCCAATTTCTTGGCCAAGGCAAGTTTCCTTTTTTCGACATGCCCAATTTTTATAGACCTGACTAATATGGGGGAAAAAATAGGTTAACCCGACCTTCACCGTTCCAGTAAATGCCCTTTGCGTCAGTCTCGTTATTGTCTCCCTCCTCTCTTTAATCAACATTGGGTCTTCTGTGGCTTTCAACGCCATTATGTCCCTCGGCACAGCCGCACTTCTGTCATCCTATATCATATCTATCACCTGCGTTCGTATTCGACGCTGGCGCAACCAGCCCCTACCACCCGCACGTTGGAGCATGGGCAAATTCACTCCCATTTGTGACACCATTTCCATCATGGTTTTGATGGTCATATGGGTCTTTAGTTTCTTTCCCCTGACTAAAGAAGTGGATGTAACTACCATGAATTGGGGTGTGGCTATCTTTGGGGGTGTTGTTGTGGTTTCACTGGGTTATTATGTGATTTATGCCCGGAAAGTGTACAAGGGTCCAGTGACGCGGGTGAAAATGATGTAGTAATAAATGAAAGAGACGTAATGTGGTTAGAAAGAGTTATGAAGTCATATATATCATTTGATCCTCTTAAGACTTCCCTCTGTAAAAGGTCAAAATCACGTGAAACAGCGGTGTAAATATATTGCCCATCTCCACCCCGATCGAGCTAAACAGCAACGGATCGGCCCATTTTGGATTTTATGCCTCTACCCGCCTGTCGAAATGACGATTTGGGAATAGATCGTCTTATGTAATATGACCCACTTCCAAGATTCCAAGATTCCAAGATTCCCTAAGATTCAAAAATCTCTCTGCTCTCTTAACAACTGAGCTGTCCGATATATATTGGAAAGGGCTATATCTAATGTCATCGTCAGCGCCCCAAGTTGAACCGCCAAAGTTCAAATTAGCGCAAGAGAGGGAACTATACAAGTATGTAGACAGGGTTCCACTATTCCAATACCCACCGTCATCCCCATACTGGCAATACAGACTGAAGACTTACATTGATAAAAAGGTATCTCAAACTAAACCAAGCTTTTCAATCTGGTCCGAGCGTCCTCGATACACCCGAGAATGTGCAAAATCAACATACTGCCTATGTCCCCCGATCGTCGCAAGATACCGCTTTGACGGCGTTCGCCCAGCTAGGAGTTTTGAGATTGAAAGCTCAACGTGCCTTAATCTCACTTTTTGGTCGAAACCAACAATATATCCTTGCAGAGGCCACTCAAACACTCAGTCTTCAAGATCATACAGTGGAGAATGATCGAGATGCCTTATGGTTGGGTTGCTGCGTTGTCCCCAAGGAGGAAGGGATATGTCAAAAAGTCGCTTCCCTACCGCAAATCAAACTAGAGGACGACTCACACGTGATTGACGGTATCTACATGGTACCTGATCTGCGCGAGGATGCTCGGTTTAACAAATTGCCCATGGTTACCGGCTATCCTAAAGCGAGGTTCTATGTAGGCGCCCCCATAATCAGTTCTAAAGGGATCACCATCGGATCGTACTGCATTATCGACGACGAGCCACGATCCAGATTGGACCCCCCGTTGATAAAGTTCCTACAAAATATGGCATCGACCGTCATGGCTCACTTGGATATGGCCCGATGCAAAGCGGAACATCATCGCGCAGAGAGAATGATTGTGGGGTTTGGAAGTTTTGTGGAAGGTAAATCAACGCTCCGAAAGGAGTGGGTACAGGAAACTGGACTGCGCCTGAATGACCAGGAACATGACGAAGGCCATCTGAATATACTACAGCAAAATGCACAAATCAAATCCGGTCTGCTCACAACTGTCCACACTCGCCCGTCATCCCCGCTGCTTCAGTCACAGGCGTCTTCACGCAATAGTCCTGATCAGTCCATATCCGAATTGCCCGGTGTACCACCAGCGAGTCTCTCCCCAGGGCCATTCTCCTCTTCGTCAAAGTCCGACCAGGGTTCAGACGCCAGTATCGATCAGATGTCAAGTCCCAATAAATCTGAAACACAAACTAGCTTCTCCGTCCGAAGTACGGCGTCGACCGAGAATTTACAAGACGACATGCTATCCATCGGAGTTCGACAAGTCTTTTCGCGAGCAGCTAACATCATCCGGGAGTCAATAGAAGTCGAAGGCGTCGCGTTCTTCGATGCAAGCATTGGGTCGTACGGCGGTCTCGTCAGCGATACAAAGCGAAAGGGACCAGGCTCAGATAGCAGTACTTTGGAAAGCTCCATGGGCAGCAGCGACGATGGTACAGGATCCGATTCCCAGAAAAGCTCTACCGCATCAGCCGGGAAGGACACCATACCAGAGAATACGACTCTATGTGAAATCCTAGGCTTCTCGACTTCGACCACGTCCAGTATCAACGATGAATCAAAAGGAAGACTTGCACTCCGGGAAGTATTGTTGAAGGCGCTTCTACGACGTTACCCGCACGGCAAGATTTTCAATTACAGCGAAGAGGGATCAATGTCCTCGGATGAAAGCAGTGATGCACCTTCCAAGAGTTCGCTGGATCGTGGTGGTTCAAACCCGAATGCCGACCTCATTGGCAGAAGAGTAAGAGGAGGCCGGAAAAAGACGCGCAGTGCCACACTCAAAGAGGATGGGGATATCCTCATTCGACTCTTCCCGGGAGCTCGCAGTATCGCTCTTCTGCCGATGTGGGACTCCCATCGAGCTCGATGGTTCTCGGGCGCTCTGGTATGGACAAACACACCTCGGCGCGTCTTCACGTCCGAGACTGAGCTCACCTATCTGTCGGCCTTTGGAAATAGTATCATGGCGGAGGTGCATCGTCTGGATGTCGAGATGTCGGAGAAGGCGAAAACAAACCTGGTCAGCAGCATCTCGCACGAGTTACGAAGTCCCCTCCATGGCATTCTCGGTACGTCAGAAATACTTCGGGACACGGCGATGAACGCGCTTCAACATGGATTGGTACACACTATTGAATCGTGTGGGCGGACATTGTTAGATACGATCAATCATTTGCTAGACTTCTCGAAGATAAACAATTTTCGGAAGGAAAGCAAGAAAGCTATCCACAAACGGAAAAGCCCTCCAAGACGACACAAAATCACGGACCCATCGCCTCATAGCCTGAAGCCATCACGACGGGCACGGCATAGTGGGATGATAAGTCTGAAGGCTGATATTCGGTTAGATGCCGTTCTGGAAGAGGTTATGGAAAGTGTCTTTGCGGGCTACAGTTTCTACCACAGCCCACAAAGATCAACGGCGATAGACAATCCAGATCATATGGCACCCGAACTACTGGGACTCTCGCAGCAAGAAAATCAGGTCAGCGTCATACTGGATATCGATGCTGCCGAGTGGAGGTTCTCCACCCAAATAGGCGCCTGGCGCCGCATCATGATGAACATTTTCGGCAACGCCCTAAAGTACACCAAAACTGGCTTTATCTTAGTCAAGTTAGCGGCGTCGCCTGTTACTCCCGCCAAAGACACCGTGCCCGGAGGATCTTCTGATTTTAACGTGACCCTCACGGTCAAGGACACGGGTATCGGAATGAGCATGGAGTATCTTCAGAATAGTTTATTCACTCCTTTCACACAAGAAGACTCGCTTGCACCTGGAAACGGACTCGGGTTAAGCATTGTTCACCATGCGGTTCTGTCCATGGGTGGTCATATCGAAGTCACTTCACTTCGGGGTCGTGGTACTCAAGTCTCGATTGAAGTCCCTCTTACCCATGTGCCGGCTAAAACGGCAAACGTCAGTGGCTTCGAGCCCGAGCCCATTTTGAAAATGAAACAAATTACTCGTGGCGCGACTCTGGGACTTCTGGAGTTAGGATCACCCGACATCTCCGATCGCGATACAATTCTCCGTGCCTCTTTGGAGAAATTGTGCAAGAACTGGTTCGAGATGGACGTCCATATCCTGAATCCATCGGATGCTTCTTTCCCCGAGTGTGATTTTTACGTTGCAGTACAGACCGATACCGATTCGGTGCACACTTGGCAATCATGGTTGTCAAAAACACAGAATTATTCCCATCGAAATAACGGGAGTCGAAAACCTCCCATTGTGGTCATTTGTCGCTCACCAGAGGCAGCGCATCACATGTTTGTGGCAGCAAACCAATCGAATCATGAGGCCATTGTCGAATTCATCAGCCAACCCTGTGGCCCGCGAAAGTTGGCCAAGGCATTTGACATATGCACCAAGCGGCAACAAGGCCAGGAACCTATAGCTGAGGGTGACTCTAATATAAATCAAGATCAGCCTCAGGGAGGGGTCACATTTAAACTGACGGAGTCACCTCCAGATTCCAGGGAGGATATTGAAACACAATGCGCAGAACATGAGTTGAATTTCCAAAAACACAAAACAGGAAAAAAGACGATAGATGATGAACACCACAAGTTGGACGCAACGGAAAACCCACAGCACACTCATCTTTCTCAAAATAAAAGTGATGCCACTACGTTACCAATTCGACAGGGATTGCCCAAGACAGAGGAGCCTACTTTGAACGTGCTGTTGGTTGAAGACAACGATATAAATCTGCGGATATTGGTTGCACATATGAAGAAAGAAGGCTACAAGTATACGACAGCCCGCAATGGTTTGGAGGCGTTGAACATTTTCAAAGCCCATCCTACGAAGTTTGGAGTGATCCTGATGGGTAAGTTCTTTGGTTATATATGAAGCACTATCCTGACTAGCACAGACATTTCGATGCCGGTAATGAACGGGTTCGAATCCACTCGGCTTATTCGCAAGGCTGAGCGTGAATATCAGAACGGACTCGATATTTCAGCGAAAACATCATTTAGACCTGTGACTATTGTTGCTCTGACTGGCCTTGCAAGTGCTAGTGATCGACACGAAGCTTATGGGTCAGGAATGGACCTCTTTTTAGCGAAGCCGATCCAACGAAAACAATTATTCGCGGTATTGAATGAGAGAAAGGCCGGCGAGGTCAAGAAACCCTCTCAATGATATTATATGATATAATAATGGCGTTCATTTTTTATTTTTGGTGTCAAGTATATACATGATTTTACTTGTTTGGTGTTGGTCTTGTTTTCTTTCTCTTCTTGTACAAGCAAAGTTGCGGAGAGGAGAGATCTCAAGTTACAGGGAGCTGAAGCTTGGGGATGGGCAGGCTAACCTCATACAGGCGTATGTGCTCACGAGGAACGTTGATTTACGATTGGAACTGAGAAACTTTTAGCGTGAATAAAAGTCCTTTAATTTCCAGGTCATCGCCCTACCTGAAGTGTTTTGATGCTGATGAGTCCGGCACCCACGACAAGAAACTTGGTTTGCACTTCCAAACTCATATAGATCGTGTTCTGTGAATTTAAGGAATCTGAAGGATAGTGGATTAGGTACCCAGGTACAGTGATGATGAGTGATGTCCAGTTGGCTTATAGCTACGAGGTGTTCGGTAGTCTCTTATAATTCTTGGAGCGACAACACCTGCCCATAAGGGAGTTCCCAACCCTCATCCGCTACATTCCTCCTGGTATCTGAGTGCCAAGATACTCGTTGTTCGGCGTTAAAACCTACTTAATCTAGAAAGGCGGGTCAACCGACCGCATACTGTGCAACGAGCCATCTGCCTCACCACTTACGGTGAGGTAGATTGGTAATTAGACGCGGCCGATATCGTTGTTAACGCTAACTTAAGCCTGTATTCTCTGTTTGGAAGTGGTCTGACAGGATCCAGAACAGCGGTTTGAGTAAGCATCAGGTTATCAGAATAGGCTAGGTCGACTCCTGTCCGGTATCGTAGACTGCGTCCCGCATTTTCGGCGTTGCAGATATAGCGAGAGGCCGGTAGGTCAATATACAATCGGAGAACGGTGTCGGGAATGCCGACATTGAATTTGTAACCAAATGGCCAGTTCCACCGCCGACAATGACTCCTTGCCCTATTACCTGATATGGAAGGTTACTCGGCCGGAAGTAGATTAGGTTTAGGCTGTTCACGATTGCTCAGTCTATTTTCAGATGCAAGCATGATCCCGAGGCGGCAATATCTGGAGACTCTAGAGCATTGGATTACCTTCCCGAGGACCCTCTCGGTGCTGCTGTAAGCTCTTGTTGCTAATCTCTAAAATGCAAGTTGTCCTGATGTCTGCCAACTGCCGGGTCAGGGATGGATGTTCCCTTTTCTTCACTGCAGACATCCCGGGGTTGGGAAAAGGTGAAGACGTAGCTCATCATGGATATGGATATATGCTGCAGGCATGTTTTGATTGAAAGTATGATCGTCGCGCCGATATACGGATGATACAAATTTCTTCTCCATCAGCTCCACCTCTTACCAATGTAAAGAGGATAAAGGTGGAGTCGGTGTTTCTTATTATTTGATGGGAGACGAAACTTCCGTTGGTATCAAATCTATAAATTACGCATGGGCTGCCCCGATTTCTTCTACTACGCAATTGCAAAACACTTCCCTCCATAACACCCAATGTCCATCATCGACCGTGTAGTCCTTGTATCCGGTGCCTCCAAGGGCATCGGTAAGGCGATTGCCCTCCAGGCCGGTAAAGAAGGTGCCTATGTGATTGTCAACTATAACTCCGATGCGCAGGGAGCCGACAAGGTCGTCGCGGAGATTGGGGCTAGTCGCGCGCTGGCCGTCCAGGCGGACATTTCCAAAGCCGCAGATATTGACCGACTGATCGAGGCATCCGTCACACGGTTTGGCAAGATTGATGTGGTTGTCCCGAATGCGGCCTATCTGCCGTTGGCAGATGTTGAGGCGGCAACGGAAGACCAGTTCGATATGGCGTTTGGCGTGAATGTTAAAGGGCCATGGCTTCTTGTGCAGGTATGACTCAGTCTTGCTACACCTTTGAATTCTCAGCCTCGGCGCTAATGCACAAATCACAGAAATCTCTTCCCTACATGAGCAGCGGCAGCACTGTTATCTTCATCTCCTCGGACTTGACTGACTTCAATACCTTGCCGCCACAGTTCTTTCTCTACATCTCGACCAAGGGAGCACTGAATCTGATGGTACGGTCGATTGCGCAGACCCTGGCAAAACGTGGCATCCGCGTCAACGCTGTGTCGCCAGGCCCAACCGAAACCGATTCTTTCTTCAAGTCCAATAACGACGACAGTATTCGGATGTTGGGGGATCTCAATCCGTTCAAGAGGCTTGGGAAGCCAGAGGAGGTTGCGGCAGCAGTGAGCCTGCTGTGGCGCCCAGAGAGTTCGTGGATTTCGGGACAAGTTGTCAAAGTGAATGGGGCAACCGCCTGACGCCTTAGTCAACCTTGTATTTATCTTCAGCTCTCGTAGCTATGGTGTAGTCAATGCAGAAAGTCAATGAAGCATTCCATGGGGGGAGCTCGTCGTGCATGGATTTGCCTTTAAATCTTAGAAACAGAATGGCGTTTCATCAACTTTTTCCCTTTAGGTACCTCGTCTTCATCCGAGGACAATCTTGCACTCTCACATCTCGGTTTCTCCCAAATACTACCCGATGCTCCCACGAGCAATCCCGTTTCCGTCATGGGAGACTGAATCGTCGACCAGGATATTTGTTGAATAGGCCTTAAGGTCAGTGGCAACGGCACTATTGTAGCCTCCTAGGAAGGTAAATAGTACCGAGGGCAGGCGTGCAGATTGCGGACTGAGATTGCTGATGTTGCTGGTCTCATCGACGCAATTGTTCTATAATAACACATGTTCTAAATGTATTACCATGACTTGCCTTGGAATATCAATGATGGTCCTGGTAGACATTTTTATGCCACATTCCAAATTTCAGACTGTCAAATGTATAGTCATTGGCGTCCCAAATCTCAAGTGCCATGGCACATTTTGACCACATATCAGTTCAATCATCAAAAATGTACTATATCTTAGGAGGGAGGACCCTCAATGCGTAGAATAATATGATAGGTACCCTCTGTAATTAGTAGAATGCAGCACTCTTCTTTAGGCTGCTCTAAAGCTTTCCAAGACCAAGTTCATCTTGATAAATCCTATGACTAGCGACAGGTTGCAACGCAAGACACTATATGTTTATTCTCCATATCATACTAACAACTCCTCCCAGAGGAAAGACGCAAAGAGTGGGTCGTAATCTGCCAGACTAGCATCTGATTCCATCATCTCACGGGCCTGACTATTCACTGGCCACCCATTTGCTGCCCAAGCCTTTGATCGGAGCAACTCAAGCTTTGTCCAAGCAGGATGACGCCCTTTTGAAAAGGTAGAAAAGCAAATATCAACCACATCACGAAGGCTGCTTGATTCTGGAGAGCGACAATTTTGGATCAGGTCCTGAAGTATAATAGCGCAGGCGTGAATCACGTCAAAATGGCTCAACACCCACCTGTAAGGTGCCAGTGCTTCGTCTGTGGCTCCAGTTACAAATCCACGAATATAGTCCTGACAAGACTTTAAAGCCTTTAATCTGGAGCCTTGGGGCCACTGTGATGTTCGCAGATAAGGTTGATGCAAAATAATCATCATCTTGCAGCAGCACATCAATCGACCCATAGCAACGAATCTTTCCATGGCGTTCTTCTGAAGATTGTAATCATCAGAGACTTCTTCGGCATAAATCCTTTCAGCCTCATCATCCAACTGCTTAATATGGTGAAGAGTTGGTTGGCTCACGCTGTAGATACGGTGCAAAATCTTTGAGATTAATGCGCTCGTCTGTGCTACAGCACTAAGAAGCTTGCGCTCCGAATCATACTCACAGTCAACAGATCGAACATCTGTCGTGGTAGGATGGATCAGTGGTGGGAGGCCATGCGATATAGCATACGTGACATCCAAACCGCGAACCGACCACCATATAACACGACTGACCTCAGCATCATGAGCAGATAGCTGAAAGGACAGCGGCTCCCGGTGAAGGCCGAGGAACTGAGCAGCCCTTACGAGGATAGAGACAGAACTGGGATTTGGGTGAGAATGTCCTTCTGCCATGCTGGGTATAGCGAGAAAGAAAGCTACTCGGACCGTATTTAAATTAGGTCGTCTCGGGTAACCAGATTCAGCCAGGAGTTGAACTGTAACTTCTTCCCAGAACGAGGAAGGAAATAAGCACCATGAACTGTTGCTCCCTGATGCCTTGATGGATCGTGTAGCAGTATAGCATATGGCTGCAATTAATGCGAGCGCACCAGGCTTCGAGCTTCCATGGTTCCGCTGCTCATGCACTGCCGCTATAACCTCGTTCCAATCTACAAGTGGAAACCAGAAGTGACAATGTTCAGCATACCATGAAATGAGCTGATCAACCTCAGCAAGATAGATGAAGTCATTCGATGTCCGAGGTGATGTCCCGGGCGAAATCTCTTTCCCGTTCAGAGCGGGCGAAAGAGCGTCATTACAATCACAGGGAGAGACATTTGACTCCTCAAACCCGGCCACCCATGATGAGCTCGAAAAGTACCGTAGTCGAACGTCATCTGATGTTTTGAGGTGACCAACTTGATTGATTTGGATCGTTTGCTTCTCCTCTGGCCCTCCGCTTGACTGTTGGTTCAGAGAACGAGTTGAAACACGCCTTCCTTCCATAGCCACATCCCTCACGGCCCTCTTTTGGGATTTCCGGTCCACAGACTTTGGGAGGTATGTGCAGGACCGACCATGCATATCGCAGCATCGACAATGGGGCTTAGATCGATCACATTTTATTTTCCTAGACCGGCATTGCGCACAAGCCTGCACATCGCGATTCCGTGCCAACCTCGGGCGGTCTAAATTAAGACGGAGAAAAGGCGATGTATTCAATTGAGGAGACATATTATGATCGAGGACATTTGCCAGTGAGCCACATCGCTCATCGCTAGAAGCCATGACGTACGAGCCCGCTGCGGGAAGCCAAATGTACTTTGATAAGAACGGAGCGAATTTGATTGAAAATGTGGTCATTCATGTGAATGATGCAGGTGACTCAGTTTCTGCTTTGATTAGTGAGTTTCTAAAGATCTCAAGGTAAATGAAGTATGACTTTCGAGTGGTTTCATGACAATCCGGGTCTAGCCGCTTTAGGAAGCGGTACCGGCCGAAAGACTTTCTTCTTCCTATAGTACGGAGTACTGAGATGACATTTAATACATAATATGGTATTTTTGCAGTGTATCGTATATTTCAAAGGTGACGCTCCCCCCACCCAAATGAATGCCGAAAGTACGATGAGTAAGTTTCCACCCCCCTAGCGTATTTCCATGATTCAAGTGGGATTGGACATTTCGGCTTATCAATACCCCCAAACAGCGGGGGTTTGAACTCTGGCCCCTACATATACCGCTGCGTAGGTGGGGGGGGGGGGGGTTGAGGAAGGCGAAAAGATCCCTTAATATGCCAAAATGCCAGGGGTTTGTCCTAGTAGGCCTGTAGTGACAACTTCTATAGTCTCACTGTATCCAGAAAGAAAGCTTCACGTTTACATGAATCATTTACAATACAATGTATAGAGCGGTGTAGAGAGCGGTAATAATTAGCACTCAGTCTTCGAAATCCCCTAGTATAAGGGATTTCGAACCTAGCCCCTCTCGTACCCCAACCCCAAAATGAGCCAGCAAGACGCACATCGCAGGATCCAGCAAAAGCCTTCCCATACAAAGGGTCTTCTAGAGCCGGCGCTTCAGAATTGGACGTTTGGCGGTCTACTCCAGCGTCAAGCCGAGCAATTTCCAAATAAAATTGCGGTTTCCTGCCCAGGCACACCCAACCCTATCACCTATCGCCAATTGAACGATCGTACCAAGCTTCTTGGAGAAGCGCTGATTGCAAATGGAATCTCTGTTGGAGACCGCGTTGGCATCTTTGCTGGAAATATTTTAGAATATGTTGAGGTAGTGCTGGCAACCGCGCGCATTGGAGGAATCATCGTCCTGTTGAACACATTTTATACAACGGAGGAAATCAAAAGAGCCCTTCAATTCACTGGTCAGTCTATACATATATATAGTCGACAAGTCAATTCTAATTTCAATATATAGGGTGTTCGTTGCTATTTATCACCGGGAACCTTGGAAAACGCAGTATGTCACCATGCATCGATGAACTCAACGAGATAATCAAACCCCAGAAAAGCGAGCTTCCAGATCTTCGAAGCATCGTTCTTCTCTCCGGACACTACCCGAATTCATCCAACCTGCGGTCTTACACAGATTTTATCAAAATTCCACCGAACGGTGCGAAGACCGCTTCTGTTTACCAGTCAATAGAAACAAAAATTACTCCGGAGACGGTCTGTAACTTCCAATTTACCAGTGGCACTACGGGTATGCCCAAGACGGTGATGCTCACTCACTTGTAAGCTCTTAGAGATACCGCGTGTTTGCGTACAAGCTGACCCGAGGAAATAGTAATGTCATCAATAATGGCTTTCTAATAGGTGCCCGAATTGGGCTTACTCCAGATGATACCATATGTTGTCCGTGGCCTTTGTTCCACTCTTCTGGGTTTGTTGTTGGCCTGATAACATCACTTTGTCATGGTGCAACTCTCATTCTACCGTCACCAATATTTGATCCTGCTGCCACGGCACGAGCACTGATTTCCGAAAAGTGCACTGGGCTGCAAGGTGTCCCAACAATGTTTGCTGCCGTGCTTGAGTGGTGCCGTCAACGTGGTACTCATATGCCACCGCTTCGAACAGGAATCATTGGTGGATCACCAGTTTCTCCGGCTCTTCTGAGAGAGCTGCAGCACGAATTTGCCCTGCAAGACCTGGGTATTGCTTATGGTGGGATTCTAATCTATCTTTTTCAACTTTGCTTCGCTCAGTACTAATCTAATTTGCTAGGTATGACTGAAACCTCGCCACTCAGCTTCCTTTCCAAGGGCTTTGAATCAGATGGGACCCACACATGGATGGAAATCTTACCACATACGACTGCAAAGATAGTGGATGCGCAAGGTATCACTGTTCCCATCAAAAAACCTGGAGAACTGTGCGTCTCAGGGTATCTCTTGCAGCGAGGATACTATCAGAATCAGGAAAAGACGGGTGAGGTCATGCGCGTGCATGAGGATGGAGTTCTCTGGATGCATACGGGTGATGAGGCAATTATGGATGAGAAAGGACGGTGTCGGATCAGCGGCAGGATCAAGGATACCATCATTCGCGGCGGAGAGAACATATATCCAACAGAGATCGAGGATCGCCTGAATGAGCATCCGGCAATCTCGATGTCAGCGGTGGTGGGTATACAAGATGCAAAGTACGGAGAAATAGTGGCTGCATTTTTGCAGCTCAAACATGGCGAGAATCCCTGTGCAAAGGAACATATTTCGGAATGGGTTCAGCAAACCCTGGGGAAACACAAGGTACCAGCGCTCGTATTTCACCTTGGTGTCGATGGCGTTCCTGGTGATTTCCCCAAGACGGCAAGTGGGAAGATCAAGAAGGTTGACCTGGTGGCCATCGGAACACAGCTTGTCCGCAGAGCGGGTAAACTGTAGAAGTTTACTAGTGTCCAGTCTACGCGGATGTCTATCCCTCTGGTCGCATTGTTAACGGTGATCCACCGGGCGATTCTGCTCAAAAGGCTCCAAGATGCTAGAATATTCTTCAAATCCCCCGCGCACCTTTCCTCGATTTTCGCGTTCTTGTTTTGCTTATTTACGTGCCAGAATATTGTAAAATCAGTTCAGAATGAAGCTGATTCGCGCCTTACCGGCGTGGCTTAGCTGAAAATGTGATCGATATGCATGTACGGGGTATGTACTGCAGATTGAAAATTTCTAAGCTGTTTGTTCACAGTGAACTGTGGTAATTTATTCTCGGTCCTCGGTTTTCTACGTTCCAAATTTCCTAATTGTACAGTATTGTCCATCTTTAAGCGTGTGTGGGTAATGAATATTGACTCTTAAAGACCAACACATTTTTCTATGTGGCTTGAGCCTAGAGTAGAACCCCATTGGGCTTTAGTAGGGGCCTAATGGGCCCCAAACAATACAAACATGCGGTGCCAAGTCAAGTTGAACCTCCTTTTTCTATTTTTTTTAATTACGCTTGGTTTTGCCCTCGTTTCTGGGCCTTAGACCTACATAGTAAAGTAATATTCTATTGATTTAAATGATTTGGAGCTTATTATAAGTTAATTCTTGATATCACATTTAAAAACGCGAAAAAACGCGATTATCAAGAAGTTTTGGAAGATTACAGAGTTCACAGAAAGTGGTGTTACTCCTACCTAAGTCTAAATATATGACTGACATCAAAACGTCAATATCAACCTTCACTTCCGGCGATATCTCGTCCTCTACTTATCGGACCTTATTTAAAATATGAAACACATACTAATACATCTACTGTGATTTAATATTCTAAATTTAAACATCATACGATCAGTGGAAGATTGTAGTATAGATTGGCACGGCGAATAAGAGGAACTGGCCGCCCTTTGGCTGCTCACTTGACACTTAGTTCATTGTCACTCGATGGGCCCGCCTGATTGGTACCTGACATGTCCGTAACAGCATGCGCTTTACCGCCTAGATCAGCACCTGCTGCGATCAGAAGTTTGACAACGGACTCATGGCCTCCCTCTGCTGCTAGGTGTATAGCTGTTCGTCCATCGGGATGAGCGAAATCCAAATTGATACCATCGGCATCGAGAAGCAGATTTACAACTGCTTCGTGACCGTTCCATGCCGCATAGGAAAGTGGTGTGAATCCCCGGCGATTAAAGTTGACGTCGACTCTACCGGTTAAAAGTAGTTGTTTGACCACTGCTTCGTGTCCCCATTTTGCCGCACAAAGCAGTGGCGTTTCTTGGTTCAAGTCCTCCTCGTTTGGGTCAACACTCTCATCACTAGCGAGAAATAGCTTGACGACCCCATCGTTGCCGTTTTCCGCCGCTAAGCACAATAGCGTTTTACTCCAGTAGTAGCACAAGTCAAGCCTTACTCCTGCTTGTAGTGATTTTCGAGCTGTATTCTCGTTTCCGTTTTTAGCCGCACAATATATAGCCAGTGACCGATAAGTTTCGGCATCCCGAAGGTAGAGGAGGGGGTCAAGCAATTTGCAAAGGTGGATGTTGGTTTGAATCAAACTATTGAGATCCGCATTTGACGTCAAGTTCTCGGCGATCATTAGTATCAGTTCGTTTGGTAGATGATATAGTGGCATGTCGGATTAATTTGATGTTGAGTGGGTAGGGTTCCTTTCGAAATTTCATAACAGAACAGGGATCAGAGGCGGAAGAGATAGGGGATAGGGGATAGCCGACCTCGAGAGTGCTTCCGGCTTGGCTTCGCATGCGATACCTAAGTACCTAAGTGATACTTTTAGCCTAGACAGTCGCTTGATTTCTATCACACCACTAAAAAATGTATCTTGTCCATATGTTTACAAGATATAGTGTCATGTATTCTATAGAGTCAATGACTGTATACAGTAACAGCGCATGAATTTGAGCTTCTTATCTATACTGAGGTACTCCACCCACCACTATGTAATATTATGCGCATCAATGGGCATCAAAGTACCAACCATCTGGACGAGTAGGGCGACAAAGACATTTAAAAAGACATTGTACTAGGCGTTAACCGAGTCGTATTCCCATACGAGTCTTCTTTTCTAACCAATGATTACCTTGAATGTTTTTGTTACGGTATCGATATTATGATCAGATCAACGGATAACTGTACGCCCGAATGGTCTTCAGTGCAGACATTGTCTATGCAGAGATCCAGGCCTTTATGTATAAAGCCAATAACCATCGTCTAATAATGATAAAAAAGAAACAAATTTATAAAATGGGAGTGGACGCCCCAAGCTTCATGATTGAAAATCCACTGCTCTTTGCAGCAGTTAATGCCTTTAGTGCCACGTCCGGAATGCAAAATGAGAAAGAAGATAAGGATAATACTATCTACTACTATAAGCTAATATCTATAATACCAGAGAAATATAACTATTGTAATGGGGAAACTGCGCCACCATTGCATATGCGCTACTGTCGAAGGAATGGCATATTTATTCCCTGATTCCTATCCATCGGCTCCTTCACCGGTCCTTGATATGATCCTTGTTTTGTTATTTGCCATTGTCTAATGATACATTCGAGAATATCAAAGGGCTAACAGTGGATATAGTTATTGACACTAATAGAGTAGATTACGTAAAAGACTAAGCAAAAAGCTATGGATTTCAAAAGACGACAGAGGAAAGGGGATGGCAGAGCCATGATGATAAGAATACAGGCCTGCAATAGTCAAAATTAAAGGCACATGGCGAGAAGTCAGCAAATTCTGTCAAAGGAGTACTCTGACAGAAAAAGCAAAGAACCATCAAGGAAGATGCAGAGAAACGGAGTGATTCAGCCTGAGCTTCATCGACTCGACGACATCTGGCATATTCGAAGCTACTCCGATGCGGTTTCCCTCGTGGATCACATCAGCAAATAGTATTCCTGCAACATCTCTGTCGGCAGAGATCACGAAGCTGCCAGAATCGCCATCCTCCAGGAAATCGCCATCCACACCCGTGATAACATATTCTTCGGTGATATGGGTTGCCATCGATTCCATATTGTCGCCCTTTCCACTGACAGACGCTTTTCGCACCATTACAGATGCCCCCAGTCACCTCCGTGGTACGACCTTTCTTGAAGTAGTACTCATCAGTCTGTAGTTCACCAAACTGCGTGATAGAGCTGTTAGGCCGGGGAAGAAAGGTTGCAGATCCACCAGATAGGAGATTAGTCGACGTGGGCCTCTGCTTCCGCGGGATGTCAGGTACTATGTTCGAGCGGAAGTACCGTTGCTGGGCTTCGGTTGTAAGCTCGACGAATGCCCAATCAAGGAACCGTTTGCCATGGACCAATAGTCCTGATGCAAATCTGACTTTGCCGAGAACGTATGGCATAGACTTCACAACATTTTGTGTCTGGATCAGACTAGCGTCGGCGACGTCGAGGTCCTGGAGCCGCTGCCGAGAGGCTTCTCTGGGTTCTTCTCCGGCGAGAAGCCGCAGCTCAATGGTCTCTTCGATCCGAGCCTTCTGGGATGCGAGGCTTTCTCTGTGGTGCTGAATATCCGCGAGTGTACGGTCTCGGTCCACCTGGGCGATAGACTCGATGATGGTTGCATTTTGGTCGTCAGGGGGGAAATTAGTGGAAATTCCAGTGCGATCAACCTCATCACGGAAGGGAGTGTGTGCTGTTGGTCTCACAACATGGTAGTTAGTTAGAAACCCAAAATGGGCCCGGTCGTCATATCTTAGTTCAACAAAACCGCCCAGAGTTCCAGTATTCTGATCACCGCTGATTCCAATTGAATCACCCATCGCCACCCAATTACTGTCATCAAACCGATCTCTGAATGAGATGGAAGGATCATGTTTTAGGAGATTAAGGGTTCCCGGCAGAAACTCCACGTCAACAAGCAGAGGTGACACCTTCAATGAAAGGTGTTCGATGATCCGGGCCCGGATTTCGTACCAGTTGGCCATGAGTAGTGGCTGGACGAAAATCACAATTCCAGGTCGCGCCGAGCGAATGTCAGGGCCACCGACGTTGAAGGGGCAAATCATTTGCCAGTTCTCCCCCACTGCAGAACTCATCGTTTCCACAATACTGTGCTTGAGCGTGTGAAAGGCGGAAACCACTGCACTTGTTGAGGCAATGGGATACAGATGAGGTGGAGAGAAGTGGTCTCCGTTGAGAACCTCGACGTGCACATTCGTAAGGGAATTCTTATGAAGCAGCTTGACAAGGCTGTCTTTGATAGGCCCTAAGCGGATGAAGGTTGACCCATCACCTGACACCGTAACGCGCAGCAAAAAGAAATGGCTGCCTGTAACTCGTGCTTTTAGGGTGTGGTGGAAAGATTCTGTGGGTATCTGGTGTTGACTGAGGATTGCGTCGATCTCAGGCCGAAGATGTCGTGTTGGATTTTCTTCTGCAGTGAGAAATTCGGTCTTCATTTCTGAGTTGTCATGTCCGTGGAATGTGTTGCTCCGAAAGGGGTCTGTGCGATAAAGGAACTCCTCCAGCCTCATTTCACCTTCATTGTCCTCTGACTCCCTCAGAAGCCGACGCCTCTTCCACGGGCTTGGCGGGCCCGAAGAGGCAGGACTTAGAAACTCGCGGGGCTTGTAAGTGGACATTCTGATCTGAAAGAAAACAAATAGATGAACTGAATATTTCTGCTGATGAAGTTAGGAGAGGAAAAAAAGAGAAAAGAGAAAAGAGTTGAGTGGGCTTCTAAGGTGAATTCTAGCTTTTCGGACCGCTCGTCCACAATACTGCCAGATGACATATAGACATGTGAGCTGTTTACCCGTTTAGATGTCGGCAACATCCCGACATTGATTATCGTACCTTGCCGTCTCAAATTTCAATGACTTCTGAAATCCGCCGAGGACGAGTTGCCAAGTGAGGCAAAAGTCAGCACGGACGATTGCATGCAGACCATAACACCAAACCAAAATAGAATCCACGCCTTAGGGTCCTTAATAATCTCTTTTAATTAGACCACCGAGAGAAAGATTTTTGTCACCACCGTCCCGATCCTGCGCTATGCGTAGAGATAGCACCTGCCTCCCCCGAGCGTTGAGAAATCATACAAATTAGGCCTCTATTGCTGCACTTATTAGCTCTCGTATATTGTCCTTGAGGTGATTGCAGAAACATTCTTCCTGCTCGCCAAAAGGGTTGCTTTCATGTGGCTGGATATCCTTGCAATGTGATTTGCGAGAGGAACATTCCATCACAAGTCAATGATGACGTCGTCAACTGGTTCCTTTTCTGCTTACATAACGATCCAATGAAGCTTCCAAGCTTCTCCATTCTTAAAGACAACGAGTCTATGCTCTCGATACATCCGTGTTCTCAAAGTTATGGGAAATGGGGGCAGCAATGCCATCATTATCATCACCGCGGTTTTCTTCGTGTTTTCGCTAGTCACTGTCTGTCTCCGCTGTTTTGTTCGATTGAAAATTGTAAAGTGGTTTGGACCCGACGATGCGTTGATGGTAGCAGCAGCAGTAAGTATTATTGAAAAAATACCTTTCGAGTACTTAATCACCAAACTAAGATGTATACAGGCTTTTAATATGACATTCGCTGTATGCGGAATCGTGGGCGCCTTGTACGGAATGGGAAAGGCGCCGGCGTTTTTAAGGAATAGACCAGATGATGTTCGCCGTGGCTTACTGGTAGGTGTTCATAACAAACATCTTTCGAAGCCCGGAGCTTACTGACTGCTATGACTGATAGTGTTGGTGGCTAGGACAGATATTTTACACATTTACTTGCACTATTGCAAGACTATCTATTGCCACCACCCTGCTTCGTCTTACGGTCGATCGCATCCATTTGTGGATCCTTTACGGTATCATGGTGGTTTCGACGGCGGTAGGGATCGTTTTACTTCTCTTCACAATCCTCCAATGTCGGCCAGTTGCATACTATTGGAATAAGACATCAATGGAAGGCCGATGTCTTGACATGGACATTCTTTTTGGCATCATCTATATGTACAGCGGAGTGGCGGCAGCGTGCGATTTCACCCTTGGCTTTCTGCCTGCTTTTATGATTTGGAGACTTCAAATGAATCGTGGAACGAAAATCGTTGTGTCGGCAATTTTGGGACTTGCTTGCATGTTCGTATACTCACTCCACTTGCTCTCCTGTTTCGGAGCTTATGCTGATAATGGATAGAGCTAGTATGGCCGTCATAATCCGCATGCCATTTCTGCATTACGCGGGCAAACCAGACTTCCTTTGTGGGTTGATTTCATCGCTCAATTTCGTCTTCCTTCTAATATTTTGTTTTCGCAGACGCAACAACACAGATCTCAATATGGTCGAACGTGGAAGCTAGTCTAGGCATAGCTGCCGGTAGCTTAATGACGATTCGACCGTTACTTCGGGTTTTAATGACTTCTTTTCCGAAGCTACGCACTTGGTCTGATGGTGAAGAGCTTGGATCGCGTTGGGAACACCGACTTTCTTATCATTAATCCGCAATCTCACATTCTCTGTGCTGTCCCGCACTTAGGCTCAAGCCCATCTATTCCAGCCATAGGCCTACACAACGATACTCAGTTGGGCAAATATCTGCCCTAGGTGCCCTGAATAGAGCGACGCGCCGCCAATGGCCGAACCGTGGGCGCTAGGTGAGCATTACCTTAGACATGCTGTTGTATGTTTTTTAGGGTTGATGACCTTCGCCGGCGGAGTGACCATATGTCCGAAGTGGAAGTACAAGGCTGTGATATACTCGACTGTATATTTTCTATAGGACACACATACAAAAGGTACTTTAGTTATTTTCGGCCACCTCACTTAACTACGGGAAGGTGAAGTGATATTCAGTACTTAGTCTACTTAACTTCAACAGCATAGCTTTTATCTCTAAAGCCTTCTTCTAAACTGAACCCCTACTAGAAATTTATTGGGTAAAATTGATGAAGTACCTGTTACATGTGTATCATATAGAAAAGGTACATTTTGCATTAGACCCGTCCACCCCCACCCCCGCCCCCGCAGTACTAATGCTTGTCGGCGCCCAGACGCCTCCCGTCAGGGGCAGTGCATGTGGCTTATATTACCTTGTTATGGCCTAGTTATAAAATACGTATTTTTTTAATTTAATTTCTGCCAACATTGCAGGGTTTCGTATGGTATAAGAAATTCCTAATTGACTGCCATGCCGTTAGCGTTCTGCTTTGACCGTTACAAAATTGCATAAGATGGGGCGGTTCCCCTTTTGTCTCCTTTTAATTGTCTCCATTATGTTTAACCTGTTCCTTGCTCTATCGGTCATAGTACCAGCAACTGCTAACGTTGTTACCATTCAAATTGGTGTAGGAGATGTAGACAGTACTGTCGCTGGACAGGTGATTGGATCTGTATGTATCTTTACTTTTATATATTTCCTTCTTGACACTTTCTAACACATTCTAACACATCCTGTAGACGGGATCCCTCACCTCATATGTGATTGATGAAATCCCAGGTATTATCGTCAGTGGCGCATCTACGTTCTACCAGACATGGGTGTACCCTGGTGGAGAGTATGTTTCTCCCTTTCTTTTGGCAGGAAACTCTTATAAAATAAAATGCTAACAGCCCTTATCCATTAAGTTATATGTCACAAGGATGCCATGTTTTTGCACCTTCGTCCATGGACTGCACAGTTTACATGTCAGAAGCAGACTCAGGGTCGACTACGGTGTCACACATACCCGAAAGCTCGTTAACCGAGATTCGAGCTCTAGTCGTGAGTATCACCGCCACAAACACTGGTGTGCGCCCGGAAACCGAGGTGAAAACGGTCACGGATTCGGCGACCCCTGCGTCAACCACCGCTGAAGCAACCGAGGTTGGCAAAGCTGCAAATACAACCTCGACTCCGAATGGAGGCGTTGTGGCGACCACCTCGTCTGGTGCAGCTGCCCGTCTAGATAGGTCGTGGATTGGGAGCGCCTTCCAGGTTGTGTTGGCTGCTTTCTAAGTGTTTCGCCCATTTCGGCAATTCTTTCATTCCAGATACATCTGTTATATTTTCTATATGTTTGGCATTCTACTATATCTCCAGATGAGACCCAATTTTTACGAATAAATTTATGTTCTTCGTTATTTGTAAGACCAATGCAACACCTGCAAGAGATCAAGAGATATACAAATTATCAGCTGAATTGTATACGTGACATCAAATAAATATATCGACTGTAATCACCCTATATCAACCACCAGCAAAGAATTGCACTAACTGGCACCACTGCTTCAAGACCGGAATATCCATACAATCACCCATCAAATTCTCAATGGGATCCAGAGTCCACACAGCACAGTTGCTCTCCACCTCGCCACCGATACGAAGTAGACTGGCACTATAGGCCTTGCATCCGACAACCTTATTCAAGATTCTCTTGCAATCCTTTTCCTCAATGGTAAACTTACAATTGTTTTTACCGGCCACGCCAACAATGACATTGGAGAGCACATCTCCTGGCGCCTTGACTTGTAGAAAGTCGTTCTCAGAGATCTTTTTGCCATCGGCCCATTCACAGAACCCATCCAAAGCGTCCTGAACAGTGCCACCGTAGACTTCACGGTTCGGGTAGCCGTAACAAGTTTTCTCCTCTGTGTCGGGGTTGGGGTTAGGTGGTTCCGGTTCCGGTTCTGGCTCGTCTACTGGGGGTGTGGGTGCTGGCGCGGGTACTGTAATCACCACTGTTTCCGTGACTGTTGGCACGATGGGTTTGTTTGTAATGGTGTAGCTGACAGTGCCGGTGGTTGGGGAGCCAGTACCTGCGTTGGTGGGGCGGTTGTCTTGGCCGTCATCGGTGTCTCCGTAGGAGGGGATATCAGGCTCATCATTGATAAGTCCAGAGCCGGGTCCTTGAATATCACCACCCTCTGTGGGAGGAAGCAGGATGCAAGTGGCGCCCTCTTCCTCGTCGCGATCTTCATCTTCTTCCTCCTCTTCCTGGGAGAATTGTTAGTTGTGGAAGAAATATCAATAGTGTGTGACACATACCTCTTTTTGATCCTTCGAGGGCTTGTTGTCGGGGTTTATAGGGCCCGGCTTCTTACCTGGCGGCACGGGCTTCACCGTCACCTTGGGAATACTGGGAGGATAAGGCTTTATCTGTGGCGGGCAGAGGCCAAATCGGATGGTGCCTAGGACAGGGACCGTGATTTCGACGCAGAGAGGGTCTGGTGCAGGCACAGGTCCAATGATTTTCGTTGGTTCAGAATTCTTATCGCTAGTCACGGTGTGCTTGTAAATACGAATCTTCTCGGTGGTCTGAACAGGTGGGGTGATAGTCGCTGACTCAGAGCCTGACGTTGTCACGAATGTAGAAGGTGTCCAGGTAGTTGTAGTCGTGATAGGCGGGAAAAGAAGAGTGCAGGGATATGAGCAAGAGACGGTATGAGGACCATCCCAGAAGTCATCGTCGATGTAAAGCACACCATTAGTGCGGTCATCGTCATTGTCGGCATAGATGCCAGATGAGGTATCACTTAGTCCCAAGCCTGGGGGAATCTCGAATGGGAATGGGAATTCGTAGCCCATGGGAATGACAATCTCCCAAGGTAACGTACTACCAGCGCCCCAAGTAGCACTGGTCGCATCAACAATTTGTTGGTTAGGGCGGAATCCCGTGGGTAGAATGAGGCCACGAGGCAAAGGTATGTTGGGTGAGATCTCGAGGGGATTCTGAACGCCGCCACGGATACCACAACAGGTCGAAGTGATCACTCGAGCCAGGTCACAGGTTTCGCACTCTTCAGCACCAGGACCCTTAGGCTGGTTCTGATCGCCATTATTTTTAAGACTTTGGATTTGCGAGACAACAGGACCTCCAATGGTGAACGTCTCGGTTGGAGCTGGGGTCGTGGCGGGGAATGGGATCACTGTGGCATTATCTGGCGATTTGTATTGGATCAGACCACCACCACCGTCCAGATCAACGGCCCAATCCGAGACACCTCCGAGGTTTAGCTTCTTATAGTATTCAATCCGACTGGCCTTGGTCTTGTCAGCAAGCCAGGCAATCCATTCAACATCATCGTAGACAACAATATCCGAGTTGGACGCTTTATCATGCCATGTATCAACCTTGCGCTTGCTCAGCTGTCCTTGACGGATGATGTCTCGAATTTCAGCAGAGGCAATATATCCACCAGTATCGGTACATTCGCCTTTGGCGGCATCTGATACCTCCCCAGTGCCCGTATAATGGCAATCAGGGCCAGTGCACCCAGCATCAGACATATGGAAGCTTCGACCGTAGCTAGCAATACCTGCAAAGATTTTCTTGGAGGAAACGCCCGCTTTGGTGATCATAGCCAGGGATTCAGTTGTCTCCGTGAGATTGACATGAGATCTCAAGCAGTTTCCCTCAGTGCAACCAGGCGTCGTCCACTCCTTTCCATAGTCCCATTGTCCGTGCAGATCGTATGTCATATAGATGATATAGTCAACAACTTCACTGATTTCCTTAATAGGATACCCGCGGAGATACCAGTAAGAGGCTGGGGCCGCGATGGAGACACTTTGATTCGGCAGACGAGACTTGACAACCTTTAAAAACTCCAGATAGCGTTGACCATCTTTTTTATCACCAGCGGGGACCCCAGGAATATCAGGAGCAGCAGGATATTCCCAGTCAAAATCCACACCATCTAGTTTGTTGTCTTTGACGAATGCAACAACGGCATTGGCAAACTCTTCCCGTTGCTCCTCGGTGACTCCATCGCGGAAGATCGTGTAGGTTGGAGCCGCAGTAGAAAAGGCCCAGCCTCCAAAGGAGACAATACGTCTGATGCCAGACATGCCCTTCATCTTGTCAAATTGCTCTTTGCTATCACTGACATCGACCTGGAAGTCCTCCGTGATATTGGCAAAGGCAAAGTGGATATGCGTGAACTTAGTCGTGTCGATATCAGTCACGTCCATGTGAAGACACGGGCGGTCCTTATTAAACGCTTCATAATAGGCTACATGAGCCCATTTCGCAGGAGGGTCGTCGTTGTTCACAACATCAAGTCCACAGCTGGCGACACAGCCGTTTTGAGTCTTGCTCGTGCCTGGAGCTCCCGTCTCCGCGAGATTCTTCACGCAAAAGTCCTTTGTGATACCGCATTGGCCCCAAATATTGCAGCAAACATTCAGTGGACATGGATTCAAATCAGCAATGTCCGTACCGTTGGTAGGTCTCTTTGTACCATTGACCTGGGGCCCACAAATGGCATTGTCTAGGGCGGCAGGCATTGGAGGGTCGCCTTTGCTAAGACAAATCCTCTGCTTCTTCTTGAGACTATCACACCCTGACCAGCCCCAGGTATGTTTGTTGAAACTTTCGATATCTTTCTTTGTGATTTGGTTCTTCGCGGCGATTGCTGCACAGTTGTCATCCTTTTTTGTGGTGTAGGCATAGCAGCTGCCATCCTCGCCGGGCTTAGGCGTGAGATCCGGCAAATCGCCAGCGGTGCAACAAATAATCTGGCCCTCCTTAATGGTACCGCAGAAGTCTTTGGCAGGGTTATATTTTTCGAGGTCTGCCCCCGATATTTTGCATCGATCGGCCAACTCCGGGCAGCCGTTCCCTAACTGAGCTTCGATGGTCTTACACTCTGCCCGAGCATGAAGGCTGTGAGGAGATTGAGCTTCAACAATCTGGGCCAAAGCTGAAACCTCTAAGCAAGCTATTAGAAGCTCTTTCGGTGGCTTCATAGTGGATGAAATAAAAATAGGAAGAAATAATGTGCCAATTCGGACACTATGGGGGGTAGGGTATCAATAGCAGATAAAGGAAATAATCAATGATTATTTGGAGTCCTGATATGCTCCTTCGCTAGTTCACATGGGTTGTCTCGTAGTATACTCAATTCTTCGGGGAACATGAGATATTTACCCAAACTGGGCTTATAGTTTGATATCTGTAAATAAAATAATCAAACCGTCATTTTACCAGCCGCTCCACTAGCAAGTATTGTCTGTATTACAATTTCATACGGATTGGGGCCATATGAGCCAGCGTTGCATTCTAGATATTGCCCAATCGGTGTCGAGCTTCTTGGGGTAAAACATATTCTTTGGACTTATACGCAACTGGGAAATCCTCGGGACTTCTGTGATGGAGGCTCTATTGCGCTCAGCTGCAGCTTTTATTTTTCTCATTTACTCGGCCTGGAGACCCTTAGTGGAAGTTACTGCATATACTGGTGTGGTCACTATTTCATGCGTGCGATATCTGAATATAAAATAAATCTCGGAATACATCTGGAAGTTGACAGCAAAGCTTTACTTCAAATATTTGAGGTTCTTCATAGATAACGTCCTTTAGCAATGCATCATCACCATTCTGGCTTGCAATCTGCGGAATTGACTGTCTTAGGCCCGTAGCAGTAACGCTTCTTACCTCCTACCTCAACCCAAGCGGCGTAGTCAATTTTTGCATCATCCACTATCTCAAAATCAAATTTGAAAATTGTCCAGTCAACTTCATGTCCATTCTGGTTGGCCTTAGGAGTCTTAGCATTGAACCAAGTTGCGAGAGCATTATGAGAGAATCCCTGCCAGTTCTGCTCAGTTGCAAAGCCAGGAACCTTCGGGTTTCCAGCGGTTTGACAGGACTGTTGTTGAGGAACACCTGGATATCTGTTAGGTTATCCATGATTCAAGACGTATATCATTCAAGTCAACGTACAGCTTGTTACACCACCTTCTCCGCCCTCAATCCAACTAGCAGCTGGCCACTCGTCACAAGTTAGAGAAACGCCTAGCTGCACCCATCGCTCTCTGGTAGTACCATCAGGCATGCGCTTGACTTGGCCTGATTTTTCAGCAAGTTGGTATTTCACCTCATTGCCATCCCCCCAAGGTCCCTTGTATAGTTCCGCTTTCATCCAACCGCTCCTCCCCTCGCCTTGGAACTTGGGTTGATTGGGCTCAGGGCAAGTGTGTGTAGATTTCCAGCCCTTATCACCAGTAGGACAGTTTTCTTCGCGACGCTTCGACTTCCGAACTCCTTTCTTGTTCCTTTTCGATCCAAGTCGATAATCCTTGTCATTGTGAAATGTGCCCGAGGTCTGTCCATTCTTCCAATATGCCTTGACTGTCTGGCAGATACCGGGAGCTTGAGCGCAGTTGTATTTGAGAGTTGGACGATCTTTACCAAGGTCCTGGACTATAAGGGTTTCAATAGTTAGAATGGGATATATCAACCCTCGAATTTGTTCCGTGTACATACCCTTATATGTAAAAGCCTGTGTACTCTTGGTCCCTTGCGCAACCCAGATATCATTCCCGTTGCTATCCTTGGATGTTTGCCGTGGACCTGGGAACTGACACGCAGCCTGATGCCACAGAAGGCCAAGAGCAATAATCCGGAGTATATACATGACTCAATATGGTGTCGCTGAACCACTTGTTCCAGTGATTTCTAGTATATGAAGAATTGGACACCTTCGGACGGCATAAAACGGTCGGAATTTTTAGGCCTCCAGCGGATTCCCTCGACGTGAACTTCTATCATTCTTTCTTTCTTGTATATAGCTGTACTAGGTAATGTTTATCAATACTCGTATTGTTCTGTATACTTGGACTGTATATTTCCGAATTACAAACCATACAAAGAGTCAAAACTACGGCCCAGCCGTCTGCATCTTGCTGCAAGAATCTGCATATCACATTATCGCTCGCGAGGTTTCGGTATGAGCTCCTGACCCAATTCTGTGATCAACATTGGGGCGCAAATGTCTTGGCAAGGGGGCCATGGATAGTTTTAGATGATATACTACATAAACGAAAAAGAATGCGGCTCGGAACGTGGAAGGGGGGGGTTATGCTAGAATTTAATTGGTCATCGCTATACGAGAACCTACATGGCACCTGCATGGCACCTGCATGGCACCTGCATGGAGTCTGCCACTTCCGTTGGCTTTGCTCCACATTTTATCCAGGTACTTTAATTCTATTGATTCAAGCCTTGGGCTGAACTTACTATATAAATTTTAATGCACCCCCTCTGCACAAGTGGGGATCTTCTCTTGGCAGCTGTGGAATCACATACCACATTGTACCAGGTTTCTACTCTGTACTCTGTACTCTACGTGGAAATCTCGATCGGCTTAAAGTTTTTGTATTCCAGACACAAACTCTTTACCCAGTTCTACCCGAAACTTACCTCTACTTAGCACTTGGCGTGGGTATTGCTGAAACGGTCTTTGTCTCCACAACGGTTTCATCACAAAATCCAAACTTTGATTGACTGTATTTTGTATTAGGATGGGGCTGTGAAGTGCATGGAGGGGTCATATGAACTTACCATCCCTGTAGATTGTCGCAGTGCCATTGATCTGTGCCGCAATACCCGGCGGCGGAGCAACAATATCCGTAATAGATATCGGTTCCATTACAGACGTACTTGTTCTGATAACCACAGGTGCCATCGGGACTCGGACTGTAAGGACTGGGTCGAGGTGATGGTGTACTGGAAGTGGTAGGAACCGATGATCCGGTACTTGAAGAAGTCGACTTTCCCTGGCATTTGCCTGACTGGCAGTTTCCAGCACCGCACTCGGCGTTTGTGCTTCCACACCTAGTAGCATTCAGTCAGCTTGAATCGTTTGCCTTAATTTATAGGATTTGAATTGCACTCACTTCCCATCATTAGAACAGCAGTCTCCAAACTCTCCACCACAATAAAGGCCAAGATTTTGTTTTCCACATTTGCCATCCGTGCTGTATCCCAGGCCTGGACAATATCCACCCTGGCAATACCCGATAGCGCAGTGTTTGCTAAAAGAGCACTATTAGCTTAGGAGAGTCCGAGTGGTAGAGGTATACCCACTCATCAGAACCACATCTACTCAGCAGGTGTTAGTTAGTGTAGGAAACAATATATCCCAGGGAATAAACTCACTTGCCATCTCGTCCACAACAATCGCCAAATTTGGATTGCACGCAGGTAACATTCATGCCACGGCCGCACTTTCCGTCCTTTGAGATGGGATAGCTGGACACTAGACTTTTTGTTAACCGGCTTTTTTAAAAAGATGAGCGGATAGTCTTACTGAAGCGCAAGCAGTACGTTTTGCCAGGGTGGAATTGAGAGCAATCTGCCTCGACATCCGGGTTCATGTAGTAGAAATCCGGCAGCGTGACATTGTAGTGATCAATTAGTTTCCCACAAGTTGACCAAGTATTGGTCTTGACTGAAAACTTGCATTTGTCGGAGACCTCTTGCTTGACAGCACGGTTGACATGATGGTTGCTATCACGGGATGAACGGAACAGAGATGCAGTCTGAACAGTTGAAGCCAACAGCAAAGCTGTCACTGCAGAGACAGTCCACATGGTCGAATGTAAATATTATAGCTTCTTTCCAAGTCGAATGGGTATAATACTAGCACAAAAGATGTGATGTTGAACTGCAAGAAAGCTCCAAAATTGCCGTCTCCAACTCCCTAAGGAAACTTCCATATAATTTCCGAATGCGACCTGGCGGATCCTTTCTGTTTCTGAAATAATATCAAATTCGGTTGCCTACATCATACTAGTAGGGTATATGCGCAGCAACTTACCCCTGTTCAAACAATGCAGCGTATTTTACCGCTAGAGCCTAGTAAGGCCATATCTCCCGTCCGACAACCCCCTCAACCTTGGCAGGACGATCTGATAACTAGTAATTTTTGTAATTTATCTGCCATAGAATTTATAACTTCAATAAAACGGAAATTCAATAATACTAGCTCTCTGCGGCTGAATTCTTCCATCAGTATCGCACGCCAAGTGAGGATTTTCGTCTCTTCTCCTCGCCATTGTTCTCTTCCCCTCTCCTTGGCGATGATCTGCAAGAACACAGAGCTTCTCCGGGATTTCAAATATGCCTCGAGAATGGACACAAAGGGGAGATATTTCCCAATCGAGTAATTGACTGCGCCCGTGCATGCCTCATGCATAGTATGCATCGTATTCGCCTTCTCCATCCAGCGTGTCAAACATTGTGGGAATTAGGTCAGGCCACCCATCCAGAAAAATCCCGCAGATGAGTGGATGGTGCATGAACAGCTTATGGGCGGCTTCGACATCCTCATCTTCAAAGGCATCGTCTGAAAAGCGGAGCCCCAGGAACGTTCGGGCCACATACTGAAAGACCTGTAAAGGAGGAGGCGGTGTTTGGTACTCCTCCCCATAGTGATTGGGCTGGCCGGATGACGAGTGCATGATCTCCAGAATTATGTTCATAAATTGGGACGATGGATGCCATGTAGTGCTCTTCTTGTTCTGAGATAGGGGCTGTTTGAGCAGAAGCGTCTTGTGCGCAGTTCGGGGATTGGTCGGCATAGTAATCCGTTCAGGGTAGAATAAACCTAATGGTACAATTGTCACTTCTCGAGACAATTCTTCTGCCTTTTCATCCTCTTCCTTGAAGATTTTGGGAGCCCCCTCGAACTCCAAAAGAGTCATAGAGGACAAGAGGCATTGAACCATCTCGGGATAGAGTACTTTGGCATGGTCCCGATCAATCTCTGGAGTTGCGTCCTCCGGATACATATCTAGTATCTCTGATTCAAATGGTTGATGGTTCTCGGTTTGTTGTCTCAAGAAGTCGGCTAGCTGTCCGTAAACAGGGTGTTGGTCATCGTAGGCCTCGAAGTTAAAGACCGGGTACTTGAGTAGATAGGCCATTTCGCTACTTGTCATGAGTGGTTTTTCTGGATTGTGTGGATCATCAAGTCGTTTGTCAAAGTTTTCCAGAAAATGCTCAGGAAGGTCATCTTTATTCGACGGAGCTAAAGGCTCCTGATATTGCCGACACAAGACTGCACCTATCATGAATGATTGGTACATTGAGCGATGGAAATTTTGTCTCCAAGTGAACCATTTCGAAGGCCGCTTGTCAGAATTGGCCTCATAGATTGAGTAATAACATTGTCGACCCCATTCGGTATTGTGCAAACAAATATCTTCAATGCACCTGATCAAGTGCTCCCAATCAAGGACTTGTCGCACTTCATCGGAAGATGGTTCTTGGGCGTCTACATCCAACGGGAGCGGGAAAGGGGCTGGTGGAAACTGTCCCTTCTTAAAGTGTTCCACCACAATCTTTGTCGCGCGCACCTAAAAGTGATATGGGTTAGTAGAACGATATCAACGTATATGAAGGTCCATTAATTTGTCACTTACTGCCATAATAGCCTCGCTGAAGGCGGGGATATCACGTTGTCCGCACCGTCCTAAAACTGTGTAAATGTTGGATGAATAGACGGAGTGGATTCGCTTGCATGTTGAAGAAAAAGCGATTGCCTGAGATATGCTATCGCAACTTTGGAGGATGAGAAGAAGACTCTCAGCTGGAAGAGAAGTAATAGGCATTTTGTAGGTGTGAGATATAAGAGAATAGCTCAGGTGGGGTACGGATCCTTAAATATGCGTATCGTCAACTGGTCAACATAAATCTTGGCTGTGGATCAGCCTAGGAGTCATTAGCTCACTCTGAAAGATATTGATCTGCATATCTCTTGAATTTTATCTTTTTTTCGCAAGGCATCCCAGTCATCCTTGGAAAGGAAAACCTCTTTATTTAACAAAATGCAACATGGGGGATTCAATGTATTTCCTACGATAAGAGCTCATGTTCTTCCAAGATTGTTCGGCTTCGCAAGTCAGGACCTGTTTGCATTATTTTGCTTAATTTAGTTAAGGTGATATGTTTATATTCCTAACTTAGCTGTAGGTGACCTCCTCAAACCCTCCGATTGTGCATTTCAATTAATGCTCTACCTTCGATTTCCTGCACCATCTGTCACCAGTCTCGACTCTATGCCACCGTATCGATCCGCTTCTTTACAACCGTGAAGGTGCATGCGATCAAGCTATTCTCTGGGCATATATAACAGGTCACGTTCCTGGTGTCCATCGACTGGTGTTTAACTACAGAGTCCCTGTCAACAACCCCCTTTCCAGATCCAGGCGTCCACATTAAGATCCAAGGCCCTCAACTAGATGCTGCTCCTCGACTGGCAACCAGTATAACAAAACCAGTGGATAGCGACTGGAAGATACTGCGACTCTTTTATGGCTCGCAGCTACGCAATCAGGCCATTCAGTTGTAAGGAGAGCCTACATTGCCATCCCCAACATCACCGGTCAGTCCTTTGCGGTCGCTCCGGGGAGTAGATCCAAACACATTGAAGCAGCCCTGTGACCTACCTCCTCACATGATATTAATACTTCCAACGGCGACCATGTTTCAATAATCCTACGACACAACAGATAACCTTGGGATTCTGCTGAAGTATGGTTCCGATATCCACGGTCCTGGGCTCGACCGGCCTGCCTATCGAGCGAAGCATATCCCGATCTTTATCGCCGTCGATTCAATGGCAGCTAATGGAAGCAAAAGAAAGCAAATGGATAGAGTGGTATTAGGCACGGGGTTTGTATCAACCACGTCTTTCTTATTTGACGTTTACTACAATGAAAGCAACTGGTCAGTTAGGATACTACACCGAAACTCCCGCACTGGCGTATGTGCAGTCTCTCCAACCCACCACCTTTGAGAAAAACAGCAAATTTAGCGACGCTCGTAAAGAACGCGTTTATCTAGTCTCACATAGCGCAATCATCGATCCTCCCACAAACCATCATAGCCATGGACAGTTAGATCTTGATGACGCCACACGGGTGGCTTCGCTATGGTGTACCGAAATTCCGGTCTGAAGGTAAGGGCTTCATACCAGAAGGATTATTTTCTACTTTTCTTTTCCCTGTGCAGATCTTTACGGCGTAAAATCTAAGGGACCCTTCTTGTTTGGGGCTGAGTATAGAGTTACCCCACAGTCTTGGCACTCAACCAACATAAACTGTGCTTTCCATCGGAAACAACAGATTTTTGATGATTCAGTCGGGCCATAGTATGTTCTCTGAGATATTCAGAGGCGACAGGCTAGGTCTTTAACAAAAGCTCGAGTTCGGGAGTCGATACAGGCGAGCTTGGGCAATTATCTTGGAGGCTACGTTTGGCCCCCAAGGGCTGTATAATCTTGGCGCAGATCCATATCGTGGCGGAGTTAAAAATCCGTTAACTACAAAATCCCCCCAACTCTGGGTTTTCGAAGCTTCCAAATGCCCCTTTCCCGGTCAAATCATCACATTTTCAATCCACTAAGCTTCTATCGAAACTCCTTTTAAAACATGGGTTGTCGCAAGGGCCATTGTTCGAGTGATGCCTATAGCCTCATTAAAGCCGCGTCCAAGTGCGTATTTCAAGTCTTCCACCCATCCTTATCACTCTCATACTCATATATCCTCCATTAGCGCTGCCGCTGAACACCAGGAGCAGAAGCGGAAGCAGAAGGAAAGTCTCCAACCTGCTTCCCAAAGGCTCCGACATGCTGCCCAGCAACAGTTCTATCTTGATAACAAGCGGCGAATGGGCTATAAGGATGTCAAAAGAAATGACCCTTATGCCCAACCATCGTACCCTCTACACGGGTCTCCTTCAAACCATGACAGCGATGTGAAAAAGTCTAAGCAACAGGCACAATCCCAGTCGACCTACCAGCCGTCAACACGCCATACAAGTACAAGGACTATGGATGACCCTCCACCATACGATGCTTCACCACAGGCACAACCCCAGTCGAGCCACCAACCGTCAATGTGCATAAGACCCATAGAGAATCCTCCTCCATATGATCAGAGCCACCCATAACGAAACGCAGCGAGATAGTAAGGCTGGGACAGATCAGGAGTATTATAAATCAAAATAGAAGGGCATATCTTCCAAGGTTTCATTAACCCCTAAGACCTTAGTGTCGATTATAATTAAAATGTTCCGAGCAGAATAAATTTAGTTGGTTTAATTGTACACTATTGATTAGGATCAAAAATACTCATCTATTATCCCCGAAATATTTTTGGGCATGAAAATAACGAAGTACCTCTCCCCCTTGTCACCCTCATAATCCTTAGTGATTAAGTGCAGGCAAAATTCTTTAGACATTTAATTTTATTCATAGTTGTGCGAGTCGAAGACATTGATCCAGAACCGACTACCCGCAGCCCAGTCGAGTAAACCACTGTACTCTTTTACACTCTGCACAGTTTTTTCGAATGTAAAGAGGCTCTAGACTTTCCTACCTGAGAAAGCGTGGGGGTGGGAGAGGCCGGTATCAGGCAGGTGGAATACCGGCGGGAGGGTACGGCCCGAAGAGAGCCGTGCAAAGCTCAGCGAAGCCCACTAGTCATTCTATTGTCGGTTTATTTGTCCATATGAAGTGGCGAACGCTTGTTTGAAGTTGTTTCCCCACCAGGCTAGACCAAACTATTAACCAGAATGGTCGTTTGGCGTACGGCTTAAGTACGAGCGGACGAGAAGCTCTGTTTCCCACACTCTATGATAAGAGGTAATTTGTTGAAATTGAAGATAATTATACGTAAATAGATGGGTGGTGTAGGAAAGTGCGCTATAGAGGTGAGAATAACTCGAGGTCACCCACTAACCCCCTTAGGTATCACCGTCATATTATTGGTCTATGGGCCCTTTTGAGCAAAATTTTTTATACATCTCCAAGGGAGTCACATTAGAGTGTTGGATTTGTTAAGTACGAGTGCTCAGTAACAAGTAGATAGTATAATAATCTCATCGTATCCAATCGGAGACATTCGACGTGGATTTCCACCAAATGTCTCCGAGAGCTAAACCATTCTGTCTTAGTGCCCCCAGATCCCCTCTATAAGAATGTTCATCCTTGCTTGCATCAAGTTGAATCAAGTCTAAATTCCATCTCAATATTTCTTTCCTCTGCATGATGTCAGACTTTACTGAAGCCAATCGGAAATACTTCGAGTAAGTTATAACACAAGCAGTGCCTGATCGATATACTGAGTGCCTTCTACAGTGACCTCTCAGCCACCTACAAAGATCGGTTTGGCGATGCTTTAAAAATGCTATCAGCGCAAACTTTGCAGCGTCGACAATGGATCAGCGATCGGTGGACCGATACAGAAGCCGGCCGAGGCCAGGAGATCAAACTGCTCGAGTATGCCTGTGGACCGGGAGTCATCTCTATGGTATGTAGCTTTACCCATAGATCATGTTAGTATTTCCAGGCTGGAATCTAACCGTTAAACAAATAGACCCTTGCCCCATTTGTCACGGAAGTGATCGGAGTTGATATCTCCGATAAGATGGTGGCCGAATTCAATCAAAATGCCAATACTCTCGGCCTTGCAGAAAAGGCGACCGGCTACATGGCAGATCTGCTTACGGAGGATGCTCCAGCTGAAGCTATCGACTCTGCCTGTACCAACCTGGACGTGCTGACGATCAGCATGGCCCTGCACCATTTTGAGCATCCGGACCACGCTATGAAGAGCTTGGGACAGCGGCTGAAGAAGGACGGCGTATGTTTCATTATCGACTTAGTGCCACAGGCTGGTGATCATGGATCTGAACATGAACACAATCACGGACACCATGGACACAACCATGGACATAGTCACGAACACAGTCACGAACACAGTCACGATCACGGGCATAGACATGAGCACGGAAATGAGGCTGAATTTCCCGAGGCAGCTCACACCGTCAAGACGCATGGCTTCTCTCGTGAAGACATGCAGCAATTATTCCAAGGCGGTGGCTTCAACACTGGGTTTGACCACCAAGTCTTGCCTGAGCCACTGACGATCCCCATTGGTGGGGGCACATTATCCAAGACGGTGTTTATTGCTCGGGCTCAGCGTGCATAAGAAAAATGGTTATTCCACGAATACATAGAAAACGTTTTTAGACAGTCATAACCCTCATAGTGCTAGATCATCACCTACAAGCCTGTGGATCGCGACCCGCACCCTTCATAGAATTATAAACCAAAAATATAAAATGCAAAAACATACAACAGTGAGGATTCGCTGGTGGTCACCCACCCAACTACTAACTCACCGGCGTGTGGCTTAAGTACGGCTGAGCGGACGGGAAGCCCTGTTTTCCACACCCTATGGTCGTATGTACTAGTTCATGTGTTGGTGAGGTCTATAGCCAAACGATTCGCTATAGGTTGAGTGTCGAGGGGGATGGAGTGTGCTATAGATAGGATGAGAATCAGTTTTATAACGTGGAGAGAGTAAGGGGATATTGTGGCATTTCAAATTAACGTATGAATTCATTTTATGTAAAGCTCTAGGTCATTATAGAATTGACCGAACCAGTCAGGTCTATAGTGTGATCGACATGGTTGATATCAAGTAATGGGTCCATGAGAGCGATACAATTGATGTCATATCTAAATCAATCCACAAAGATATATTAAGGAATAGATCCAGTTAATCATACGGAATCCACTTCACATGTAATCTCTTTTCCTTTGTCTTTTGTGTCTTACTCTGAGGTCATGTATAACCAGGCTTAGGTCCACCACGTCACACAGTCCATAGCAATTACCAACATCCTTCAATTCTATTCAAAGACATAAAATCTTTGGAGATCAGGTGTTACTAACGTCTAGCCGTTCTAGTCCTTGAATCGATTTCTTTTATTCGCGTGTCGGCCTTGCGGTTTACCGCACCCCGAGTTTATGAACTATTTTTATCTAAAAGTTGGAGGATAGTACCTAGGTACTTTCGTATACTCTCCACTTGGTAACAATGGCATTCAATTAGAGGGAACAACTTCATCCGTTCCATCCGATCTGAACCTCTCGGATAAAGATATTTTGCCACCCTCGACTTACGGGTCCACAGCCATCAGCCAGTGATCATTGTCCTTCACAAATCTGGTTTATGAGTGGAGCATTAAGCATTGCCTGTTATAGCATACTCCAATGAAATTGGCTCTTCAAGAGGCACTATGTCACTACCGGTTCGGACCTGCAATGCTCAACTTCCGGTACTAGGCAACCAGTGTTGATGCCATGCCTGACGCTGTTTCTATTTTTTGTTTATGTTGTATGTTTTTTTTCTTTGGTTCGTGGAATCTTGCTGGGATATTATCTTGATTCATAATGAGCTTTAATTTAACAAATGTTATAAAGATTCACCTAAACTCAGTCCATTGGATTCATCTCTCCTGCAACTCTACCAGATATCAAGTTCGAAGATATTTCAATTAAAATCAATTTTCTCTCAAAAAAGGGCATTGTGTTCATTCGCTAACACCCCTCCCTCCACATTCGCTGAACAATCATAATGAAGAACTTCATCACTATCGCTGCCTTCGCTGCTGGCACCAACGCTCTCGTTAGCCGCAGTGATAGCTGCTGCTTCCACCTTACCTCCTCTGGTGGTGCTTCAGGCAAGCTTGGCCAGCTGAGCGATGGTCAGAACCGCATTGGCGATAACAGCCTGTCGCCTGCTCAGTACTGCATCGATTCGAAGGGTGCTATCACGGACTCCAAGGGTCGTGGTTGCATTCTCACCCGTAAGTGACCAGATTAAACACTCGCATCACATACAAGGCACATCTGACCGTTTGATAGCTCCCACTACTCAGTTCCAGTGTGATGAGGGTGCTTCTCCCACCCCTGGCTTCTCCCTCAGCGCTCAGGGTAAGCTCGAATATCACGGAAGCAAGGACTTTGTTGCCTGTGCTACGGGCCAGAACGGTGGTCTGAACGTCTACACCACCCCCAGCAAGTCGGATGTCACCGGTTGCGTGAACGTGGAGTTGACTGCCGACTCCTGTTCAAGCTCTGGCTCTGGGTCTGGCTCGTCATCATCCGCTAGCGCTGTTCCATCTTCTTTCGGATCCTCCAGCGCTCAGTCCAGCCCCTCTACTCCTGTCCCCCAGTCTACCCCTGCTAGCTCTGCTTCTGTATCCGAGTCGACTCCCGGATATGGCACTGGCTCTTCCGCCCCTGCACCCTCAAGCTCTGGTCCCGCTTCCTCGGCCCCATCTGAGTCTCCTCTCTCTGGCTCTCCTATCACGGTCGTGAACACTATTACTGTCACCGACTGCAGCTGCTCCGCCACTGCTCCTGGCAGCGGTGATGGCTCCGGTAGTGCCAGCAGCAGCCCCCAGCCAACTGGCTCTACCCCAGCTCCCTCTAGTGGTGGCTCACACCCCAGCGGTTCCGGCAGCGCATCTGTCCCCGCTAGCTCTGCCTCTGCCATTCCTTCAGCCACCAAGTCCTCCAGTGGCTCCTGCCCTACCACTCTCACTACCGGCAGCTACGAGTACCCCCACCTGATTATCCCCGTTGACTCTTCCTCGCCTGATACCGCGGCTGGTACTTCCTACAATGGTACCGTGAGCTCCACGATCTCGAGTGCATTCAACTTCGATATTCCCTCATCCGACTCCGGCAAGACTTGCAGCCTCGTCTTCCTCTTCCCCGAGCTCCAAGACCTCGAGACTTCGTCCTACAGCTTCAACGGTGACGGCAAGATCGACTTCGCTAAGCTCTCTTCCGCCGTCGACGAGTCTACCACCTTCAACAATATGCCTTCCGTGTCCCAGGACCTCGGCGACATCACCGTTTCACCCGGCAACTCGTACGTTGTCTCCACCTTCGCTTGTCCCGCCGGCGAGACTGTCGCCTACGAGATGAAGAGCTCTGGCAGCACAGACCTTAACTTCTTCGAGGACTACAACCCCTCTCCGTATGTTTATTCTGTTACCTTCCTACCTACTCGGATATCAGCTAACCATCTCTTTAGTCTCGGTCTGTACATCACTACCTGCTAAATTAGCACTTGTGAAAACTGGAAATCTACCCGGGTATGACATATTTCTTTTGACGCCTGACGTTGGAACGTTTTCCTTTCTGATAATTCTTCTATCTTCCATTCATTTGTTTCTATTACACCGGCATCCATAGGAGGTAATTTCTCTGAAAAGACCGATTGCCGGATTTAGTTGATGTTGTAATTGAGGCCATGCAGAGCGTCGACATTCCTTCGGCTTGTATATTAGTACATTGAATACACTCCTTTTATTGATACTCTTATTACCTGACTGCTTGCATATAACGGTCTACAGTTATTCAATCTGTTGGACTTCGATTGTCTCGTAAAAATAGAAATCATTTGAAATCAATGAAGCAATGCAACTAAAATTCAATAAGCACAGAACCTTAGAAGGAACTGTCACACAGATTTGAGAGATCCATGAGTCAAGCCGGAAGGCTCAATGTAACGGACCCTCCCATCTTCTCCTGGATCGAAGCCATGACATCAGGCATGCTTGATGCTAGCCCCAAATTCCATTTGTCTTTCTCCATGCTTTCCCAAAGTAAACCTTTGACCTCTCCACGCTCACCGAGAACGAATGAACCAGAGTCCCCATCCGTGCAGAACGATTCCTCATTTACTCCAGCTGTTTTGCCCACGATGACGAACTCTTGAGTTTCAAGAGCATGCATTTACACTTTTTGTCCGCTCGGAGTATATCTTGCTTCGGGGCCATTCCACTTGCAGTATGCTTTTGGGCCGTTCACTACACCTGCAGCAAAGCCAGAAGTGCGACCTTCCGCCTGTTCTTCGCCTTTGACTGTAAAACTGACACTTCTAAAGGGAATATTTCAAAATATCCCTAAAAATACCAAAAAATATAACAAGGCCACTTATGCCACTATTCTTGCCTCCTATGAATTGATACTTGCTTCATGCAACACTAGCTCTTTATATATCTTCCTATATCATCCTCTCCCGTCCATAAGCTGATACATACGACCATAGGGTGTGGAAAACAGGGCTTCCCGTCCGCTCAGCCGTACTTAAGCCACACGCCGGTGAGTTAGTAGTTGGGTGGGTGACCACCAGCGAATCCTCACTGTTGTATGTTTTTGTTTTTAGAATTCTTTATTGTGTTAAGAAGGATGCCATCCGAGGATGCAGCTGCGAACATCACTTGAGAGCATATTACCAAGATGTTAGCTACAAGACGTCTCGTTCGTCGACATGCTATATAAGCACAAGTATGTTTGTTGTATACGGCCACCCATCAATCGAAGAACCTCATCTATTCAAACAAGCGGGCTCCCGAGGCGGCGTGAACAGGGGAAACCTCAGAGCTTGCTGCTAAGCGAACATCTGCTGATACTTTCAACCTCTTCGCCTAAGGGATTTCTCAACAACTCTTCTGCACTTCGATATTGTACCCGTTTGATAGTTTAAGGTGATTATGAACCTGCCCTCCGGCTTTCACCTATCTCCGATAGTCTCCCATCGGCACTCCACTCAGCTGTGAAGTTACTGTGCTGACTTGTATTTTACAGCAGTCTGAACCATATGCAGCTCAAATGATCCAAAGGGTCGTAAGATTTATTCCAGCCTTGTTCTAAGAAGAGGGAATCATGGCAAGTGTAATGCCAGAAAATGCCTTTGTTCTGAATGTCAGCACAGTACGTCCCGAAACTGGTGCAACCGCCTGATCTGGCAAGGTGTCTAATGGTCAGAATCTTTTGACAAACAGTGCAAACATAACGAAGATGCAACGAAGATATCCGCCCCTTATTTCGTAGCATTTGCCTACATCTTTTGTTTACAGTACCTACCAAGCTAAAATCGGTGAAATAACGCGTCCTCAAACTCAAAATGTCTATCAGACAGGTGCGGTCAAGTCCACTACTCGCCCTTCCAATCGAGGTCATCCTTATGATAGCGGACATTCTGGACACACGAGACCTCGGCTCATTTCTACGCACGGCGCGGAGGTATGCTAGCATCCTCGATTCCCATCTTTATCAACGTGGGCGTAGCTATATCTGCGCTGATGAAATCTCCGTCCTCGAATGGGCCGCGAAAAGGAATCAAGCACCTGTAATCCGCAAGCTCCTAAGGAAAACCAGGGATGCGCCAATTCCGCTTGAAGCGAAAAGCAAAGCGCTATGTCTCGCCGCAGAGGCCGGAATGCATTGCATCATCGAGCTTTTGGTGGACGCAGGTGCGGATCTATCGTCTGCGATAGATATGGGACGGAGATCGACATGTAGCGCACTGCAACTCGCTGCAGGGAATGGCCACGAGATAGCCGCCGGTGTACTCCTAGGAATGGGGGCAGATATCAATGCCACGAATTCAATCCAAGAGACCGCGCTACACTATGCGGCCCGTGGTGGTCAGGAAAGTGTTACCAGACTGCTTCTGGAGAGGGGAGCTGATGTAGCAGTATTAACGAACGAGCGAAAAACAGCACTCCATTACGCAGTTCTGTCTAGAAATGAAGCGGTTGTGAAGCTGCTCCTAGAGAAGGGAGTAGACATAGACGCTGTTTCATCTACTGGGCATACAGCGTTATTGTCAGTATTTGATACCGAGACTTCTATCAGCGAGTCCATTCTTAACCTACTTCTGGCGAAGGGTGCAAATGTGACTATACCTGAACCTTCTAAGCACATGACAGCACTACATTTTGCTGCTGTGGATGGCAATGAATGGGCTGTTAGGTCACTCTTGGGGAATGGGGCGAACGTGATGGAAGGTGATTACTTGGGATATACGGCATTGCATATGGCGGCCGAGTGTGGGAATGAAGCAGTTGTAAGAATTCTCCTCGAAAAGGGGGCGGATGTTTCCGCTGTTGCGGCTGAAGAAGAGGATGAGACGCCACGCAATTTGGCAGAGTGTAATGGCCATGGAGCAATTGTAAGACTTCTAGAGGAGGCAGCCACACAGCATTTGAAGAATATAGCTTGAATTACTATATATGGATGTGGTACTGCGAATTTCCAACTATCTTTATACGACTAAATCCCCTAGAATCTCGTACAGCTTGATTAAGTGCCTGTCTATGACAGAAGCTGCACACGAATGAGGTGTTATGTATTACTAGCCACCTTTGCCTTATTCAAGCCCTGGGGGTGAATATTGATTACAAATCGGCTCATAAAGCCCCCATTCAACAGGTTCAAAGGAGCTTTTAGTTCATCATCACATACCCTGCGTGATCAACGGCATATTTACTGCTCGACTAGGTTCCAGTGGTGGGAGACCGGTGGGAGACCGGATTCATAATCTTCCCCGTGGGGAGCCCGGGCCGGGGGCTATGGGAATAAATAACGAAGGCAAAGTGCCCTTGAATTCAAGTAAAGCACTCTTTCACATTTGAAGAAGATTAATCATGGCTGCAAGAGATAATTCTAAGCCCTACATACCACTTGCTGGTGGAGCCGATGATGGCTGGTCAAAAGAAGGCCAGGCGACAGCCACATGCTACTGCGGCGCAGTGCAGTTAGCCTTTGTACGTACTCTGGTGCATAACCCCGTTTGGTATATCCCGCTGATGATACAACCCCCAGCCAACACAACCCCCAGGCCTAGTTGACACATTCGTTTGTCATTGCACGGACTGCCGCAAAATCACCGCATCTATGTTCGCGACCAATTTCATTGTGGCAGACACGCACCTAAAACACCTACGTGGCCAAGAAAATCTCAAATCATTCAGCCAGTCGAAAACGATAGCCTCCGGCAAGGCAATGACAAATTATTTCTGTTCCACATGTGGCTCGCTCATGTACCGCATCGGTGAAATGTTCCCGGGACATAGTATCCTGCGTACCGGAACAGTGGACGATTTCAGCCTACATGAAACGAAATTGAAGCCCAGATTTGAGATATATACCAAGGACCGAGTGGGGTGGCTTCAGGGTGCAGCTGATATGGAGCAGGTCAAGGGATATTTATAAACTCTCAACGAAGCAATTAGATCCTTTGGTGTGGTAACTCCACTATGTCTACAGATTCACTTGGGGCAAATAACAACTTGTAGTCCTCGATGATTTTTGAACCTAAGGATAAATTACGATTTAGATATAAGCAAGTAAAATGTTTAGAAGGTTAAATAAATTACAGAAGTTTATAGAAAAGTATAGTATTATTAACTTCAGAATATATCTATCCATCTTCCAAGAATCAAAATATTTTTATTTTTCTAATTTTCTTACTTTCTACAGGTTACATTTACCTCGGAATTTTAAATAATATTTTAAATAGCGCCTTATTTACCTATGTATCAGTTTTTAAGTTAAATGCGATAAATATAAGCCGAAATATAGTAAATATAGTATAACAAGTAAGTAGTTTTATACAGCTGAAATAGGAAATACTTAGTAAAAATATCTATACCATAGAAATTTTATAGGAGTTCCATCACTCCCATAGGGCTCCCATAGGACTACTATGGTAATAGGACAAAAATTTTGGCTATAGGAGTGATAGGATGAGGATATGGGACTAAAATCTTTTTAGTCCCATTTAGTCCCATGGGAGTTGGCAAGGTCTAGAAGTATCGCTTGAAGTAAGAATATATAACCTTTGGAACTCATCCATGGATAATAAGCAAGCCACTACCTACCTAGGTAATTCTCAAAAATGAAAGTCATTCACATTCAGAGTAATGACTAGGTAATAATTACGACAGACTGATTCCAAAATGGAGAGCTACAGCTCTGTCCATAGCCTTGCATTTTCACTTCACTTTACAGCGAATATCATGGCCACTATACCAGAAAAGCAACCTCTCGTTAAGGGCGGGCATGCCCGAATGCCAGATAGGCTCCCCTCTACGTTTGTTTCCTCAACGGTACCCTGTGTATTTGACAATACCATCATCCTTGCGGCAACCCACCCCACAGTCTCGACTGCAGCTCCAACAGACGATGGGTGGTTCATTTCGGACTTTTATGCCTTTAACTATCTGTTGAAGGGCTTGGGTATGAAACAGACATGGATAACCGCAGCTGATCCAAGAAAATTGGTGGAGAAGTATGGTGCATACCTTCATGGCAATCCGTACGAGGATCGAAAGGTCTGCCTTGATAAAGGCATGCTCGACGAACAGCAAATCACTCCAGTTACCGTAGTTCGCTCGAGTGAGATGATAGATCGGGTTCTTACAGAGGTAAAATGGGCGTCAGAACTTGCGAAACGGCACGAGGCGCCACTTCTACTCCTCTTCTTTTGCCACGGGCTACCTAATCATCACCTATTGTTGAATGATGGAAACAGCAATAAGGGTCTCAGCATAATCAATCTCAAGGGTGTGCTTGAGCCAGGCGTGCGTGTGACTCTTCTTAGCACCGCTTGTTATTCCGGGGGATGGGTCACCACCCCAGAGCTCAATCACACCGCTATAACAGCTGCTAGCGGGAAAGACGATCCAGATGCCGGAACTTCGAATGCCTGGAGTGCATCTCACAGCATTGGACGAAGTTGCGGGTCTGTGTTTGTAAGCACCCTATTGGAGGTTTTTTCTAGTGCGACAACTCCTCTTCTCGAAGAGCCTGGTCTGGATACAAACCTATCAGACCCAAAGCAAACTCTTCAACCAGATAACCCCAATACCTTGCAGACTTTGAGCTATAACTCATTTTGCGATTCTGTTTGGAGGGTATGCGAAGATCGCGTCACACGGCTCTGGAGCTTCCAAAACTTCAACTTTTGTGCCCAGGATGATACTTGGGAATATTCATGGACAGGGAGGACAGGTATCCCATTGTCCCACTTTAGAAACCGGTGGAATAGACTCAAGTCCTACCCATATCAAGGGCCCAGTGATATCAGGGACCTCAGAAATCCACACCCGAAAAACACCACATTTTTGGTGCAAGATCCGAACAAGACTGCATCGGCAAACCAGGTTCTTGATGAAATGACTGACCATATCGCCCATAGAAGACTCAAAGGAATGGCCAGGACTTTCCACCAAACCTGTCCTGGTAGTTGGGATCGTGGTAAGGACGTGGGCTTTGGAGGCACACTCCGTGCATTCTACGAGCGTGACGAGTACCAGGAAAGAGCGCCAATGTTTGAAGCGGCGATACGCTTTAGGTGGGAGGCAGCCCTTCTCGCAGACTACATTGTCGAGCTGTTTGACCTTCCTGTTCCTAGTAAGGAGATCTGCATCATGTGGCACCATTTTTTATGGATTAAAGATAAACTGGAGACAATGCCAAGGCCAGACTTAGAGGAACGTTGGCGAAAATTGTACAACTCCCTTTCTGATTATTTTGAGACTCCTTGCTTGAGAGATCAGGGCCCACCTTTCTACCGACCACTGCATTATGTGGTCGCGGCCTTGTTCGAAGCTGATAAACCGGAGCAGGAGACAAGTGCTATTATTTCCGCCATTGGGCATTTTATGAGCACAGTTCGGATGTTTCACCAGCAACGTCTATTTGAGGATCGGGAAGTTCGTGGTAGAGGCCGCGAGTGGCTAAAATCCATCGGTCGACGGGCTATCAAGTCTCTCTCGCCGCATAAAAAGACACGCCACTCGACATCCGTCTCTTGCTAATTTTGCTCGGGGAAAGTTTATATTACACGCTCCCTTGCTACCCTTGCTACTGAAGAGCTGAGAAGAAGGCCACAGAGGCGAATGAGATAGAGGAAGAACACCAGATTATTATTATTATTAATAATAATATTGATTCCTAAGCTCCAAGCTTTTTTATTTTAACCTACTGGTATTGGGTATCAATAAACCCGATTTAGTCACTTAACTACGGTAACTGAGCAAGAACTAGCTGAGGCGAATCAATTTGCAGTTACGCTAGATAGAGATTTTAAATTTCCTAAATGAGTATAGATCAAATACGCATGCATGCATAGAGAGGCCAAATATAGGTTGGCCGAGTGATATCTAGTGCTGTGGTTGGAGCTAAGGAGAATAACAAAGGGTCTACTATCCTCGCCAACCCTATCAATATTGGCCTCCCACTCCTCACTCTCATCCTGTTCAGGCCCCTATATCTTGATCAACTCCCCCGCTAGCCCCTGGAAGAAGTAGGCGAAGACCAGTGCTGTCTCTCGATGCTGTCTGTCACTTTTTGACCGGGGTTAGAAAAGTAGGAGTACGTCTTAAGTCATTATATAAAGCCCTCTAAAAAGAGATTTCTAACCGTGGTCAGATATAATAGAAGATTCACCTACTCTCCTAGAAGTAATTTTCCGACCGCGGTCAGAACATCTTAGATATATTTAGGATCGCAGCTGGGGGAACTAACTAGCAGCGGCTTAACTTTTAGGCCTCTCGCTCACCCAGGCGACACCCACCGAACTATGCTTAAGCCACAGAAGTTGCCACACGCCGGTGAGTTAGTAGTTGTGTGGGTGACCACCAGCAAACCCTCACTATTGTATGTTTTTGTATTTTTGATTTTGTATAGACGAGTTGGCCTAGGAGAAGCCGTGAGGGGTGAGTGACATCGACAGCCGGCTGAGGCTGGGTTCCTGTCTGGGTTACATCGATTACCTGGCCTTGACGATTAGGACGGCTTCAGTATGATCGCCAATTATGTAGCTGATTAGGCACGGTAAGGGAGAGGGTAGTATAGCGTGTTGATGTGTAACGTTAAGCTTTAGACAGGGAAGCTGAAGTCACGAGGTCGGATGCTGTCACATGAGGCAAGGGGTAACTTGTCAGGGCTGAGATTCACTTTACCTAATAACAACAGCTGACTCAACATTTCCATAATCTCAGAATATACTGCGATAATTCCACGGGCCCAGTCCTAACCTACGCCTGTTTGCTTATTACATGTACCTATCAAGGTCGGGTTCGTCAGAATTCAACGCAGATGGAGAAAGCAGAGCCGCAATTGTCTCCAGCCGACAGCGAGATGAACCTCCGTGTCGCGAAGCGCCCAGCTCTCGAAAAACTGAACACCACCCCTGAAGCCAAAAGATCCAAAGGCTTTCATGATGTGTTGATAGAACCGGATATTAAAGCTCCGGCCATACGGAGAATTCCTTTCCCAGAAAAGGTATGCTGGCGCCTTTATATGTAAGAAAACATTCTAATGTTCTTAATTTTAAGCCTGCAGTTTTGGAAGAACGAAATGGCGATATCGAGTACCGCGTTGTCAACAATGATGGCTCTAGAGAAAGTATGATTATTCTCACAGGTCTCAAATGTCTCTTTCAAAAACAACTTCCGAAAATGCCTAAAGACTATATCGCACGTCTTGTCTACGATCGCTCTCATTTGTCTATCGCTATTGTCAAAATGCCTCTACAGGTTATTGGCGGAATAACATATCGAGAATTCCGAGAGCGCGGGTTTGCTGAAATTGTCTTCTGCGCGGTCTCGGCTGATCAGCAAGTGAAGGGATATGGAGCGCATATCATGGCCCATTTAAAAGACTATGTCAGAGCTACTTCTCCAGTGATGCATTTTCTAACTTACGCCGATAATTATGCCACCGGGTACTTTCAAAAACAAGGCTTTACTAAAGAGATCACTCTCGAAAAGTCTGTCTGGATGGGATATATCAAAGATTACGAAGGGGGAACAATTATGCAATGCTCTATGCTTCCACGAATACGATATCTCGAAGCTGGCCGTTTACTTCTCAAGCAGAAAGAATCCGTCCTAGCCAAAATTCGTACCTTTAGCAAAAACCATATCAGCTATCCACCACCTCAGCAATGGGCTAACGGGATCACTCCGATCGATCCACTCTGTATCCCTGCTATTCTAGCAACTGGCTGGTCTCCGGATATGGATGAGTTATCACGAATACCACGTCGTGGACCTCATTACAATGAACTCCGGCGTTTTTTGAATCATATCCAAAACCACAAAAGCGCATGGCCGTTCGTTAGTCCGGTCAATCAAGATGAAGTCGCTGATTATTACAATGTGATCACATCACCAATGGATTTGTCGACTATAGAAGAACGATTGGATGGTGATTTTTACACTTGTCCGAAAGAGCTTGTCGACGATCTTAAGTTCATTTTTAGTAATTGTCGGCAGTATAATGATGGAACAACGGTATATACCAAGTGTGCGAATCAACTGGAGAAATATATGGGGAGACTTATTCAGGAAATTCCGGAGTGGTACGACTTGCATGAAAAGTGACCGGTGTTGGTGCATCCCATTCTTTGGAGTTGGGGTTGTATGTATATGATATGATTCGGTATCTGGTGATTGGGTTTGGGTAGTATGCAGCAGAGTACCAATATCACTTTTGTTTTTGTAGAGGATGTATTGGCGAAGATAATTACACGAGTAAATCGATTGATGGACTGATTGATCATTTATTCACGCTACCTCGAGATATTGCAAGTAATCTATAGAAAGCCAAACAGTCTGAGAACCTCCGTATTATTATATTATTATATTACATCGCTTTGGTAAACAATTAATTAAAAACATGATATTAATCAAGCGTAAGCCGCGAGGAACGCGAAAAGGACCGAGGCGGCTCTGCCAGAAAATTCCCTGCATGGAGAGAATGTGACTCTCGCGAATACGACTCCTGCGCATGACCATTCTTCGATTGATTGATGGCTTTAAAGCCACGGTCGAAGTTCTTGATGCAGATAATGGTGCAACAGATTGTTGCAGAAGTCAACACCAAAGATACCGAGGCAAAGAACAACATCATGTCCTTCCCGGCGGTTCGAGAATTACAGAGAATGACGATGCGGCTGATGAGATATGCGACTAGACCTAGGTAACATATCTTGGGAGAGGTTAGTAATTCTCCGGATTTGGGCAGGGAAGGGAGAGAACTCACTATGATAGCAACGGTTCCAATGGTTTTTTCATGTTGGATAACCCAAATACCAAGTAGCATAATGATGAATGCGAGCAGGATGAGGAGCATTGTGATGGTATACTCAGGTTCCTTGAAGTGGACATACACCAGGTTGTATTGGATGATAAAACCCAGTAGGAAGTAAAAGAGGAGTTTTATCAGGACCAGGAAGATCTATTCGTTTTTGTTAGCGTGATACTCGAGATTTGAAAGGCAGTGAAGCCTAGATGGTAGATATTACCTCGTAGACCAGATAACGAATTCGTGTTTTCAAGATGCCGTGAACAGACTTATAGATGACCCATGAATATTCCCTATGTAGGAGATATACAAACGAGCAGAGAAGCAGGGTGCATAGTCCCGTAATGATCGAGACTATAATCTCCGCTGGCTGAATCCGGGGCCAGACATTGCGAGTGGTATCTATCAAAGTCGGAACCCCATAACGATTGTTAAACAGACTCGCTGTGGTTCCTTTCATCAATTTGTACTGCATAATGGAGTACCCAAAACCGCAGACATTGCAGATGCAAATTGAAAAGAGGAGAACATTATTTTTGTGATGGATGGCATCCAGGGCAAGAATGAACTCGTAAATAGAGGCGAATATTAGAATGCCCAGGTTGATTGGGATCATATAGGAGATAGGGACTTGAGTAATGGTGTCAGTCACCCATATCTGCCATTCCACCAGTATATAGCTGTTCTGGTTAGGATAGCTCGAACAAAGATACAGGGAACATACCTCTCAAGGGCAATGGTTAAAATAGCCTGTGTGAACAACACGCCACAAAGCCACCATTCATTTCTAGTGGTGGGTCTATACATCCTTGCTCTTCTATTCTTCAAAGCATTGGAAATGAAACAACTTTTTTGATCGCCCTTTTTTTCCATATCACATCCTCTCCACGACGCCAAGCCAATAGGAACTGTTTCGGTGAAATTTAAACATCCAGTCCAATCTGAATCTTTCATTGGCTCAACTAATGAAAATCCACTATATATTTTGGCTATTTTTATTTCGAGTACGAAGCACTCCGTAGGTGAATAGTGTTGTCGGTTATAAAGGGGTCTGCAGAATTAATTTCCTAATAGAGACATATCTAACCCCAATTCGCTCCAGCCTCATCTATATAGATCAAGGTATGAAACCCGATAGGCTGTGTATATACCGCTCTCATATTTTATTTAGTTCCTATTCGGGGTTTGGATTTGTGACCTAGACAGAAGTCCCATATGATTGTTATCTTGTCTGAAGGAGTTTCGTTGACAATCTTTTAGAATAGTTACTACATGAACTAGTGGTGGTGCTAGATAACTAAATAAAATAACATGATTCTTAGACTGTGTAAAGTTTGTAGAGCATAAGTTATACATACCATTCGAACGTGAAATATATATTTGCTAAGTTTTCGATCCCGAATTCTAGAATCTCACAAAATAATCGAAAAATGTGCTGCCGTGCTCACAGAGCACTAGAAATTAAAATAAATATTTAGAAACAATATAACCGAGCCCAAAAAATACTAAATAATAGTCGTATGTTGTAGGCAAAAATTGTCAGTTTAGTTAGTGGTAAGAGGATTTTAAAAACAAAAATGAAATGGACGGGCAGCGATTCGAACGCTGGACTTTTCGCATGCAAAGCGAACACTCTACCAACTGAGTTACGCGCCCAATTGACGGAATGTAAATGCATCTATCTATACATAGCGGAAATCAAAAGATGCTACATCCGTAAAATGAAAGGTGTCGACTGGGTTGGCAATAGTAAGGAGTGGTAGGGTTAGAGCGTTTGGGAAGGGGTTGAAAGGGCCTTTTAATTGGGGGTCATCGTTTCAATAAACGGAGATATTGCGCGAGATACAGTTGATATGCTAAAATGGGCAGTGGACACGAGAGAGCTTGAGGAAGAAGGATGATAATGAGGTGAATGTTTGGATATGGTGAGGTCTATGATTATTATTGAGTGCTTAGGTATTACAGAGGTACCTAGGTACGATCTAAAGTCTACTAAGACACTACAGTTGGATCAAAATGAAGATAAAAAATATCGGTTCTTATTGTAGAACACATAAAAAGTTAAAAAAACATCACAGAGGGTCGTATCCCGTTTCCCATTTCCCGTAAGACTTAAAAAATTAGCAATAAAAGAGTTGAGAGAATTTAATCTAATCAACCTCCTCCATGGTGCTCTCACCGGTAGCCTCGGCAGGAGCAGTAGGCTCGGCAGCGGGAGCAACCTCGTCCTCGTCAATGTTCAGACCAAGGGAGACGAGCTTGTGAATACGCTCGGAGAAGCTGGCAGGCTCCTCAATGGTGAAGCCAGAGACCAGCAGGGAGGTCTCGAAGAGCAGCTGGGTGATAGACTTAACGGTGCGGTCGTTCTCGCCATCAGCCTCAACCTTCTTCTTAAGCTCCTTGATGATAGGAGACTTGGGGGAGATCTCGAAAGTCTTCTTGGAAGACATGTAAGAGGACATGGAGGTGTCACGGAGGGCCTGGGCCTTCATGATACGCTCCATGTTGGCAGACCAACCGAACTGGCCGGTACGGATGGCGCAGGGGGAGCCGACGAGCTTGGAGGAGACAACGACCTTCTCGACCTTGTCGCCGAGGACGTTCTTGAGGGCCTTGGCAAGGTCCTCGAACTCCTTCTCCTCGGTCTCGCGCTCGGTCTTCTCCTCCTCGGTCTCCTCGAGCTCGAAGTCCTTGGTGATGTCGACGAGCTTCTTGCCGTCGTACTCCTTCAGCTGGGTGAAGGCGTACTCATCAATGGGGTCAACCAGGAACAGAACCTCGAAGTTCTTCTGCTTGAGGGTATCCAAGAAGGGAGAGTTGGCAACGGCCTTGATGGACTCGCCGGTGATGTAGTACATGTTCTTCTGGTGCTCGGGCATGCGAGTGATGTAGTCAGCGAGGGAGGTCTGCTCATCACCGGACTTGGTGGACTGGTAGCGGAGGAGCTTGGCCAGGGTGGGGCGGTTCTGGGCGTCCTCGTGGATACCGAGCTTGATGTTCTTGCTGAAAGCCTGGTAGAACTTGTCGAACTGCTCACGGTCCTCGGAGATCTCGACGAAGAGCTCGAGGGTCTTCTTAACGATGTTCTTCTTGATGACCTTCATGATCTTGTTCTGCTGGAGAGTCTCACGGGACAGGTTGAGGGGAAGGTCCTCAGAGTCGACGACACCCTTGACGAAGCTGAGCCACTCAGGGATGAGGTCAGTAGCATCATCAGTGATGAAGACACGGCGAACGTAGAGCTTGATGTTGTTCTTGGTCTTCTTGGTCTCGAACAGGTCGAAGGGAGCGCGCTTGGGAACGAAGAGGATAGCGCGGAACTCAAGCTGACCCTCAACGGAGAAGTGCTTGACACCGAGGTGGTCCTCCCAGTCGTTGGAGAGGGACTTGTAGAAGGCAGCGTACTCCTCAGTGGTGATATCGGCGGGGTTGCGGGTCCAGATGGGCTTGGTCTTGTTAAGCTCCTCCTCCTCAATCTTGGACTCCTTGACGGTCTTAGTCTTCTTCTCCTTCTTCTCCTCCTCATCATCGACCTCCTCGACCTTAGGCTTCTTCTCATCATCCTCATCCTTGGTCTCCTCAGCCTCCTCATCGGGGACCTCGGTCTCGGTCTCCTTCAGGACGTGAAGGTAGATGGGGTAGGAGATGAACTCGGAGTGCTTGCGAACAACCTCCTTGATGCGGGCCTCGTTGAGGTAGTCCATCTGCTCATCCTTCAAGTGAAGGATAATCTTGGAACCGCGGCCGAGCTGCTCGCCCTCGGTGTCCTCCTTGAGGGTGAAAGTACCACCAGCGGCGGACTCCCAGATGTACTGCTCATCATCGTTGTGCTTGGACACGAAGGTGACACGGTCAGCGACGAGGTAGGCAGAGTAGAAACCGACACCGAACTGGCCGATCATGGAAATATCAGCACCGGCGGACAGAGCCTCCATGAACTGCTTGGTGCCGGAGCGGGCAATTGTTCCAAGGTTGTTGATCAGGTCCTATAAGAGATGAATATGAGTATTTGTGGCCCTACATATATTGAGGAAAGAGTGATTTGAGTCCACTCTAAGAGTCTGAAACTTACAGCCTTGGTCATACCAATACCGGTATCACGGATGGTAAGAGTCTTGTTCTCCAAGTCGGGGATAATATCAATGCGGAGATCCTTGTTGGAATCGAGCTTAGAGGGGTCGGAGAGAGCCTCATAGCGGATCTTGTCGAGAGCATCGGAGGCGTTGGAGATCAACTCACGAAGGAAAATTTCCTTGTTAGAGTAGACAGTGTTAATGATCAGCGAGAGCAGCTGAGA